GAGGAAGAAGATGAATTCGTGACCATAAACAAAAATGCTATGCTTAATGGATTTCAAAAGTCTCTTCACTAGCACTCTAGATTCACCACCACCACATAAAGCCAGCTAAAGCTAATAGAAAAGTAAAGCAAAAAAGAATAGAGATGGTTGAAGCTCTCCATGCCCTAAAAATGTGAACCAGAGTGCCAAGATCCAGATCTATCCAGCCACCCATCAAAAACACCACCAAGCAAAGGTAAAAGCTAGAAGACCCCTTAGATCTGATTATTTCCATATCGACAAATGACCTTCCTATCAGAAAAGACCACTAGAAAAGAAAATAAAATAGAAAAGATAGTAGACTAGAGATACCACATGGACGCCTTTACACCTAGTGAAAGTTAGAGAGGGAGTTGCTGCAACGCTCAATTGCCCAAGACGATATCCAAGTCCCACCACCCAGAGAGGAAACTCAAGAGGGAGACACATTCTCTATGTGTGTCTGTGTTAGGATAGATTTACTGGAAACATCAGGTATATCTTAAGAGCAATTTTGGTTGGAATTGGATCTAGACTAGTTAACATAGTTTTAGTCTGTGTACATATAATGGTAATTTTTTATTATATATTTAAGGGTCTGTTTGGTTCGAGGGGAGGGAAGGGGAGGGGAGGTGAGGGGAAGGGGAGGAGGGGGAAGGGAGGGGAGGGGAGCTCCCCCCTCAATTTGGAGGGGAGGCTTTGGAGGGGAGGGGAGGGAAAATTTTAAAAATTTCCCCTCCCCTTCTCTTAACCAAATGAGGGGAGGGGAGGGGAGGAGCTCCCCTCCTCCTAACCAAATGAGGGGAGGGAAAAGGAGCCCCTCCCCTCCCCTCCCCCCCAACCAAACGGGGCCTAAGGGAGTTAAAAAATTGTTGTTATCATTATATTGATTTTTATACATATAGTAACAATATGTTGGTATGAAATTGAATTTTCATAAATTAATTTATGCAAGAAAGAAGTAAAAAAAAATAATATCTAAAAAAATAATGATAAATTAATTAATGTCTCCAATCACTGAGGGTATGTTTGGTTTAAAGGAATTGGAGGAGAAGGGAGATAAATAATTTGATTATTCCTTTTTAAATGATTTGATTTGAATTTCAAATATATATACACCTACTTGTATAATGGCTAATGGGTAACCACTTTTTTATTTTATATATGTGTGTGTGTGTGTGTAAAAATAATAAATAATCTTAAAACTTACTCCAAATTTGAATTCTTTATTTTATATACATATAAAAATAATAAATTATCTCGAACTTAATTTTGAAGCACATAATATATTCACAATTTATTATATTTAAATATTATTTTTTAAATATTTATGAATGGAACGTGAGTTAAGCAAATAGATAAAATGTATATAATTTTTTGCTAGAAAAATTTTAAGAAACCATCAAGATAGATCAGATTTTTCATTTCAAATAGTTAAAAATTAGTTTTTATATTGGTTTAAAAAATGATATAAATAGATAAGCGTTAAGTTGAATTCAAACACACACACACACACATTCTATTCTGTGAAGCTTAATTTTTAAAAAATCATCAAGATAGATGCGACTTAAATTTCAAATGAGTAAAAATAATTTTTATATATATATAAAATTTAATAATTCATTTCACACATAAATTTAATCCTTAAACCTAAATAATATATTTTATATACATTAAAAGATAATAAACCATTTCAAACCTAACCTCAAACCTGACTTTAAAGTACAAAATTGCAAAAAAGGCATTTCAAAGCACAAAATTATAGTAAACCTAAAAATAAATACATGATATTTTTTTTTTATAGTTTTAAACCTTACTTTTATATATATAATGATCGTAGCTAATGCCACTTATTTATAATTAACATAATATCTAGGCAAAAGGAAAAATTGAATTAAAATTGACAATTTTATCTAATTACCATATATTAATTTTTAAAGAGTCTAGCTTAAAATTCAAAATTTAAACCTAAAGTATTTTTTATTATTAAGTACATTATATTGTCAATCCAAATTTATTGAATATATTGAGCGATGTTATTAACATATTATTATCAAATTACAATGTTATCAAAATTTCAAATACTTCTGGAAGATATGATTAATTTGGCAAAATTATTTTACCAAAGATATGTTAATGTGATAATTTTTTATACCTTTAACTTATCTTGGTTATATATTTCAAAATTAAATCCGAATATTTACTAATCATAAATTCAATATGAATAATAATTTGAATATACAATCATATTTTTCAAAATAATTAGAAACATATGGCTTTTTAGAATAAAAAATAATTATATTATGAAATAATTAGTTGTCATCGAAACCAATCCAATCCAATGCAATTAGATTATTTTATTAAAAAATTTATTAAAACAATAATTATACAGATAACAAATTCAAAATATTAACAAAAATATTAATTGGTTATATGGTATGTTTAGATTTTAATTAATCTTAATCTTAATATTTGTAACATTTTAATCTATTATAATTATGTCAAACAAATATTTAGATTGATATATGATGCTTTTGTAGATATAACTTATGTTATAGGATTAAACCAAACAGACAACTTAATATTTATTATATTTTATATTATGGCCTGTTTATTATATTTGTTAATAATATATCGTTGTATATTAATGATAAAATTTTTATAAGTTTTTAAATTTTTAATAATAAATTTCTTGTATATCAATGACAGACCCATTGTAAATCAAGATGAACCAATCATACTTCCAAATTTTTAAAAATTTGGTCCATATTTTTTAAGCACAAGGATTTTTTAGCTAGTAGGCCAATTTATCATTGATATGTTTTGATATTATTAACAGCATTTTAGGCAATTACAACAAATCAAAACAAAATACCCAGAATAAATTTTTAATCAATAACATAATCCTTGAATCAATTTAAAATCAATTATTAAACCTTACTTTTAAAACACATGATCGAGTAAGAATATGAAAGAATATGTTTTTTTATTTTATAAAGTTTCCATAAATTGATCTGTTTATATAAAATCCCTGACGGCCTAACCTATCTAAAACAAACTAATTTTTAATGACAACCACAAGTGGGCCATAAATCGTTAAAGTAGCACACATAAATAAAATTAAATTCAAATATATTTAGCATACCTAATATCTTTGTAATTCAAAACCCAATATTTCATAACTATGTAAAATAATTTAACAACATAAAATAAATTGGTGTTCCAAGATGAAAATGTGGAATGAAATCATAGCCAAGCACATTTATTTACAATTGATATAATATCTATATTGGAGGAAAGTTTGAATTTAAATTGTAAATCTAATTTAATCACTAGATATTGAAATTTAAACTAATCTAACTTAAAATTTGGAATTTAAACATGAAACCTTTTTATTTTTAAATGATATAGAGGGAGATATTATAAAATTGTCCCATAATTAAATATAATTTGAATTTCAAATAGATAAATCTATATATATATATATATAAATATATATTTCATTTTATTTTACAAACTGGACCTATCAAAATATAAACAATATTTAATTTTATTATTGTATGAAAATATAAAATAATTTGATTACCCCTTTTTAAATAATTTGATTTGAATTTCAAATACTCACACAAACATAATGGGCAATCACTCCTTTATTTTATATATATATATATATATATATATATTATCTTCCAAATTGAACATATCAAACATAAAAAAATTTAATTTATTTTTTATATAAAAAATTATAAATAATATCGAAACTTATTCTAAACCTGAATTCTTTATTTTATATACATATAAAAATAAGAAATCATCTCGAACCTAATTTTAAGCACAAAATATATTCATAATTTATTATATTTAAATGTTTTTTTAAATATCTATGAATGCAGGTTAAGCAAATAGATAAAATGTATATAATTTTTTGCTTGAATAATTTTCAAAAATCATTGGGATAGATCAAATTTTTCATTTCAAATAGTTAAAAATTAATTTTTATATAAATATAAAAAATTATATAAATAGATAAACATCAATTTGAATTCAAATATATATATATATATATATTCGATTGTATGAAGCTTAATTTTTGACATGTCATTCAAAATTTTTAAAAATTATCAAGATAGATGAGATTTGAATTTCAAATAGGTAAAAAATATTTTTTGTATACATATAAAAATTAACAATTCATCATGCACTTAACTCAAAACCTGTATAATATTATATATATATATATATATATATTAAAAATAATAAATCATCTCGAACTTAACTCCAAACTTAACTTCTGGGCATAAAATTGTAGAAAAAACATTTCAAAACATAAAATTGCAGCAAACTTAAAAAAAGAACACAAGACATTTTCTCATAATCTTCAATCCTTATATATATAATGATTAATTATTATCTTCCCTCCCTCTCTCTCATAAACCAAACAAAGAATCATTAAAAAAAATTTTCCCTCTCCCAACACCCAAATTAGACTAAACAAGGGAATATTACAACATTTCCCTCCCCTTCCCTCCCCTCTACTCACCTCCCTTAAATCAAACAAAGTGTAAATTAAATAAAGAATCATTGAAAATCCCCCATCTTCCCTCTCTCTCAATAAAACCTAATAAGACATAATCCCTCTTCTTCCTTCTCCTCTCCTCAAAACCAAACATAGCCTTAAAACATATATTTTGCAGGAGTATTCCTTTCCCCTTTCATTCTAACATTATTTTAAATAAGGAACAACCATTTTACGCCCTATTTGGCGGGAGGAAAGTGAAAAGATTCTAATGAATTCTAAAAAATAAGAAAAAAATTAATTAAAATCTTTCAACCCCGCTTCTCCACTTTTTTTTAAAATATAACTTTTTAGAATCTCCACTTCCCTTCCCTCCAGATTCCAACTATACAGACCCTGGTGTATCATACCAAACATAGTTATATACATTCTTCCCTTTCTATTTCTATATATGCCAAGCGCCACCTTTAGGTAATCTTTTGGATATATTTAATCAATTATCTTTGGATATTCATCGAGCATTACATTATCTATCGTCTATACACTTGGGTAAACAAAGGAAAACGCAAAGAATGGTTTCTATTCGCGAGTGTACATAAAGACAGAATTATATTTTATCGATGTATTTTCTTGAACACCATATGACCAGAATCATCCACATCAAACAACCGCCCAACAAATTCATTCCAACTATCATTTCGCTTCTTGCCAGACCAGGGGGGCACCTTACCGCTTGTACTAGCAGAATCCTCCCTTGCATCAGTCTCATGAAATGTTCCGTATGATGAAGGTGAGTATGCTTGAGGAATATCCAGAGCAACGGCCCTCTCAAGCGCTGCCTGGTACTCTTGGTTGTGTCGAGCTAGAGATTCATTCCGTTCCATCCTCTGCCTTGCTGGGACCTCCATAAGCCGACCTTTCTCTCGCATTAACTGATGCAGAAACAATGATTTATGTGCACACAGATATATCAATAGATAATTTCATCAATCAAATGGTCGGAGCTAAGAAAAGAATAAGAAACATGGGATATATTTCAAGAACAACTATATTGACACATACAATTGTGGTTTCAAGACTCCTGACTATGCAATACATGTGTGGCAGCAGTCAAAATACTTGTATACACTAAAGAAACTCACAAAAAATGCAAGCTTTATAATTCAATGTAAGTAAAATTCTAAACTGTTTTCCATAAAATTCCCGTTCATTAAACTACATTCTATAGTCATGAAAAGCTCATTTCAGTCCAGGTCTCCAACATCAAATCAAAGCAAAGGCCACTGAGCCTGAGAACTGTTATAGCCTACAGGTTATCAATATACAAATGACATTGGTGGGTTGGGACTAGCTTACCTCAAGAGCCGTTTGTGCTTCTCTTTCTATCCAAATGATAGCATGGTCTGAAGTTGCATTGCAAGAAAGAACTATATGCTCAAACCTCCCGTCAACAGGCACTGCTGTCCTTACAACAGGTGGAAACCTCCCCACCCTGCAACCAGAGATGCCACACAGAAATGAGCTGATTTTTACATGCTCAAAACTCCCGTCAACAGGCACTGCTGTCCTTACAACAAGTGGAAATCTTGTGCAAATATGATCAAAAATTAGGTTTAAGCCATCATCAAGTACACATATTTTCTTTTCTTTTTTGCACTCCTCGAGCTGCATCCCTTTATTATCATTTAATGTAGCCATGATCTCTATTTAATTGCACTTCATTTTTGTGCACAATATATGAAATATTCAACTCTCTCCAATTCGTTCCTTTCCCCGTTTTACAAATAGAGTGCCTAACTGCCTTTCAGCAAATTAAAGAGGTAGAATCTCATCCCCTTAAGAGACAGATAATACCTCTGTTTTGCACAGTGTGATTTGCCTAAGGACAGGCACACTGTTACAATGATCTATGACTCTGACCAAGAATTTTCAACATAATGCTTTACAATATACATAATGATCAATAAAACAGAGCTGAGAAAACTTCTCTACCTGAAGGGCTTTCGCTCAACAATATGATAAAGACGACCAGGTGCATATAGGCGCCTTGGATCCCTGAGCATCTTTTCCTCCAACGTGCAAGTATCTTTCAAGCACATCAGGCACAACAAACAGGGCAAACTGCCAGTACAGCATGACCAACTTAGAAGCTTATCTTAAGGGCAAAAACCTGAACCATAACATCACAAATGGTGATCCACTCAAATGAATATGCATGAAAAACTTTTTTTATTGTGATCAAATATTAAATCAGGCTTCGCTCAACAAGCCCCAAAAACTCATAATGAGAACAAGCCATGGGTATATTTTGAAAGTACAGACTATGAACAGTTTAAGTCAAGACTCAAATGTAAGGATAACAAAAAAAAAGTATAATTTTTTCAGCCAGACTACGAGAGAGATTATGGCGCTGGGGAAGTCATAATATAAATAATAAATTATAGAGATGAGCCTGCAGGCACTGAAGAAAATTATTAATTACAGATTAAGGCCTAGCTCCAACTTACCCCATGGATTTCACTATCTAGCTTCTAAGTCCTGCCTTATCAACAAATATAGATGTATGAAAGATCAGGTGTTCAATTTTTTCATTTGAAGGGAGCCGTTTAACAATGCCATGATAATGAATTCACCTTCAATCTATTCCTTAGTATCAGCCATTTAATGTTCAGGTATTTTGATACTCCCCAAAAAAATGATAAGGACATGCTAAAGTGTTTTACCAAAAGAGTGACTTGAAGACATCTTGTAAAGCAGTGGTTGTCCGTGGTAAAAAATCATCCTGGTTGTGCAGAGAAAATCATATTAGGATAGACGTGCATCAAATTGATAACAAACAGATAACAGAGACAAAAAATTCATATTGACTTCTCTATTTTTGTATCCACACTAACTGTGAATTATTCTTATTTCCGGGATATTCATCCCCAGAAGTGCAATATATTAACTGTGTTATTTGAGAACTTGAAACATTCAGAATAATCAACCATTCACCAAATTAGGGCATTTTTCTTGATGCACGTAAAACGTCTCTAACCTTCTGCTTGAGAAAAACTTTAACAGTTTTGCTCACTTGCAATCAGCATATCACAATCACATTGATAACTAGATTCATGTGAAGGAAAAAAATCATACCCACAGACATATATAAATATTAATATATAAATTTAACATTTAGCTATGAACCCCACCTAGTGGGATTAGGCTTGTTGTGTTGTTGTTGTTGAACATTTAGCAATGACAGATGACAAGTAACATGCTACATTGCTACATATGCAAACAAAGTTTGTAAGATAGAATCCACTTAAGCTTATTACCAGCAATCTTGGTAGTATTACTGTTACAACTTACAGACTTACAGTGTTACATACATACATGTGACACAGAGGTCCACTTTCACTGCAACCACTATCCATACCAAGCTATCAGTTTTCTGTATTTACATCATGTTTAAGAACTTGTATGAAGATATATTACCACTTCCTAATTAAACGCATGTCTTGATAATCTCTATAGACTCAGTCTTGTCTGTTTAGATGGAATCATGATGGCTTTGAAATCAGTCAGGAAAGATGGTAAAGTATAAAGTTCACGATGCAAGGAGATCAATTAACCTGGAGTACGACAGAATAGATAACATCTGCATATCTTACAGCCAAATTGAGAGACATACACCGAGCAGGAGCTATAGCATAGCATTTTATCCTGTTTCTTTCTATGTCCAATTTGTCTCGGTTATGAATTGCTATCAATGTCAACAATGCCACCACCCCAGCCCCTAGGGAATGCCCACTAAATATCAGCGTGTATGCAGGATTTTCTGCAACCAGATCCCTGAGAACCTCGAACTCTGCATCAAAAACCCATTCCGCCGCTTTCAATAACCCATTGTGAACATAACCACCATGAAATTCTGTTTGCCCCAGTTTGTTGTCAAGCAAAACTGCATAATCACTTTCCACTGCTAAATTGAGTCCGCTAACAGCCAGGATAATTTCAGCACGATCATGATCAAGGTATATCATATAGGGAGTAACACGACCTTGGTTATCCCCATAGTCTTTACGTAAGGTTACCCAGGCAGGATTAATGCCATAACCCCCAGGGGGAGCCCACAGAGGGTTACGAATGTCATCTTCATAGACAGCTAATATGAGACGACACATTCGAGGTACAGGCTCAAATTCTTCCGCAGAAGCTAGACCCCAGTTTTCACTCTCATATCCAGCAGTATAGAGACATTTCTGCCAAGCCCAGCGAGCACATGCCAGACAATAAACACACTCAAGTATAGGAAGCCCACAGATAATTGACATCAACGCCTATGATGTGAGCATGTTGAGAGATGTTACAGATGGTAGAGCCAAATAGAAGTTATTACATAATAATAATAATAATAATAATAATAATAATAGAAGCTGATGCGTTTCAGGAATTGAGTTTACACCAATAGGACTGGATCAGGTAGTGATCGATAGAAAAACTACGGAATTTTTTTCCTTAGAGAAAGTAAAGGGTTCAGATTTCAGGATATGAAGGCAGATGGTCGGCAACAACTCTATCAATAATAGGAAAGAGAATTAAGTGGAGAATGACTCCATACATGAACAATTAGGACTGACATACGAAACTTAAGGGGTCGATATACAGATACACCACTCAAATGCAAGCGTTGAGGTGAAGCAAAGCGCCTAAACACATGAAAAGATTCCCATTTTGTTAGAATTTAAATTTGAAATTACAGAAAATCCGCAACAAACGAGCGACCCGCACATGAAAATGCCAAAAACAAGGACAAACGATTCTGGAGAAATATAAGGAGCAAAGAAATAAATAAATGTCTGGACTCTTGGGGGCTTTGAGCACAAATCATTACTAGCCAAAGTCTAAAGGCATGTAATCATTGTATTATACTTGATGAGTGGGAAAATGATAAATCCCTAGGCACAAAGGAGTTGACAGCTTTGGGTTCTGGGTTCCTCCAAGAATTGCAGCTAGAAACTGAAAGGGGAGACAGAATAAACGATATCAGAGGAGGAAGAAAAGGACAAGAAGAAAGAATTGATACGGGCCTCCACCTACAAGTCAAACCCATAATCAGCGAGTAAGCTTCGAGAATCTACTCGTTAGTATAATTTAATTCCCTAGCCACTGCTGACATGTGGATTTCTCGTTCCCCGCAGAATTTTAGCTTGGACAGCGAATTACTTTTTCCTTTCGGTTCCGCCGTCACTTGTGAACGTTAGTTTGTTATCATAATTTTGTCATTCTGAAAATAGTTATTTAATTCATGAATTTTTTTCCAATTTAATTCATCGAAGAAAGTGGCCATAATTTTTTAAAATACTTGTTTTATTCAGTAAATCTCTTCATTTGGCTATATAATTGCAAAGACATGAGTTCCCGTCACTTCTTGTAATTGGAAATTTCAATTTATCTAATACCTGTCTTAAATCCTTAAAAAAAAAAAAAAAGTTTTGGTTGCTGGGGATAACAATAATATCTAGAGGTATGATAAGTTGGATGTAGGCAAGTGAAGAAGAAATGTTATTATTGTGTTTTTTTTTTTTGGGGTATACAACGGGGCATAAAGCCCAAAACAAAACTAAAGCAGAAATCATGGATGGGTAGGAAACGCCCAAGTTATCCCTATGCAGTTGATCACATAAGCCCTCAGGTGGTTCTTGTAGCAGCTGGACGAAGCTAGTCTGAGTGTGACTCCAATTTGCAAGCCAATCAACACTCTGATTCCCTTCTCTATACACGTGAGAGATCCTCAACCTCCATCGGTCTCCTAATAGCTTACGAAAACAATCAATAAATCGATTTCTAGATTGCCCCGTGTCCAACCAATCTTCTAATATTATTTTTTGTTTTTGAAATGTAATCAGCTTCTCTTTACTTGATTCACTAAAAGTCTTAATCTTAACTACTAAAAAAGTTAACTCTCATCCTTTCCTCATAATTAAATTAAAGAAGTAACTTATTGAACAGAACCTAAATAAGTTTTACTTTATTGGTATTTATGGTGCATTCAGACTTATTCTTAAAAATTGCTACATAAAATTTAATTTGAAGGATATTTTTATCTTTATGTTTGGACCAAAAATATTCGTTGGAATGGACTGATCATTGAGAAAAACAAAACAAAGAGGTGTGAAGTGTGAACATGGATCAAGTCCAACGAACCCTTAAAGGTCAGGACCTCAACAAATTTAGTAGAACGTCACACATGACAAAGTCTTGGTCATGTAATCAGGTCCTTGAAGATCTCAAAGCACTCTTCAAGCCACGCTCCACCATCATGGGGTGCTTGACTTCAGATACTGCCCACAATTATAGCTTCATTGAAGAGGGCAAAATTCAAATTTGAATTAGAGGGTAGTGACCTGAACGTATAAAAGGAAAAGGCCAACAACAAGAGCTCTTTCCCTATCCACATCTCCCTCCTCCATCAAACTCAACCTGCTAACTAACTATCAAGCCAAAATCTTGCCCCGCGTGACCCTGGTTCCCTGTCTATATTTGTTATTTTGCTTCTCACTCCATTAATTGGAGTATCTAAATTATGCTTCCCTTATTTAATAATGTAAGACACTTTTTAAAATGTTAAATATTAAAAAATATGAAGCATTTTTAATGTTTTAATATATAATCATTATATTTTTTTTAAAAGTGTCATTAATGAATAAATTATTTTATATTTATTTTAGAGTGAAACACCCTATTAAATAAAAGTAAATATGAAAAGATGGTGTTAGTTTAAAAATAAATAATTATTTTATTGAGGGTGAAATTCAATTAAAAATACGTTATATTTTTTAATGTAAAGAATACTTTCTTGTGGATGAATGGTTATTTCTTTGGAGTATTTTTTCCTGGACTCTTGATGGCTCAGCGAGGCATTCCAATATAATTACGATGAAAGACCCCAGAAATCGCAATACCTGATTCATACACATTCGAGGACTAAAATTCTTTTTGTATGCCCGGTACATACAAGGGGCGCAAGGCTCTAAAATTCAAGCCGACACTTTAATATTAATAAAGTATATATATATATATATATATATAATATGTATATGTATATAAAGGCTTCCAGCCAGCTTTAAAAAAAAAAAAACAGAACAAGTAAATTAAATTTATAAAATTTCGAGAAATGTCATGGTTATCTTTCGTCAATTTCTAAATTAAATTAACAACTAAGCGCTTAAATTAATTAATTAATTAAGAGGTTGATCTCTCTTAACTAGAGTTTTCAAGTTTAATTTCTGTGCATACCATAGTAATTAAATTCTTAATGAGAGGTATATTTTCAAAAAGATACTCACAAGTTATTCACTGAATTAGTCTAGGTATTTGACCTAAGAAACTAGGGTGAGAGCAAAAAAAAAAAACTAAATTAAAATAAATTTATTGCTCATTATAAATTATTGTGATATATTTGTAATTATATATTATCTATCAATTAAGAAAATATGCGTTTAGTTTCAAATACAGATAAATATATGAAAAAGATTGCGGCTAATATATTTTGTGTAAGTTAGATTTTCTAATTCTATAAATTAAGTCCCACACTTCCCTTGTAATTAAGGAAATTATCGATTGAGCAGAACTGAAATAAATTTTAATTTCTAAATATTTAAAAACTTTTCTTTAAAAATTATAAAATTAAATTAATTTTAAACGATATTTTAATTATCTTTAACTTTAAAAATAAGTACATATATAGAATTAGACTTCCAGCAAATTTTAAAAATAAAACAAACAATTATTTATAAAATCTCGATAAATGTTTTGATTATCTTTCATTAATTTCTAAATTATTTAAATTAAATTTATTGTCCACTGGAAATTATTGTGATATATCTTTAATTATCATTATCTGTCACTGTCTATCAATTAAGTAAATTAGCGTACTTGAGAAAACTGGCGTTTTGTTTCAAATACAGTCATAAACATTATTAATTAATTAATTACATGAAAAGTAATCCAGCTAATATATTTTCTGCAAGTTATATTTTTTAGATTAGGTTAGATTCTATAGATTAGATTTACCTATAAATTTAATTCTCATCATCCATGTTTTTATCAAATTATATAATTTAATAACAAATTTAAACTACTTATAATTATTTTTTAAAAAAAATAAGCTTTAGTTTTTAATCTTGTATTAACAATATATTTCATATTTTTAATACTTTTCTGTGGCAAAGCACAATCTTAATATTAATATCAATAGATTGATTGTTAAAAAGATGATTATTATTTATCCTACAAAAAATTAAAGATAATGATTTATCCTGTATCCACATAAAAATTATTTTTGCTTATCTTCAACTTGTTGTGCATGCAGCATCATCACCAGTATAAATTAAACGCAGTTAGTGACGGGTTAATAACATAACTCAAATTTTAGAGAAACCTCGCAAGTAACATAACAATGACGAGTTTTGTGCCAACTCTTACTTCCCAACTACTGAGACGAAGAACACCAAGAAGAGTTTATCAAAATCAGAGGTTGCAACCTCATGACTCTGCAGGTATTTATTTACATAGCTCTTGTCACTTTCCCCATAATCCTCAATATCAATTCGCTCGCATTCTAAAATCCATTCATGTATTGGGCAGATGAAGCAAATAATGAAGCAAGATCAGTAAAAGCAACAAAGACATGTTTGGTTCGCGTCGTGGAACTTTTGTCGCCCTTGCTTCGCCATAGATTAGCAATATTCACGTTATTGGTCGGTTGTGCAGACGCGTATTTGGTCGTGCGCGAGAGTCCGAGTCCAACGAATTGGGGATTTCGAGTCACAGCTCTCTTAAGCCTTGTCAAATTAACATTCTATATAATGTTTGGAAGTAAGCCAAGTGCGCGTCGCCGTAAACACAATCAATTGCCAACAAGTCTAGCCATGATTATTACTGCCATGGCTTTAATATTTGCAAGGACGAGACATCAAAGCCTGCAAGCTTTAATATCACAACTCAAGCACTTCAATGTTCAATTCTTAGGTCCTTTTTTTGCCTTGGTAGTGGGATTGCTCCTCTTATTTGAGAGTCTTGGGTTTTAATGTTTTATAGTTGAACTCAGGTTTAAGTTTCCATTGCTATACAGGTATACATACATACATATATATATATATATATATATATTCATTCATGTTTCTAAGCTTCCAATAAATCTGCCTTGGCTTTTTTTTTTTTGGCCTCAAGTGAGTATTAACATACCCTAAATTTAAACTCAAGTCTTGATTTTGTTATTGGTCTCACCTGGAAACATCTTCATCTAGAATAACGATTTAAAACAAGCTTAACTATTTCTTCGAACATGTTTTCAATCATCCGCGTGGGATTGCTTTTACATATTAAATAAAATAACTTTTTTTTGGTGTAATAAATAAAATAACTTTCTAATCTGATTCCCCTTAAGCTTTTTTTTTTTTTGGTAAGCAACTATTATTTTGGTTACTCTTGAGGACTTTGAGCAAGAATCTACATAACAAGCTCACCCAAAAAAAAAAAGGTAAGTTTTAAAATTGTTGATGACAGGCTGTAGTAAAAAGGCGTTACATAGGAATAGTACAATCATAAGCAAAAGGTGGCCGGATCATGTCTTCATATATGCTAATCTTCAATACTGAGATAATGTCACATCACATTGGCACAATTAATCGCATAATAAAGTTAAATATAATTAATAATCAATGTAATCAAGTGAAAATGACACAGGGTTAAAGAGTAAATTTATTCTAATTTTTTTTTTCAAAATATCAGGTGTTGTAAATTTTTGTTTCGAGTATTTTTATCCAGAAACTTAGAAAAAAAGGGCTTTTATCTCTCGTTCGTTGACCGTCAAAACTCAAGTTTGACTGACGAAATAACACCTCGCATTCATAAGATAAGCTGATTGGATCCGTGTATTTCTTCTTCTTCTTTCTCTCTGCACTTAGACCCAACTCTCCCATGCCCCCCCCCCTCTCTCTCTCTCTCTCTCATTCGTCATCAGGACCCTCTTCAGCCATCGTTGAGCTCAGGTTTGTCTTACCTTCCAATCCGACCCAAAGTCCACCCCCTCCATCTCCATGATCATCGAGTTAGCCGCAGCCACGAGGTCATCCAAGTCGATTAGCCGATGGCGTCTGGGTTGGTCTACATCTCCTTGGAATGTGACATGCACCACTCCTCGATGACGCCTAATCACGCTGCGGCAGCGCCGACAGCCTCTTAGCTTCACATTAGTGGCCAATTGAACGAGGAGGATTTGAAATTAAATGAAAATCGATAGGTCCCATTCGGCATCTCCCGAGCAAAAGGTATTACAAACCACAAGCCTCTCTGCTTCACCATCAAGCGCAAGTTCTTCTATGCTCTATGCGCTAGCCGCTGAGAATTATTTTTCTTGATTCTATATCTTCCTTTCCTCCTCTCCTTTGTTATTGACTTGTGCCTATTCTTAAGAAAGAAAAAATAGAAAGTACATTAGAAAGAAAGCAATAGAATGGTGAAATTGAGGGAAGAGCCAAAAAGCATATATCTATATATTTTCCTCATCAAAATTTTGCTGGTCATCAATCTTTCATAAGCTTCTAGGCTTATAATTTTGTTTTTGTTGTCTTGCTTGGGACTTTGATTACTTGAGATTTTCGTTTTCATGGATAGTTAATAATTGTTGCCAACTTGTGCGAAAAAAGTAATTTTGGAGAGGTAATTAAAAGATGAAACAGGGCATGAAAACTAAATATAGAGAATTGATTTTGAAGGTACTGAGAAGAGGTTGTCATGTTTATCTGCAGCTTAGAAAACCTATCGATGGTAGTCTTCGCTAATAGCTTAAAGTCGAGGTGGGAGTGGGAAATGAGCGTGGGAAGGGAGGGTGTGGATGAAATGAAAGGAAGGTTGAAGAAGAATGAGGCGGCGTCACACGCAAAGATGAACAAGGAAGGAAGAAGATGGATAAGAGCACTGAGCAGACGATTCTTTGAAGAAGAGCATAAAAGCTTTAATGGCCACGTGTGATTTTATTTTATTTTTTTTAATTTTTTAAAAAAACCACTTGACAGTGAAAGTTAAATAAATAGTCAACTAACTGTCAGCACTGAGAGCAAGGTAAAAAAAGCCTCTTTTTTTAAGTTTTAGTGTAAAAATATTTCAAATAAAAATTTAGGATATTCAGTGTTTTTTTTTTAAAAATTCAAGATAAATTTTTCCTTTAACGTGATAATATAAAATAGCAAAACAAAACTCTTTACATATTCAAAGCCTAAAAGTATGTAAATTGATTAACATATTGAATATAAAATATGTTATCAAAACAGTACAGCAGGATATAAAATTTTACCCTTTTAATTACATTTATATCAAATATTTTAACACAATTATTAAAATTAATTGGCATCAAGAGAATTCTTAATATCATTCATGTTATACTCATGGACCCTTGGTATGTTTTTTTCCTTATTAAGCGGGCAAGCAAAAGCTAGGAGTTAAAATAAAATAACAAGCTGATCAAGTACGTGGGACAAGCCCCCTCTATTATCAATCAAAATAAGCAAGGTCATAAAAACTTGATCGCTCTTTGAATCAATTGAGATAGTGATTTAAAAGTTAGTGGTTCAATTAAAGATTAAGTTAAAATCAAATCAGTTACGGTTAACATAACATAATTTAATCAAATATACAAAAATATTTATATGAAGGACCATAATATTTAAATAAAAGTCATTAATTCTTGATTAAATGAAAAATTTACCTACAAAATCTTATGCATGTCTGATAAAAATAATAATTATAAGTTTTTGATAATAATAAAATATGATATCATTGAAATTATTAATTTAAAAATTTATATTTAATTTAATATTTAATATTCAAAAGAATAAAAAAATAAAATAAAAAAAATAAAATCCCACCCAAATCAACCCATTAAATCATCGGGTTGCATGAGTTTCACTGTTTTGAAGTTAGTGTATAAGTAAATGGTTTCCTCAATTAACCAATCCAATTAGGTGACTAGTTTATGAGTCAACCTGACCTACGTTTATATACAATGAAAATAAGAGATTCACGTCACCTAAGTAAAGTGAGCTCATTGGAAGAATCATGCGCCATTTTTTGCCAGATAGTCCGCACACATCATTGTCCAATTGGCATGTGAGTTGTGCCTTTTTAACAAGAGATTTCGAATTAAGCTTTCAAAATGTAGAAGTATTAACAGTAGAGTTTCAACCACAAAAGGGTTTTTTTTTCCAGTTTGATATGAATTAGTCTGACTTCATATTAAAATCTTCTCAGCATGACGAGAGGCAAATTTACGATATTGATTGCTTTACTCAAAAATTCTATTTACATTATTATTTTTTTTAATAACATGGATGTGTATATACTGACGAGGAAAAAAATCGATGATTCCAAGCCATAACTCACTCGATGTTGTCAAGTCTGTATTCTTATTCAATCTATATGTTGTGGGTATCCTTCCAATTTTGGACAATAACTGATTGATTCTGATTGTATGATCAAGATCTAAACGATTATTGACCATAGCAGCTTTTCAAAGAATTGCCTCCTGAATAAGACATTGATTTATCTTTTTTTTTTTTTTTTGAGTGAAGAAGAGAAATCTCGTTCCATCATAACAAATTCAGGCATTTCACTAACTACGTGGAACAAGCCAGAACTTGATCAACAAAACGTACGATCCGAACATATCCTTGCAAACTACGTTCTCCACAGCACAAGCAAGCCAAACCATCCGTCAACCATGAATACGCTGCGAAATGAAAACAAAACACCCCCCCCCCCCCAAAAAAAAAAGAACGAAAGAAAGAAAGAAACCATGCACGCACGGTGCGCCCATCATTGAGGCCATATCGAGTGTGGGCCATCCCGCCGTAATATTTTACAACCACAGACCATCGCTTTTCACGTGTTTGCTTCTCCTTCCTCGTTTCCAAACCATCCCCGCAGCCTCGATTCTGGCCTCGCTATGCCCACCAAACCAAGGATTTCTAATGGCTTGATACACTAGGTCACACGCTTCAACCCTACGCCGCTCCCCATTGGATCAGGAGTAGCTAGCTACCTCTGTAATTTGCGAAATCAGATTCGTATCAAGCCACTTTTGGAAGGAAAGCGGAGTTATCTCATTAATGGACAAGGAAGAAGGTGAGTCTGACACTATTCCCTCCGTTTGATTCCGTTGTGGAGAAAATCTCGGAAAATATTTGTAAAGCTGAGTGATTTTGAAAATGTTTCATTTTTAGTTATTGTATTCATAATTGAGCGATTCCTGAGCAAGCAGAGGAATTGGTGAAGAGCCAATGTTATTGAATCAGGTGGATGATGATTTCCAATTTCTACGAGGATTTTGAGTTTATTTCCCTTCGTTTGATTTGCAGTGTTTGAGTTTCTTGGATGCGTTCCACTACTACAGAAGCTTCCTAGCTCGTCCCTGAGGAAGATATCTGAGCTTGTAGTTGTCAAACACTTTGGTGAAGTTTAAATTTGGGAATTTGCCCCTTTTTTTGGTTTCTATTTGGTTTTGAAAATCTGACCTTTACGAAGTGAACAAGCTGGCTGATGAAGTACTAGAAACAATTTGAATATTCAGACTTCCAACGCTAAAGCAGATTCGTTACATTTTAACTGCATCTTGGAAGACATATTTGTTTTGGGGAAAAATGGATAAACGGATTTCATGGATTAATGTTTTGTTCTGATTTGTTGTATAATTGTGTGTAGAGCCGCGGGAGTATGTTGTTCGTGAGGGTGAATCTGGGGCTGGAATCTACTTCGTATGGGAAGGAGAGGTATTTTTATTTATACGCCTACTTTCAAAATTTGCAAATTTTATACTCTAACGTCCGGTATCCGGTCTTATAGGCTGAGGTTGTTGGGTCTGTTACTTCAAATGATGAGAATCGTCCAGAGTTCCAACTCAAAAGATTTGACTATTTTGGTTATGGTAGTATTCTTCATTCCTATGCTTCAAATCTGCACTTTATTGTTTGGAAGTAATTTCATTTCATGCATTGGGCTTAGGCTTGTTAGATAGTTTGTGTCATAATGGGTCCATGAAAAGTTTATTCCTAATTTGACGACCCTCCTTTGCACTGATAAAGTGTCATTTTGTTCAAACTTTTTAATCATCCAACTGAGATTTTGTTTCTCTATAAAGTAATCTAAGACATGGATACCATTTTTTCCCTATGACAAATCAATATGGGTTTGCCTTGCACTTATTACATTTTTTAACTAAATCTCCCCCCCACCAAAAAAAAAAAAAAAGCATAAGTCCATATTCGATTGCCTAATGTCTGGCTCATAACTCTTGAGCTTTAGCATCTATTTTTCTGTATGGAGTTTTCTTGATTCTATAAAGATATCAGAGATATTGCTTGGATTGTTTTATGAATGATAGCTAAAGAAGAATAATGTTAAAGTTGCAAATTGTAGGTTTGTCAGAGGCAGTTCACCATGCAGATGTCATTGCTTTGTCTAAGGTGCTGTAGTAATTTTTATTCTACTGCTTCCAACATTCGACATCTTATCTTGGGCGCACAGGTCCTTGGGGTACAACTTAAAATGAGTGATGTTTACTCCTGTAATGACTTTCTGTTGTTTCCTCTTGCAGCTAACATGTTTAGTACTGCCACATGAACACTCAGCTCTGCTACAGCCAAAATCGATCTGGAGTGCTGAAAATTCTCTAGAGATTTGCTCACCTGTGGAACAAATATTGCATTTAGAGCCCATAGAGGTGGTTTTAGTATACTTTTTTTCATGAGTTCTTGATTTCTTCTCGTTTAACAGTTAATAAGGCTTTCACCATCTGATTATTGTGTTAGAAAACAATATTGGATGTTTCTGCATGAGAGGCTGTTTCTATTGTCATTATAATTATATTTGTTTTGAGCAAGATATAATTATATAAATACTGCTATTCACCTTCATAGGTCCTGATGCAACATTCACATGACTTGCAGAAAATATTTATGTATTATGCTAGAGAGAATTGAATATACAATTATTTCCTTCTCATTTCTCACTGCGTGTGTGGGCAAGAGAGAGAGAGAGAGAGTTCCCCAACTAAAAGGCAAAGACTACAGTTTTTTCCTGAGCAGATATCTTTTCAGAAGAAGTTACGTATATTTTTTTGGGGAAAAAGGGTCAGTCTTGTGTGCTTGTCCTGCTGGTATCAAGATTCAAAAACCCTGTTCACAACAGCCTTGCTACAAAAGCATGGTTTTGTTAGAAGATTGTCTCTTTTACACTTAGTTTTCATGGATAATAAGCACTAAATTCAATGGCTTTGTTTTTAGAACGGTATAAATATTGATGGAGACATTGAGTGTATCTTTCACGGTAACATACTCTTTCACTGAAAATTCAAATTTTTCTCTATTGAAGGTAGATCTTTTCCGAGGAATCACCCCCCCTGATGCTCCCAAATTTGGGAAAGTGTTTGGGGGTCAGATGATTGGCCAGGTATGGGTAAAACTGCTTTATCTCAATGTTACAGGATACTAATGATGTCACCTATGCTTCTTGACATGTATTTACAAGATAGAGCATCACATGCAGGCACTGGCAGCAGCATCGAAATCTGTTGACTTTCTTAAGGTTGTTCATAGTTTGCATGCCTATTTCCTTCTTGTGGGGGATTTTAACAGTAAGTTTGTTTCATTTGTTTGACGACAATGCTCTAATATAATTCCCTTTTTGTATGTAATTTTACTCCTTTTTCTCAAGATGATATGCATATTATGTTAAATGTGAGCAAACGATTTGTTCCCCCCTTCTACATATTAACCCCCCAAAAAAAAAAGTTTTCTTTATTTTTGTATATTACTGTGCCAATGGTCTGGATCCTTATTTTCTTTAGTCTGTGATTAAAGAATTATCCTCTTCTTTTTTTCATAACTTATAATTTTTCATCATCAACCTCGCTATACCAATCTGCGTAAGTGTTTTGGTAGGATATCTTCAACTGTTCTTCATTGTTTAAATTTTTTGCGCTAGATTAAGCTGCACAGTACAAATAATTAGACAATACAAAAGACTCAAATCGTGAGAGGTTGTGAATAAAACTGGCAACTTTTTCCTCTAAACAAAAAGTGTAATATATGTTTGTTAATAGGAACTAATGATTTAGACTTTAATATTATCTGAAGAATCAATTTTTTGGTAGGTTTCAAGTGACTCCCTATAGATTCTTTAGAATTTGATCCTTGAGTTGGTCCTTTAGGGTAACATATTAACAATTCATTTTTGAGTGAATTGTGTAGCATGCATTATGAACTTATTGAATTGCATTATTTGTTCCATTGTTTTTATGCATATACTATGTTATGTGTAATATTAATTCATCTGTTTAGTTTAACTCATAAAATTTAAAACTTATACTTGGTTTATATTTTCCTTTTGCAGTGCCAATTATATATCAAGTTTATCGTCTACGTGATGGTAAAAGTTTTGCTACACGAAGAGTGGATGCAATTCAAAAGGGAAATGTTATATTCTCTTTGCTGGCTTCATTTCAAGTAATCTTTCTCATTCACTTGAAATAATATGAATATTTGGTCATCTGTTGTGAATTAATTGAATCCTTTTGTTTTCAAAAATAAAAAATCTGTTCTTTGTGTAGATGTGAATCTGTTTTTTTGGCTTTGGGGTTTATAAAGAAAGCACAAGTGCTTCAGAGTTGGGAGTGGGAAAAGAGGGCTGGATAGATATGGAACCTAGGTACATTTTAGGTCCCCTGTTACTTTATGTCTACAGGAGGTGCTACTTTAGTTAAGGTTCTTGGGCTTCGTTCTCTCTTTTCTTATAGATGTTTCCCCCTTGATGTTATTACTGTCCAGGTTGTCAATTTTAGAAGTAAACAGTGATCTTCTAGATTAATATTTTAGATTTGTATTGCCTTGAAGCAAAGGAGGTAACAGTCACTTAGAGGATCATCTTGAATAGTATTGCAATATATCAATACTATACTGATTACATATTGCTAATGTATTAATGTGATGGGAAAACCCAGGGTCTGTCGTGAGACAGCATTCCCTTAGCTCTGTGGTTTTAGTGTGACAGGCATCTTTATACATATACTTAGTTTAGATTATGACTTTTGTTCATGCACTAGTTCAAGAAACTTGTTCTTATGGTCCAGAGCACATAAAAATCTATTGTTGCTTTTATCCTACAGAAAGAGGAAACAGGGTTTGATCACCAGGAAGTGACTATGCCATCTGTCCCTCATCCTGATATGGCAAGTAACTGTCCAACTTTAGATTTTTTTTTTCCCAATTCCTGTTATGAATTTTAAACGTGTAATCTGGTATATGTTATAGCTTCTGTCAATGGAAGAGCTCCGAGAGAGACGTCTTACTGATCCTCGTCTTCCAAGGTATTATTGATAGTTTTTCACTTTTTTGACCCTTCTTTAATTTTAATCAAAATGGATATCTGAGCAATGCGAAGGCTATGGATTAAAATAAAATATAATTTATCTAACAGAATTTGGGATATCAGACAGGGGGTGCGCACATCTTTCCAATTTGCCCCACCTTGCTTGCTTTCATTAAGTTTGAACTTGGGACCCCCAAGTTGGAATGCTTGGTGCTTAACTATTGTGGTGTTCCATTGGGGATGTAACAAAAAGAACTTTTGGCCTAAGCAGAGTTGAATCCATAAACCACTCGTCTGGAACATGAGATTTTTTCCTGCCACTCTGTAGACTTTTTAACCACCCACCCGTGTATTGTGCATGAGTTTTAAACTGTGAAATTGATAACTTAGAACAACAAATGGTAGTGAAGTTGAATATGTATACTTACAAATTATAATTAAATCATAATTTTAGTGCACATAATTTTCAGTATTTGATTTCGAAAAACACCACGTGACCTCACAATATGTAACTATATTAAACATGTGTAGAAGTAAATTTTAGACCCAATATCACCTTATTTAAACTAGCTTATTTTTCTGTTCTGATTAAGCAGTCTAATCTTTTGATGGATTAATGTTTGTGATTTCCTGTAGTTCACTAATAAATTATGATGCTGGAATGACCATCTCAAGTATCATTGCTGCCAAAGTTTATATGCCTGATTCTTCTAGCAGAAGATTCCCATGATTTATTTATGTATTCAATCAATGTCTAATCATCCAGTAAAATTTTCTAAGAGATGTAAGCTTAAAAATGTAAGGTAGAAGATAATTTTGTTCAGCTCTGCGAGTGGAAGCCCACCAGGATTATGTATCTTTTTCCATTAGGATTAATTAAATGCTATCAAAGCTGAAGAAAATTGATTTTCTAGTTTATCGAAATATGTTGAAGGAAAAACAATGCTGCTTTTAAAGCTTCATTTTCCCGTTTATCAAAATATGTTGGAGGGAAAAATGTGGCTTCTGGTGTTGACCATGGGACTTCAAAATCCTTTTATAAATGACATTTTCTCAATGATGTAAAATGACATGCCAAGTGGCTATAATGGAACTGCTGTCTGTATTGCTTTCAAGGTTATCATGCTTCAATATTATTGACAACTATGCACGTTTGAAGACCTTTCTTCTTATTTTCTAAGAATTTTCAGTTCTTAATGACCGTGCGAAGACCCTCAAGCAAAATAATGTTTTCTGCTCTGTTGTTTCAGAACGTACCGGAACAAGGTGGCTATTTCTGAATTTATTCCCTGGCCCATAGAGATACGGTTTTGTGAACCTAACAATTCTACAAGCCAGACCAAATCTCCTCCTAGGTTAGCCTGATTCTTTCCGAGAAATCTTTTGACTTAAATTATTACAGTCTTTTAATTTAAATAAGGCATTCAATGTTTCTTTTCGTGCTGGAACCAATATATAAATTTTGTTGGCAGATTGCGATACTGGCTTAGGGCCAAAGGAAAACTTTCAGATGATCAGGCTCTGCATCGGTATTCATTTTCTGTTTATCATTAGATATGTCTTACACAGCAGTTTGGCAGAATCAGTAGTTTGTAATACTGCATGCTAGTATTTATATCCCATAATAATATATTTGACATGAACTGCCTGAATATTATGTTGGTGCGTTTGGGAGAGAAGCAAAGTAGTTGTTTAGGATGAAAAGCATCCAAGACCTTCTCGATGTCTTTGTGATTCCCATCTAAGTTTAAATACTTTAAAATTTTTAAATTAAAATCTCTATCTTGCCTTTGAAAGCTTGTCTTTTGAGGAAGGATCAATTGGGACTTGGGAGCGTGGTTATTAATAATGCATTGTAGCTTTTCACTCAATGGTATGGTACCAGGTCCCACGTGTAGCCTTGCAACTTTCATTTAACCCCATTGTATCCATATTACAGGTCCTATTTTGTGTGGTTGTAGCTTGCTCTACAGCTCTAAATATGAATAGGGCAATAACGATGGAATTTTTAACTGATTTTTCAATTATCAGTGCTGGTGGTTCTCTTGACCTGTCGTTGGACAATTGATGTCTTCTGAAAATCATATCAAGAGCACAAGAAGGAAATGTCATCCTCCTCTTTCGTGCCCGTCATAAGGTTGGCGAACAAATGAAGACCTCAATAAATGAAGAGGAGATTGAATTATTTCTCAATGATGATGATGATCAAATTGATGGATTTCAGGAAAAGAAATGGGACTACATATCTTAGGATAAATATTGACGTCAACCTTTGTTAAGCATTGAATATTTTATAGTTTAAAAGGTTGATGTTGTGATTAATGGGTGATTTTTTTGTTCTCACGAGGGTTTCAATGATCGGTTATCTGTCTTAGTTATTACCAAATATCATTACCGAATATATAGAGTTTCTTATAATTATGCTACGTCTTCATGCAATTTGTACAATGCTATGCGCTATGCACTATATATGGCATTTAGGGCCCTTGTAGCGCTACATGCTATTAATAACTACGCCTGGGAGTTTGAACCTTGATATCTGCGATTGTCAATGAATGGCAATGTGATAGTTATTTCAACATGCTTAAAAGCTCCATAAATGATGTTTCTAAATATTTCAGAGAAAGCCGCTGGTTTCTTGTCTTCAATTTCTATATGTTTGTTGTATTGCAGGTGTGTGGTGGCATATGCTTCAGATCTATTATTTCTTCAAGTAAGCTTGAATCCTCATCGGCAGAAGGATTTGAAGACTCGTTGTGTGAGTCTGGACCACACGTAAGTATCTGATGACCATTAAGTTCATGATCGGTAATTTATTCGTTGGCATGTGTCTAACGTCACAAAGGAACAAGATTTTTGTACACATTATCTGTCGTGCCTCTTGCTAATCCTTTTATTTTCATTTCAGAATGTGGTTCCACCGCCCTGTAAGAGCTGATGACTGGGTGCTATTTGTGGTAAGTTTCAACAAGTGTCTCATTTTCCTCTTGCATTGTATTTTTTGTTGCATTTCTAAGTTTGCGTCTAATTCATTCTACAGATCCAAAGCCCTACTGCCTATAATGCACGTGGCTCTGTCTCTGGCCAAATGTTCAATCAGAATGGAGAGGTAAATACCTTAGTAAATGCTTTTACAGATGTGCCTCCTCTGTTCCCTCCTTTTACATTTAGTTCGGTTGTCTTTTATTTACATTTACAGTAAATTGCACTCATACCGCCTCTTGTTTTTTCTTGAAAAAATTTCTGTCGCTCCCTATTTTTTTTAGTGTTCATGAATCTAGTTTTCTAATGAGTTGTACTTCATTGAATTAGTTATTTTAGGAGGAAAAGTGGACAGAAATAGGATATTAAGACTTTATTTACAGTTTAGTTCTTTGAATGGAGGTTTTCATATTAAACCTAGAGGAGGTCAGAGTGGATGTTTCATAAGGGAAGGTTAAAGCAAATTCCCTCTGAAAATTATTATCACTTGAAGATCCTTGCCTTGGCGGACCAGCTTTGTCTTATAATGTTGCCATTGATTGATTTGTGTGCAGCTTCTTGTATCCTTGGTTCAAGAAGGTCTAATCAGGAATACTAATTTGGGGGCTTCATCCACAAAATCCAAGTTGTGATCTGCTCGAAACCAACAAGAGCTTTATGATATATATATTTTTTTCCTTGGTTTTTTTTTAGGGGTAGAGATACTGCATCTGTCCTTTTATGCAGATTACGTGGAAGTTTGATTAGAAATTAGAGGGTAAATTATATTGGAACCAGAACAAGGCATTGTTAGGCTAAAAATGATCCAACTATGTAGGTCATACAAGTTTCAGGTTATCACCTCATTTGTTCTCTCTTTTCCTAAAAACGGAGCTCCTATTTAGTGCTCTTGATGTATTAAACTACGTAATGTAACGTAATAGTTTCAAATCATGTTTCAGTTGAATATTAAATTTTTACAAAAAAAAAAAATTACTGTTTGTAAAAATATATATTGGATAATCTTTTTTCAGTACTATAAAAAGTATTATAAAAACACTATTCAATATAAAATATCTTTTCACATCTGTTTATAAGACATACCTAGTTTTAAAGTGAAAATGAATAGGAAGTCACTTTTCACAGATCATTTGTAATGTGATTTATTGAGTCCTATGAAAATGAATATGGTCTATCTCTTCAAACATAAAATCTAGACACTATACTATTTACGAGCAATGAATAGTATAGTTTATTATTCAAATTTTGTGCAACTATTTGGTGGATGACTTTGCATTATTTATATCTTATAAATAACATGGTTGGTTTTGTTAACTCCATAAAGCAAGGAAGGTATTTTTTTTTTTTGAGGAAAGTTCAGATTTATTCATGTTCATAAATACAAATTTTATTTAATAAATAATGAATTCCAAATTTCCAATACATTTCTCACTTAATATATATATATATATATATATATATAGACGTGAGTGAGAAACCTGTGTAGTCTGCAGATCTGTTTTGGTCTGGACAGCATGAAAAAAAAAAAAGAAAAAAGTATTACAACATAGTAAATAGTCATATAGCAATTAGTTGTAAAGGCCGCCAAGCGAAACATTATAAAAGTTGACTCTACGCAAACAGACATGTAGCAAGTCTAAAGCATTTTTCACATATTTATAGCGTATTAAAATCTCATTATTTTTTAAAATGTATGAAGCCTCTATCTAATTAGATTAATATTAATTAATATGTTAAAATTAATAATATATATTATTTAATTTTTTTTATAAGTCACTTCTAATTAATTCACCAAAACTAAGGTGAGTTAGTTAAAATGAAAAATTAATCCCCCTGTTCTTAGAGTTTTATATAATTTTTAATCAGGTCCTTGAAGTTTGTTTTCCTTTTTATGGAATCCTTGTAGTTTTCTCAACTATAAACTTTAATCCTTTTCATCAAATTCCATTAATTTTAGTGTAACGGACTTAATGATTGCTGAGTTTGCCAGTTGTTGATTTTGACTCTCAGTATATAAGGATTAAACCAAAAAATGAAAAAGAAACAGGATGGATCAGACCTGGGTCTTTGTCTTCAATCAGTTTTTGGCGGGGTGGTGCTTGCAGAGGCGGCTGAATCTTTGCTTATAGAGACTGTGAATGGATGAAAGATGAATTACCATCTCCACTGCAAAAGAGGGTTATCATCGCACTTCATACCCAATTGTACATTACAGAAGAGGCCACGACTTCCCCCTCTCATTCTCAACCCCTGTTTTTCACTGTCGTTTGCGTTTCATTATCTTCAAGTTGCCATCTTTTTTTCCCCCTCGTTTTCTCCCTCCCTTTTCCTTTCGATTTAAATATATTGTCAAGTGAGTGTAGACAGATGCAATTTCCCTACAACTCAAAAACGACGATTATGTTCTATGGAGCTGACTCTGCAAAGCTCTGTTTGTTGTGCGGCCGACACATTTACTCTGCCAATGCTCTCTCCTCAAGCATGTTCACCTCAAACTTCGCAACACCTATACAAATTAAATTGTGTTCAATCAACAACCTCATGCTCTGCCAACATTGTGATCGGGTAACCCACAATCACAACAACCGCTCTTCTTCGCCTCCCTCTCTCCATCACCACAACCTGATTCAAGGCTTCTCTAAATGTCGGTCCCTCATTGATCTTGTAAAACTACTACCTGGGTTAGATCTTAATTTGGTCCCTCATGGATTTTCAGTAACATGTGGTACCAAAGTTTGGCTCCTCTGTTTTTTTTTTAAAAAAATTGTATAAAATTAAGAATTCAAGGTGGGGCAAGAATGAGGACAAGTTATATAAGCAGATAGTAGATATGGGAAGGAGAAATTCAGGAGAAGTAGATGAAGATGAACGTGATTACAGAGTCAGAACATTTAGTTTCGAAGCAGACATTGAGAACGATAATGTTTGGCTACAGTAGCGAACGTCGTTCTCACCTTTACTTACATTGGCAGGCAATATTGACGGCACAAAAAGGATTATAGACGTGAAGGAGATCTTCCAAGGAGTTGTAATCTCACATTTCAGGGTGGGGTTGCTTAGGTTCGTTATATTGAACATTTATAAAGGCTGTGGCTGAGGCAAGTTACAGTGACTGGGGAGCAGAAGACGTCGATAATAATGGATTAATGGTTATTGCAGGAGACGAGGAGGGATAGAAAGAGAGAGAAAGAAACTAACTTTGATTATACATAAACACGTGTGAGCCACTTCATCGCTTTTAACGGCAAGTTAACTCTTTTGCAGGAGAAGGACTAATATTTCTAACCAAGATAATTCTAAGGTTTCAATTAAAAGAAAAAAAAAAATTTAAAGACTTAATTAAAAATCATGTGAAACTGTAAGCATGGGTGGATTAATTTTCCCTGGTTAAAATGATATAAAATTGTTTTAAAAATAAATTACTTTTAAATTTTAATCATAAATTTACAAAAAGAGTAATTTGATGTGTGAGAAGAGTTTTTTTTAATTAAAATATTGCATTTTTAAAAAATTTATTTAAAAATATTTTTAAAATTGTACATTAAAAGTTATAAAAACAAAATAAACAAATTATATAAAGATTAAGAAATTATCTGAGTGCAACTTATAAAAAAGAGAGAAGAAAGGAGTAGATTACACATGGACTATTGAAAAAAAAAAATCAAATATACTATCCTGCATTTATATAATCACATTCTCCTTCTTTGACCCCCCCCCCAAAAAAAAAAAATGCTCCGTTAAAAACGCAGTATCATGTTTAGCAAGTGAACGTTAAATTTTATTTTTAATGATGGGGTTCTCCAGGTTTTGAATTTTCAGGTGTGGCCACGTATTTTAAATTTTCAAGTCTTCTTGCAATCCCAAAACTTGGATTAAGAACTGGAAACAGAAAAAAACTCATCTCTCTCCCTCACCCCTGTTGTGCTGCACTGCCTCTAATCTCGACCATGCCTCTGCCGCTGCTCCCGAAAAAACGGGGGATTTCCCATGAAGATGCTCTGAGCTCCGAAGGTGGACCCGCGGATGACGATTCTTGTCCCGATGAGTCGGAGAAGTTGGAGTTCGATGTGGAACAAATGGCGCAAGAGATAATGGAACGCCGATCTACTCTTCCGGAGCAGCTTAAGAGCACGCTCGCCTCGGTTCTTGCCTCGCAAAGACCCCTTGTTCCGGAATTTTCAGATATAGGCCAACCCGAAGCTCCCAAGTCGGGTGCGTTCTAGTTTATGCTTCGTTCCCCTGTTCATTTGGATCTAACTGGAATTTCAGTCACCTGTTTTTAAGTCGGTGGATTTAGGGTTTCGAATTTTAGGTCAGGAACTTCCGGGATGATTATGCGTAATTAGACTAGAACATTCGAGTTGGTAGATTTTTTGGTTTGGATTTTATTTTGGGAGAATGACAATTAAGGATCTCCTAAGAAGGGTAACTCTGAATCAGGATTTTTTTCAAGATTTTCAGTACGGAAACATTATACAAGAGGATGTGTACTGAATTTGAGAACCTAAGTTATGACGAGATCCTGATTTGGTATTAATTTTCTTATGAGGTCTTTAGTTGTCATCCTCCCTGTGAATTTTTTCATCTCGTTGATGAGATGTGTAATTTTTGAAAAATCAAACTCACGGTAGTCCCAAATACAAAATTTATGTCATAGTTGTTTTTTTCGTGGGAATCTCTGTCTCGCGTCTAAATATGATATGAAGTAGAGGAGATTGGACTGGATGAACTTTACCTCTTCGATACATTTAGCTACAAAAACTTGAGTACCCTGAGTGTCCAATCCAAACTATCTTCACCCTTCATTATGGTGGAACGGGAAAAAAAATGGAGGCAAATATATTGCATTTCTCCTCCTTTCTAATAAGCTATATGTATGATTAGACTGCAATATTTTACAAGTGAAGCTGGCATTCTCAACCTATTTTATTGTACATGGGATGGACCAGTTCTTAGAGTTTGTGTTTAGTGATGAACGATTGGTGATAATCACTTGCCTCAGTAGCTTTGTTGTTAAGGTAGCACACTGGTGGAGAAGATACCTTTTAGAAAATGGCTGGACTGGTACCAAAAAGGATCATTTTCAAATTGGTGTTTAATACGTATTAGTTGGCCTGGTTGGTATACGAAGGAAAATAGACTTCATTTCCAATCCAAAAATATAAAATAAAGCACGCAAAGTTTATTATGCCCTTGTTATCATTATTTGACCATGTTGGGGTTTTTTTTTTTGATATTTTTTTTTTAAGTTTTTGTGGAGGTACAAGCATATTTTCCCATCTATTTTCATCTCTTTTTTCCTTTTTATGCCTATTGTTCTGTATACCAAGTGATTTGAGCTTCAATATGAGATTGCTAATTGTACTAAGGAAAGAAGTGACTTTCTTTACATCTACATGAATTTGGATGGCGTTGAATTTCTTAAAAGTTAGCCACAAGAAGGAAAATGAGGAGGTTTTCATAATTTAAAAAAAAAAAAAAAAGCAAAGGATCCAATTCAGGGCGAATGATAGATACTAGCCTTATGCACAAATGTACATTCATGTGTGTGTATGCTTGCTTGTATATTCCAGTTACATAGTTAAACTTAACTACTACATGGTTTCTTGTATGTTGGTATATTTTATTCTGCACTAGGTATGATGATTTGGTTTGCGTTGTGCAGGTGCCTCAGAACAAGACATTTTGATGAGGCAGAAACTATCTGATGTGGAGAACCCAGAAACTGCCAAGAAAGTGCAATTGCTGAAACAAAAGATCTCAAGCAATGCCTGTGTCATGCCAGTTGTTTTGAAGAGGATGAAAGAGTGTATTGCAAGAATAGAGAAGTTAGATTCATACAATGTAATCATACATCCGGCATTTAAAAGGAAAAAAACTAAAGGAGCGTGATGTATCAAACTTAAGATACTTGTATAAACGTTAACATGAAGCGAGATGTGTATTCAGTATTCTGACATTGTTCCACCTTGATTTGTTGAGCTCGACGGGTGTTCCACCTAGGTATGCCTTTACAAATGGATTTGATACTAGGAAAGCTGTGTCAAATGTAAATTGTTTTGTCATTTCTGATATTCTTTCGGGAAAGCTGAAAGAAAGTTAATTCCTTGCATTAACTTTCACACCTCTTTCTAACTACGAAGTTCTATATCATAGGTAATTACCATTATAATTGTATCAATATGCCACGGGAGAATGACCATTACGTTCCAAAACAGCCATTTAATGTGAATGAAGTTCCAAGAAATTTTCGAATGCCAACAAAGTTTCATGCTTTTAAATGATTAAAAAATAAATACGCAATTACTTTAATGTTCTTAGTTACAAAATCATCTTCTCCGCTTCTAGATTGCATAGGGACTTTTGCAAAAATTCCATCAGTCCCTCTTTCTCTTCATGTGCTCACTCTCTCTCCTTCATATCTTCACATATAATCAGTCTCACTCTTTTGAAATTTTGCTCTTCCCTTCCTCCACTAAGTCTCGCTCTGGTTCGCATCGCGTGCTGCTTCAGCTGTCCTCCTCCTTCTCTCGCCATCTCATTCTCATTCTGCAGCTCACAGGCATCAATCTTGTCAGATTCCATATCAAGCCTATTACTAATGGCTTCACCTTTCCCCTGTTAGTGTAGCATTTGAGTTGTTAGGTGGAAATGGTGGAGAAAATGGTGGTACCACTTGGTTTTCATTGCTGGAGTTGGGATAGATGTTCATAAATAAAATCAAGATAGGGAGTTCCAAATTTGAGAAAATGAGTTCCAAACAATTTCAAAATCCAATATTAAAATCTTGTGTTGATAAATAAAATTAGGAAATCAAGTTACAGAAGATAAATTGCAAATTTCTATATTTAAAATATTCTATTATAAGTATTAAGGTTATTTGAGTCTTTTTCAGTGTATCAAAATATCAGCTAAGGACCAATGAAACTTATTTTGTATTTTGAAATTTGTTAGGATTTTATTGGGTTAAAATAAAATGGTCTTTTGGGACTTGTCATTCTCTCATATGCAATTGGTTTGGTGACGTTGAAATGGTCTTGGAGAGCCATATTCCAAGTCAAAACTAACCCAAAAGATATTAATCTTAGATGAACTTAGACTAAATTATTAAATTGGGTGCGTGGTGGCGTGGCGCCCATGTAGAAGATGCTGGCGCCAAAACACGATATATAAATGTTTTTAGCGTATCATGTCACGTGATCAAAATTTAAATTCTTACACGTCCTTTTTGTCAGAGCACTAGAGTTACCCGAGATGGAAACACCCCGTTACGTTGAGGAGGTGCATGGAAAAAAATTACAAAGTAGGGTGTGTAAATTTTATAACTTTATAACTTTTTGTACTCTTTAAACTAAATAAAAAAAAAATTGGATTTAAAAACTTATTATATATAAAATATTTTAATAATTTAGATAAGATATGAAGAATTTATTTGTAACAAAAGACCATATCAACTTCAATATAATTTTTTTCTAAAGAAATGATTGATCTATCTATGTTATTACCATTTTAGTCCTAGTATAATTATTATTATTAACTATTAAATTGTAATTTTAAAAAATATTTTTTATTAAATTATCTTGCACCCCAAGCCTTGAGTCCTGAGTTCGCCACTGGACGGAACATGTGTTGCTCTCTGGTTTTACCCTTCTAGAGCAATAGCATATCAATAAAGCCCAGCAGATTGTGTAGAAGATGAACATGGCAGATCCTGAAGAATATAACATGAAATCAAATAGGCATGATAGTCACACGGATATAACACAATGATATCTACTACAGAGACAATTCAGGTCACAACGTAACAACATACATAAGACGAGATTGCGCAACATCAATGCAACTTTTCTTTAACGCAATAATACACATTATGAAGAACTAAATCCTTAGATTGCCAAGCATTTACAACTAATTACATCATCGTCAGAAGAAATCAACTTGGGTATGGAAGAACCCACCATCACCTTTCCCATATTCCCTACATCACGAACATCAACAACGACTGTGCTCAGCCCCTTCCCAACAACAAAAATGCTCTTGCCAACAGCAACAAGTTGACAAGGAGGCCTTGTAAGCAAGGGTGACAGCTTGCCGACCGGCATCCACAGACGCTTCTCCTTCTGCCACATCATTAACCTAGTTCCTGAACTCTGATCCAATACATAAAGTACCCCGTCAACAACAACCGCTGGACCTCGCCAACCTGAAACCATCTCCTCATCAGCATGCTGCCATGTGCCATTTGATGGGTCGTATACAACAGCATATACATGGGAAGTTACAGGAGATGTGCCACATCTGATGTATATTTTACCATCCATAACTACTGAGTCTTCAATTTCAGGGACAATGTTAGAGTCCTTGTGAGATTTCCAGCTGTTTATACAAGGGTCGTAAGTATCCCAGGAATGAGGATCACTTGAGTTTGAACCTAAACCACCAATAGCATAGATTTTTTCATCCAAAACTTCACAAGCAAAGTAGCACCTGAAAAGGGTTAAAAACAAAAGTAATTTTCAACATTTCAGTAGGGCAAAAGATAAGAAAGATGAGACATGCAAAGCAGCTTGCAGGTGCGGACAGTCAATGAGCCGTGAACACAATAGTAGATCTCCCGTCTAGCAAAGTATTTCATGATTAACTAGTCAAAAACACAAGGAAAACTCCACCGCCCTCTGGGCTTCACAAAAGGCCATGCAGAAAACAGAGTTATGCATACTTTAAAAAAAATATTAAAAAAAAAAGGCCCTACATGAATTACGCATTACTTGTTGGTAAAAAAGAAAGAAGCATTACTTTGGTGAGAGAGGGAAAATCTCAACAATGTTAGACAGATCAGTCACAAAAAACCAAGTTTTAATAAATTGACAATGACGATGATTCATTAAGGTTGGTAAGCAAGATTATATACACATCACTTTGTGAAAATATCCAGCATATACATAAAGATATATACTATATTGATGTAGGTTTGTAATTTCAGAAGATAGAGAAGTATAGGGAAGAAGAAAGATTGATAGAAGATCAGAAAGATTAGAAGAATAAAGTCTCGTTTGGTACTAGAAAGGAATGAAATGGGATGGATTGAAAAAATAAAAGTAAAAATGAGATCATCAAAAGAGATAATGAACCACATTTATAAGAGAAAGGAATAATTTAATTTATAGAGTTGAAAATCATGATTCATGAGATTTTTGAAACGTATGACGATTCTCACATTTGTAGTATATATTTATAAGTTCTATCATGCTTACCATGAGGAGAAAAGGTGATTTAATTCACTTTTGTATTGATTTTTCAATCCAATCCTTTCTAGTGACCAAATGAGGCCTAAGAGATTGAGAGAGATTAGAGAATGAGAGATAGGAGATACAGAATAGTACATGAATCTTATTGATCTCTCATAGCATGCTGTTACTATTGAATTATAAGGTTTTTATAGGGAACTAATACAGAGAATCAATAGTACCCAACGGCTATAACTAAAATACCTAACGGCTATATTCCCTTAACAATATAACTAACTAATGTCAGAATTATAAAATCATAACATATATAAAAAACGTACATGGTGTCATGTGCTGTATAGCTTTTCAAGTTTGATGTGTCAATATATTTATGTCCATTTTGTGTCCGCTGTCGGTAAGGCATTGTAGCATGTCTTAAAGAAGTAATAGTCTAATAAGCATCTTTATATAAAAATATGTCTGCTTTAAAATTATTAAAAATCATAAAATCAAAATCCCAGACATTACAGCACGTTGTGTGAATATAAATATTTTAATTTTAAGGAATTCCACGAAGTTCTAAATATGGAGGCACTTTGAAGCTGCTTCAAAATTCCCTACAAAATGCTAGAAACTTGATAGAGATATCCGCTTAGTCACTTGGATGTTGGTCAAGTATGGCACCCAATTAACTACATTATTTGTAACAATAAAGAAATAGGTAGGTTTGTCGAATTAAAAGGATGATCAACCCCCAATTGCACATGACTGTTATTAGAATAACAATTTCAAAATAGAGCCAAATAGTGCATGCATCATATAGTTTTAAACTGGCGAGGCCAGTTTATGTATTATTTCTCAAGCTTAGCAAGGATGAAGTAAAACCATTGAGCTTCTGGAGTGGAAAACAAGGAATTGCTTAGAGGTATCCTCAGTTCGGTTCTATTTCTCAATTCTTAAGAATATTGACTTCCTTAATTTTGAAAAAAAAAATAAGGATTTTTACCTCGCAGTTGACAGAGGGGCAGCTTCAATCCAAGAGTTCAAGCAGGCATCAAATGCATAGACCTCATTAGTAGCACCTTCAGACCAGCCACAGCCACCCAACAAGAATAGCTTCTTCCCCAAAACTTCAAAACCCATTCCTTTTCTTTTTGACAAATGAGGCGGTAGCTCTTGCAAGAGCTTCCAGCACCTTCTTGATGAGGTTGGATCCAAAACATAACAGCTGATTTCTTTGAACCTATCTCTGCATAAAGCATAGATCCAGGTCTCAGCAAGCTTATGCTTTTGACGATAGGAATGCCACTCTTCACTGCAAACTAAATCCCTCCATCGCTTTGAAACACACTTCAGAACTGAATGATACTTCCTAGGAACTCTTGCCAAGCAGAAAAGAGAAATATCGTCTGGAAGGCCACTAATGAGTTGAGAATTAGTTACTTCTAGTTCATTTGCATTGTTTGATGAGTCTGTCCCACCAGCTAGATGTTCCATCACAAATTTGTGTAAAGAACCTGAAAATTAAAGACAAGTAACAATGAAGTCGCAAAATAACTAGTTTAATTGTCATGCCCCACAATTTAACGCGACCGGTACGGGATATAGGCACAAATACACATCCCTAAAGCCTCAATTAAGAAAAGTTCTAAATTGACACATCTTACACATTATTAGCTTGATTATATGAATCCAATTTTGCCTTTCACATAAATCAAAATATTAAACTTTTTGTAAAAATTTTGGCAACACCTCCATAAATAGGATCTTCCGAAATTTTTACAACAAAAATTTTATAAAACACACCAAGCACTACAAAGCATTGCTCTTTAGAACTAGATAGACAAAATAACAAAAAAGAATCAGGACCCTAACTATAGTCAATGTGAAACATCCTATACCCTATTTGTTTTCCAAAACATAATACATGAATTTTAGAATTTAGATAAAAAGGAAAATATTAAAAATTGATCTTCTAATCAATTCAGGAGTGAGTCAATCAGAGGTCAGTAGGAGGTACCATGTCAACTATGGCTATGCTATCTAAGACCAATCAAAATATTTTCCGGAAAATAACATCTCAACTATAACATTTTTCAGAATTACAATGAATAAAATACAATAGTTGCATAAATTAAATGAGAAAGCAATTCAATGTAAACAAAATTTGTAAACTTGGAATAAAAGTTTTATATAACTTCAATAACAAGAACATTTAAATCTATAATGAAAAAGCAACTTTAATATTTGATCTTGACAAGTCAAAATTATTAGATAAATAAACAAGAATAATAATATTACTAATTAAAAACCATTCAATATGAAATCATCAATTAATTAAAAATTTATATTTCTAGAGACTTATCAGAATAATTAACAAACATGGATACACAATCTACGAAGGTAATACTAACCAAACGTAGCTTGATCTACGAAATAAATGTGAACACACAGCCCACGAAAGCAATGCTAACTAAACGTGGCTTGAAGCCACAAAAATCAAATGTAGGTACAAGACCCATAAATAACAAACGTGAGAATAGAGCTCATAAAAATCAAACTATCTAGTTATTGGCCTTAGTGCACCAGGGCTAATGAGACTACCGTTAGCAACCAGTGTTATATATAAAGTCCCCTCCAAATCTGTTATCAAATATGCGAGAAAATCATCTCTGTTAAAATACAGTTTCCATTCTCCAAAATCAAACTCTCAAGATTAGTTTTTAAGCATAAAAAATTGCCAAAATAAAATTTCATAATTATTATCCATACCAGCATTTATTGATTAATCAAAAATGGCCAAAGCTAGTGTAATGATTTCATCAATTTGAAAGTATATCTCACAAGAAACAAAACATTCATATGCCACAATTTAATTGTTCTTCACCAACATCTTTTATTTTTTTTTTTTTGAAATGAAATAATTTAATTAACAAAGTATTCAAAACTCAACATAATTGTCATCAAAAATAATCTATATAAAGATAATATTTCGATAACAATAATTTCGTTGATAAATTAGTTTGGACGCTATTCACTTATCTTTAGTGTGTCCAAACACTAAAATTCATTTCTTAACATTTCATTCAAGTCTCTCTTCCTCTAAGCACCCTATTCAAGATCAAGAATAATTTAATGGTCTTACTCTAGCCAAATAAACTATCTTCCGATATTGACAACACTATAGTCAATCGGGTTCCAAATCATTATAATTTAATCAACTAACTCTTAGTTTTTCAATCCTTTCAATACTTTACATACTCACTTCCCTATACAACCATATAACTCAAGCTCCATATTCAACAAATCTCTCACAATACTCAAATTAAACTCACAAATGATTAATATCCAAATCAAATATGCTTCATAAGAGTGATAACAGTTTCAGAAAGTACATAAACAAGCAAAAGTTCCCCTAACACATTTTATCAAAACATCTTATAGGCATCAATGTTAAAATTTTGATGCTAAGCTCCACATACAATAAGATTTTGTTATTCTCCCTATAAGTCCAACAAACTTCCTTCTAACATTGCCACAACATTCTATAAATATTTTAAAAATCAACAATACAATTATCACATTTATTTCCTACCATTTCCCAAAATTCTTCCTTTCAAGCATTTTGTCAAACACCTCATGGGTATTAATCCTTAAACTAATACGAACCTATTTTCTCTTCAATTGCATTTCCCAAAAATTTCACAATATCAATATCGTAAATCAATTCAACTCGGAAAACCAACCCAATAATTTTCATCGAGCCAACAATTAAACAAGGGAAGACAATCAAAATTTTCGGTCATCCATACGCAACACAGAGTTCCCACGTAAGAAGAGAAGACAAATTGAAGTGCCTCACCTTAGATCAACAATGGCGGAAGCTGAAAGAAAATTCTGGCCAGTCAAATAGGGAGGAATAAGAGCTCAGCGCCTAAATCTGCCGCTGCACGAACGAGAGAGAAGCAGAAAATTCTGCAGCGAGAGACAGGGGACGGAAGAAGGAGTTGGTGTAATAAACAGGAATAGAAGTAACACAATCATACCTCTAACAACAGCCCTGTTCTTCGCGCGCTCATCACCCTCGATCGAACAGAATGAAGGAGGAAAGAAAAGAGGTTCTGTGACGAGAACAGAAGAGGAAGAAGTTGTAAGCTCGACGGAACAGCAGCGGCACAAACCCACACTGGCGACCTTGAAGACGGAGAACGAAGAAGAAAACAGAGATGGAAGAGGTGTTTTTCCGGTTCAGAGCTTCTCCCTGTCTCTTTCTCGATCGCCCATGAAGACTAGCAAATGAAAAATGAAAGAAGATTGAGGCGTGCGTTTTTACTCTCTGCTCCTCTTTTTCTTTTCTTTTCTTTTCTTTTCTCTTTTTTTTAGCGCATAGGGCCAAAGTGGTAATTTTACCAAGGACTGAACTAAAAGAAATAAAGCATCTCTGTGGCATACACAAGATTCGAACCAACGCTGCTAGGGGAAAATGACAACAAAACTAGAGTCGGAAATAAGGGCCGGGTCTGAAAGCCCTGTTTAAATAAGGATTCAGGCTTTGAAAATAAATTTTTTTTAAAGTAATCGAGCTTGAGGGCTTGGCCCTGATAAGCCCTGTAAAATAGGGCTCGGGCCCGGGCTGCCCTTCAAGCCCTGTTATATTATTTTTATTATTATTTTTTTAGTAAAACACGTGTTTGAAATCAATGACCTGCTCACCTAATCCTGCATATATTATATTATTATTAATTTTAATTTATTATAAAATTAATTTAATATAATTTAATAAATATCAGTGTATAGTATAAAATTTATGATATTTTTTATTTTTTTATAATTATTATGTTTGTAGTTTTATAAAAAAAATGAACTATTTTTTAAATAAAGATTTAAATTTTATTACTAGACTTCTAATGTATGTTATTTAATTTTTAAAAAATTATGATGATTTTAATTTTAAAATATTTTAATTTATTTATAATTTTTAATTTTATTTTAATTTTTTTATTTTTTAAAAAAAGGCTTACAGGCCTGGCCTTGAGCCCTGAGTATAAGGGCCGGGCTTAAAAAATGGGGGTCAAAATAGAAAATCAGGCTTTAGGGCTTAGGCCCTTAAGGGTCGGGCCCGCCCGTATTCCCACCTCTAAACATAACCAGCACCATACCGACATTCTATCTGTAGGGGAAAATAAAAATAAAAATATAATCAAAGTATATTAATGTTAATTTAATATTTTTTCTTCTATTAAAATGTTTAGATTATTACATTAAAATTTTAGGATATTACAATTATTGTTAGTTATTTTGATGATATTTATATATATTTTGGAATAATTTACCAAAAGTAAATTGATGGCTTAGTGGAGATTTTTTTTTTTGGTACACTGCTTAGTGGAGATTGTTGTTGGTGTTATGATATTGGTTCTAAGTTGGAATCCTCTTTTTAGCTATTTCACATAATTTTTTGAGTTTATTTATTTTTATTGTTTATTGAAGATGTTATTCATTAAAAAATATTTTAATTTTAAATTCATTGGCTAGCATTAGACCTTCTATCTATCATTGAGAGGTTTGCAACAATATTGAGTGAATATTTATCTTTAAAAATACCTTTTCTTTTGATGAAAATATTAAATGATGTCTTTTACTTTAAAATTATAATTTAGGTGTTTTACGTTAACTATAGATAAGATCTTAATTTTTATTTTTTATGTTGACTGTCTATTGTTGGGGAGCATAGTTTTGAACTATTAAATGTATATTATAATATTTTTTATTGTAGAGATTTTAAGAGATTTTATTTATAATAGAGATTCTGCCAAAATTTATATATATATATATATATATGTATGTATGTATGTATGTATTGAAGCTTTCGTTATAATGAATATTATTAAAGATATCATAATTTTAATATAAATTTAATTATGTTTTGAAAATGAAATAATTTTTTAAATTGGAGACTTAAGGAATGGGTAATACGGTTTACATCCTGTATTGGTTACCCTTTATTTTTTGGGTGTCACATTAATTGTTCCTTTATCAGATAATATTAATTTAATTCTGAATATTAGGGGATACTTATAGTCTCATATATCTACTCCAAATTTAAATACCAAAAATTGTTGTTCTAGCAAGTGAACACTATCAACTCCTAGAGGTAGATTTTATATCTGATTGTAAAATTCTTGATTATCTTTCATTGAGTTATCTACTCCAAATTTAAATACCAAAAATTGTTGTTCTAGCAAGCGAACACTATCAACTCCTAGAGGTAGATTTTATATCTGATTGTAAAATTCTTGATTATCTTTCATTGAGTTGGCCTTTTTTGTTTGGCCGAAAACAAAAGTTGGCCTTTTCTTTATCAAAGAAGTGGCATGTACTTTAAAAATATTCTTATTTTATAGAATGTGATTGTGAATCACAATTTTATATGGATTGCTAAACTTCACTAGGGAGTCACATTTTTTAAGATTAGGTGTTAAGACCTTCGTTTACCTTTGCAAAAACTTTTGCAGGTTGATACGTATAGGTTTTGACATTGGTTAATTTAGCCTTTTTTTTTTAATTATGATGAACATATTTTCTTTTTTATTTTGAACTTGATATATGTTAGAATTCTATTACTGTTATATAATCTATTTTGCTGGCAAAAAAAGGTAGGAAAATTGGCAAGAGGGACCAAATGGTAAAATTATTTGAAAAAAAAAAAGGAGTAAGGTTTTTCAAATATTATAATAGTTTTCTTGCGTATTTTGTGTTGGTAGGAAGTTGGAACTGAATCACAAGTTCACATTTTACCCTTAGCTCTCTTTTCCTCTTAATATGCAGAGTTAGTATGGTAATTTGGCAACAAAATTTAATGACAAAAAACCCCTAATGATTGCAATGTAATTACTAATTAGACCATTTTGTGAAACTTTACTCATAGTACTCTATTTCAGTGATTCTTATACTGCCATTCTCCATTTTTCAAAAAATAATCGAACCGAAACCAAAAACCCAATAAACCAAGAGCTTGGTTCGATTTTGCTCACCCCAACAGCAATACATGCCTCGAGCAAAATTGACGAACTTTGTGATCATTAATAGAAAGATTGCCAAACTTCCATATGCACAAATATAATGAGGTATTTACAAAATGAGACACGTTCCTAATATTAATTTGGCTGATAACATATACAGTGCCACCTAAAGCTGAAGTTGGAGAAGATAATCACAGTTAAGTTTCTTTTTCATCTAGGAGTTAGGCCAGCCATTTGGTGAATGCTCCTTCGAATGGCAGTTTCGCTTTGCAGCGATCTGTGCTTGAATCAAATTTTCAGTTGCAATTGCTTCTTGAATGTCTTTGTGGGCCTTTGCACAGAGATCATCAAGAGCAAGCATTGCAAATGGCTCCTCTATAAGAACACCAACCTGGGAAAAAAAAAAAAAATTGAGCACATTGCTGGACTTTTAATCAGCTTTCTGATCCAGAAAACATGGGTGAACATTTCAAGAATCCACGCAACAATCACTCTTCTATTATTAAGATGGTGACATAAAGGGAGAAAACATTTTATCTTTTTTTTTTTAAAAAAAATACCTTAAAAGAGTTAATCTGGTATGGGTTTAAAAAGTTATTGCCATTTCACAGCTTAGTAGAGTTTGGCTTAACTAGTAGCTAAAATAATATACAACACTCAAAAGTGACCGAACAACAATATTTCATATGACAAAAGGGAACAAGAAAAACAAGTCGCACATGAAAATCAATTTGTTGACCCCCATATTCAAGACAGAAAGGTTGCTTCATATACTTTTCATTTGAGTATCCATTACAGCACGAGTCCTTGGCAAGCACTTTGGCTGAAAGAATATGCAGGGCAAAGAAAAGATGGCAAATGTGGAATAGGATACATTTGCTTTAACAACTGGTAAAGCAAATTCTAGCACAAACTAATTTCATACTCAAACAGTTAAAATCTCAAAGAAGAAGAAGAAGAAGAAGAACATACTTCTTCAATGCAGAACAAAGAGGCAGCACTAACAAAGGTAGCAGGAACCACTATCCAATGGCAGTCATCCCAAAGAATAATAGGGAGTGTTAAGTGCCAAAGGACAAGAAACCTTGACGTCAAACGGGTATATGACAGTGGAATGGGAATACCCATAAGTTGTTCACAGACGCCAATTCCTTCATGGAAACAAGTAACCTTTGATTCCTGTTTTATAATAAGGGAAGCATTAGATAACCACATACACAAGACAGTGCACAAAGTGTTAGCCAAAGTTCACAATTTGAACGCAAGAAGGAAATTTATAAAACACAAAACGTCCCACAGGTTCTAATTCTTCTGTCCATTAAACAGCATCGATGTCTTGATCTCGCAGTGAGAAAGGTAACAGATCTGTATTTCACTCTAATGATAGCCATCTAGACTTTTACCTAAGTTCATATTTCAAACACCTGATATAGAACTTCAACCAAAGCACGGCACAATAATATCTTAGCAATGATCACACAAGAATTCAGTCTCTTATTTCGTGCCCATTCAAATTAAAAGTACGTTGCCTTCTTTTTTTGAAACAACGTTAGTTAGCTGATGCCTATGAGAAAATATCAGTTAGCCACCGTCAATATTACTAAACTGATAACAATTACAAGGATCTTACCAAGACATTCCTTACTGAACCCTCCAACTTCAGCATTTTAAGACTTTGAGAGATAAACTCAATGATACAGCGAGGACGATGTTTTGAATTACTAAGTACTGCAAGATCATCTACTTCCAGCACATGTTGGAGGTCTCTCTTAACATCTGAGCCATATAATACATGACACTGCATTGAAATTGTTTCAATTGGTAAGTTGCACTACCAAGTATCAATCTATAACTAATCCTACACAATTTGAACCAAACTTTATAAGAGGTCCTTTACTTCGTTTTTGCTTTTAGATGAGTCTGGAAAAAATTTTAGAATCATTCTGACCTTAAGCGCCACTGGGAATGCCATAATATACTGCAGAAGTGCCTTCTTGATATGTAAATCACCCGGACACTCAGCCACTGCCATTACCTGCCTAGCAAAATCATGTGTCCCAGAAATCACCGTCGTCCAAGCCTTCTTTCCCTCCATGAACCTCGAATACGACGCCTCAGTTCTAAAAACCAACAGCAGCGCCAATGCCGGCGCCGTCAACTGGTACGGCAATGAGGAAGCCCTCAGTACCGGGAAAAACTCCGGCAGCCAATGCGTCAAAACCGCAGAATTATAACTCGCAATCAGCGCAGCAAACGTAGTAAAAGCAATCACCGGCGGCACCAGGGACAAGATGACGCGGGAAGAGAGACTGGACAGAAGGTGACGGAGGTGGCGTAGAGAGCTTCTGTGTTGAACCCATTTCTCGTGGTCGTAGAGGGTTCGTTTCTTTTGCATGCCACGCTCCTTCACGCGGTCAGCCCAATCAGGAACAATTCGGAGGATTGAGATTAGGGTTTCGGTGGGAGAGGAAGAGGAATCGGGGGAGTGAAAGGAGAAGGGTTTGAAAGTGAGAATTCTGGGTTTGGAGGGCAGAACAGGGTCGAACTTGATGATAAATTTTGGAGTGAATTTGGAGGAGTAGGTGGTGGTTGTGGGATTGATACGGTATGGAGATTGCTTCATTGATGGGAAGAAGAAGCGAAATTAGGGTTTGAAGAATGAAGGAGGTAGATGAGAGCATGTTCTTGAGTTGAGAGTGTTTCAGAGAAAAAAGAGCGGGTAGGTGGGTGTGCGTTAGGGCGAAGTGGATGGAAGAGAGGGAGCAGCAAGGGGTTCGGTGGAGACAGTTAATTGTGAAGCACGTTTTTACACGTTTCAGATATGGGAGAGAAAATTAAATATTAAATAATTTTTTATAAATCTTGTATTTTCATTTAAGCTGAAAATACTAATAAAAATATGATGATTAATTTTTTTGGAGCGAAATATAATCTATTTCTCTTGAATTTTACTGAATATGTACTTGCTTAACCTTTAATTAGCTTCTAAAATTTAATTCATTGAACGTAGTTTGAAAAGATCCACAAGTTATGTGTACAACCGCAAGCATGGAAGGGTAAAAAAATGAGTTATAAGGTTTTGAACATTTTAAAAGGAGATGATTTATGAACAAGAAATATTTAAACAAACAAGTCTAAAAGTGTGAATCTTAGTTGTAAACCAACGAGAACAAGGAAAGCATTACAAGTTAAAAACCTACTTATTTTTAAGGGTTTAATTGCAATTTTATCTTTAAACTATCCATTGTATTAATGTTGTCCCTAAACTAATTAAATCGAAACAATATTACTTCCGTTGTTTAACTACTTTTTATGAGTTAAGATATAATTTTATTCCTAAATTATTCTCATAGAAACAATGTTGCTTTTACTATTTAAAAATCATAAACGTTTATTATTATAGTTAGTAAGATTTACCTTTCATTATCTCTTTTTAATTAACATTGAATCATATCAATATTTCAACTAAACTATGGCATTTCAATTGCCAAATTAATTTTTGGATAACCACTTTCTAATGGTCTATGTATAAGTTTTTTTGTCCATAATGCATATAAAAGAGTATATTTATTTATTATAGTCAAATTCTAGGGTGATTCACTCAAGAAGATAAAAAGCAATATTTTTACCCAAAAATGTTGTTTATATGCTTTTTATTGAATTAAGAGCTCCTCTTGTAACGTTCTAAGTGTGAACTTATGTTTTTTTTTTTAATACAAGGCCATGAAAAACCCAAGCAAAAGAGATACATAAATTATGTCAAATTTCATAAGGGATCTACATCTTAGGGGCGAATGATAAAACATGATAAGATTTAAATTTAAATTTTCTTGGGAGGCTCGATAAGCAAGAAAATCAACACATCTATTTGCTTCCCTGAATGTGTGGTTATTGGTAATGATCTAGTTCTTCATGACAAAATCTCTGATTTTATTAATGGTTTTAAAGAAAGGATGATTATCAAAGAGATTATGATAAATAAAAGAGAGAGCTTCCATTGAGTTAGAATGTATATTAACATTGGAGAGTTGCGCATTCCAACAAAGCTGAAGACCTTTTAAAATGGCCAATTGTTTCGCCGTGGTGCTGGGTTGGTAGTCAAAGCATTTGAAGAATCCCTTAATCTAATTACTTTTATCGTCGTGCATGATTCCACCATAGTTTACATCTCCATTGGAGCAAATAGCTCCGTCAATGTCAAGACAGATTCATCCTAGGTTAAGAGGTCTAATATGCCTTTAATCTCTTGCCATCTCGATTAAGGATGTTAACTATTGATTGGAGCCTTATATCATTGACAACTTGTTAGGTACTAGAAAAAGCAATGTTGATGTCTTGGTTGATATCATTCGAGTAGATCTTTCTACAACGTCTTTCAAATATTCCAACAGACTTGAGTGAAAATCTTTTGCTAGGGGATTCTTTTTGTATTTAGGTTTCTTGCCTTGACTTTTGCATTATAATTTATCCAATCTTGCACAGGAAAGGAAAAGAAAATATTAAGTTTTGAAGGTTTCACAAATTTAATCCAAATATTGCGAGCTAAACACAATCAATCTTTTCAATGTTTAGTTCATGACTCGTTGGAATGTTGATGGAGAGCATTATAACACAAATAAATGCTTTCACATGACTATTGAGTGTTAGAAAGGATGTGAATAGAATAATACTAACACAAAAAGTATTTTTCATTATTTCTTTTTAGTTAATAGACATTTATTATTTTTAAACGGTGAGGACAACATTACTCAAATTTAATTAGTTTTAAAAAAACATTAATTTTTTAATTATAATTTAAGAGAAAAATTACACCTTAACTTATAAAAGTGAGTCACACCAACTACAGTAATAAATGTTTAAATTGTGGGAACAATATTACTTCACTTTAATTAATTCAGGAGTAATATTATTATAATAAATAATTTAAAAACAACATTTTTCTTTAAAAATAATTTAAAAATAAAATTACACCTTAACTCCATTCTCAATCAAATCATCAAGATTTTGAAGGAAGGGTTGGCGTCTTTCTAATTCAGCGTGAGGCACAGTAAAAACTCACGAGGATACCTGAACATATATTTTCGGTCAAAAACAATATATTATCCTATATGAGTTGCCTGACTTCTAATTCTAACAATCTTACGTATACTCTTCTGGATCCAACGCTACCTACCCACTGGCCCATCTACTGAGACCGCAATGTCCTCAGGCCACAGGCCACGTGGCAAGGAATTGCCAAGTTGATGTTTAGATTGATTTTTTTTTTTTAAAAATTATTGTTATGAATATTATAATCAGTAAATGCCCATGACTCTATAACCTCTTAAAATGTCATCTTATGATTAATGTCATTATACTACATAACTCTCAAATGGATAGCTTTATGATATATATTTTCCCATAATTTCCAATAGTCTTATGTTGCACTATAATGTAGAATAATTTTACTTATGAAATTCTAAAGGTCTATAAATTGAGACTTGACATGAATATGTATATGTGTCAAAATCTATATGAATGTGAATTCTTCCTATTTCCTATATCTACATTTCTCTCTTGGTTCTATTATTGTTCATATTTTTTTTGGGAGAATGACACTTAAGTCTTAAAAGAATCATTTTATTTCAATAAAGTCTAAATGAATTTTAAAATATAAAGAAAGCTTCTTGGTCCTTAACTAATCTTTTGACAAAATTTTAAACTTACAAATTTACAACATATTTTTTGAAATTTGCAACTCCTTCTACTTCAACTTACAACTTGATTTCCTATTTTAATTTAAGAACACAAATTTTTTATATAACTTTAACATTGGATTGTATAAAATTATTTATCCACCTCCAGAAATTTGTAACTTACTTTTTTGGATTTGCAACTTCATCTAATATGATTTCCAATTATATATCCCAATTTTATTTATGAACACAATCTCAATATTTATTTTTCGCATGATAAATTATTCAATTTCAAGATTTAGTTTGTAATTCCATTTATCATAGTCTGCAATTCAAGTTTCAAGTTTTATTTAAAAATTCAAGATTTCAACTTTGAATTTATAATGTCATTTTGTGAGATATAGGTGTTTGCAACTTACTTTCTCATATATTAATTTTATTTAAAAAATTGTATTTATGAAGTTTTAAATAATATTTGAAACTCACTTATAAATTAAGATAAATGAAATTGCACATCAGGTAAAGTTGATTGCAAATTCTTAGAATTGGACAAATAATTTCTCATGAAAAAAAATATTGAGATTATGTTCATGAATAAAATTGAAGTATAGAGTTGCAAATTTTAGCAGATAAAGTTGCGAATTTGAGAGAGTAAATTGCAAATTTCTGAAACTAAAAAAAATAATCTTATAAAATTTAATGTTAAATATGTTTTTTATAAAAAAATTTATATTCTAAAATTAAATTAAGAATTTGAGTTGCAAATTAAAGTATAATAAATTGAAAAGTTTAAAAAATAAGTTGCAAATTAGAGGTTTAAAATTTAGTCAAAATATCAATTAAGGATCAAAATACTATATTTGCATTTTGAATTTCGTTTGGACTTTATTGAAATAAAATGGTTCTTTTAGGATTTAAGTATCATTCTCCATACTTCCTTATGCTTTTATAACAATTATCGTTTAGTTCCTAAATTATCTTTATAATTTTTTTATTCAATATAATGTAATTCTTATAATTCATTAACTCAATAAATTACAAGATTGAATTGTATTTAATCAATGTTAAATGACTAAATCAATTATTTAAAATAAGTTTAGATATTAAAAATTATATTATCTTTTTTTTATAATAAAAATCTGAGTATTTGAACAAGAAAAAGTTATGGAAAAAAAACAAATAAAAGTAGTTTAAAAATTTACAAAGAATAGTTGGTAAAAAAAAAAAATAGGCGACTCACTTGAAAATTTAGTTGTTGCAAACTTGGGGTAAATTTCTTTATTACAGATGGAAATGATGATTAGCCAAGAAAGCAAAAAGAAATTCACAGGTGAGCTGAAGATTCTCGGAAATAAGAGAAACTTTGCAGTTGATTAATACAAACGCTATTTTAATAGCCAGAAATAATATTCAAGGCCATTTAAGATCACCTGAAATTTTAGAACTTATCTACGCATAAATTTTAATGTGATTATTATTTGTATAAAAAATTGAAAACATATATTGTTTCAAAATGTTATTAGCTTGACCAATAAAATTAGGAGAAATAGTAAAATTACCAAAATAAACAGGGCACAAGAGTAAGCCAAAATAAAATTAGGGAGATAACCGCAAAACCGAGCCCCATCCAAAAGCTTCGACGTTTTCCTTCGAGCCCTCTCGTTGTCACTCAACCACGAGCAACTGAGTTTTTGAACTCTTGAATCAACGTACCGAAGTAGAAACATACGATGAATTCTAAAACTGACAAGTTGGTGAAAAGGATTACCATGGTTGCAACCATAACTGCTTCTTATTTTCTCTTGACCGCTGACTATGGCCCTGAACCCAATGTTCTTGACCCCGTAAGTAATTTATTTTTCCTTGGAAAGAGCTTTTTTTGAAAAAAAAATATTGGATTTGTGAACGGTTATGCATCTTCCCTGTGATTTCGCAAGTGAAACAGAGTTCAAGGTTGGTCCGATTCTGAAGTTTCCGAGTGGCGTTTCCATTTCTTGTCATGTTTTTATTTTATTGTATTTATGATTGATTTTGATTTTATTTATGATGTTTTGGATGGTCTTGTTTTGAAGTTTCTGGTGGGCTTTCGGTTTCTTGCTCCTGGGATGTTTTTGGTCATCAATTCCATGGCCCTTAGTAGTTGCCAATATTTATGGCTACAATTCAGATTTCGCATAATCTCGTCAAATATCATTTTGAAATAATGGTCCCAATTTGGGCTAATTCACCCAAATGCTACTGGTATTCCCTCCACCTGCAAATTGATTCAGGCATTCGCAAAGAACCATCTTGGTTTCTGACCATGCTGACTTGGATACGCTGGAGGATGGCTGGGAGTGGTTTCCCATCTTTATCTAGAGGTCCCTTTAGGGCCTTTGGCAGGGGGCATCTGATCCCCATGATTTTATAGGAAAGGAATCGTATAGAGGGCTCGTACAGAAAAGTCAAAAGATCTTTTCTTTGTTTTATAATGATATCATTGGAGAAGTTAATGGCTGAAAGAATATGGTAATATCTGTATCCCTGAAATCTAATGTGTTTTTGAAGTGTAAATGATTCGAGATATGTATTTTTGTTGGAGGATTTAGCTCTCCGTGAGTGAGGAAAAGCACGCAAACAGATATGCAGGAGTACTAGTAGTGAGTCAGGTGACTATTTATGTAAATTGCTCTTAGAAAATAAAGGCAATCAGTCATGTAAAATACACTATATGGTGCCATTGCAATGCAAGGCAATTAGTCATTTAAAGTCTACTATATGGTGTCATTGCAATGCAAAAGTACTGTTTGGCCAAAACATAAGATTGAATGCTTTGGAAAAGCTGAATGTCTTTTAAAAAGACCGATTTTAGGCCTTAAAAATGCTAGCTGAAGTGTTTTGTTGAATTAACTGATAGAAGCTGTCGAAACAATGGCAATAGTTTTGTCATTTGCAGGGCAATGAGATGGGTAGATAGATAGCAGTGGTCATAGAACGATCAACCCTCTATTGCAAATGTCTTCCCTAATTAAAAAAATATATTGCAATCAACCCTCATTCTAATAGCTTGATTGCGATTTTCCCCTAGTTGTCAAAATTTAGAAAATTCATCTGTTTAAAATACTGGAACACCCTTTCTATATTTGGTCTAACGCCCCCTTTTGCCTCCCCTTCATCTTTTCCAACCATATTATGTCCTTCAAGTTTGGTAATTTGTGACTTCACGCCAACGCAAATGCCTATCCTATAGCTTCTTCAACTGAATTTCATACACACCATTCTTTGACACCTTCTATGATGCTGTGAGTTGCCTGACCCAATTCCTACATACATGGTTGACTCACACACATGCCTCCCCAATTTCTGGGCCTGCTTTAGTGGAAGCTATGGTTATGCGTTGGGCTGCTTCTTTAGTCCTCCAGCAAGGTGTTCATTCTGTGCTAGTCAAGACTGATAGTCTCCAGGTGGTGCAGTTTTAGCAATAATTCTGAAATATCTGATTTGGAGGACATAATTCAGGATTGCATTAAAGCTTCCACTGCATTTTTGGCCTTTCATACCAGAAAGGATTTCCACTCCGCTCTGCCACTCCCGCATGCGTTGGATTATAATAACATTCCTGTCCTAGTTGTTCACGTCCTCTTGCTGCTGTTATAGGAATTTGTCTAGGTATAAGTTGCCAAATTTGAAGGGTATGAATAGATTGGTTGGAGAAGATGAAGAGAAGGAGAAAGGGATAGTAGTAATATATAGGAAGGGTACTTTAATAATTTTATATATGTTTCTAAAATTAGAAACTTAGGGGCTTATTGCAACGGAGCTTGAGGGCAACGATTAAGCAGGTAAAAGTAATTATAGGTTAAATTGATTGAAATTATGCGTTTCCCAAAATGCTATCTTGATATACAATAGTTGAGCCAGTATTTCTAGTTGCGTTGGTATTTGTTTGCATGATCTTATACACGTCGAAGTTGTGGAGGCCAATTTCAAATTTGCTTGTCTATTAAATGGGGGATTTCTGTTGCTCTGTTCCTTTTTTCCCCCCGGTGTAAAGCTTTGTTACCTTTTTCATACGCTGTTTGCTTGCTTTTATTGAACTTTGTGAGAATTTAATTTGCATTTCATAGCCATATTCTTCTGTAATTTGAGTTATAAATAATAATGGTGCAATCTCTTGCTGGCAGATCAAGAAGGGAATACTTTCAGCAGAGAATACTGTCAAAGAGTATATTTTTGGATCAAAGGGAGAACCTCAAGAAAGTAAGCTAGGGAAGTCAGATGGCAATAAGGAACATCCATAGGACGATGATCGTTTCGTGTATGAACATCATGCTCTGTATCAAGATTTTGTTTTAACCCTTTGAACTTGTGAATGCTTGTAATCTGATGTTTCAATGCCTAGAACTCTTGATGATGTTGCCGTATGAAGGGTAAATGATAATAACCATGTTGCCATGTTTTGAGCAGTGCCAAAGTTTATGTTTTTATAGTATTTTGGACAAGATTAAATTACTTTTATTGTTTGTCATGATGCTCTTCAGCTAGACATAACATCTAGATAATAGGCATTAAACATTTAATGCCAAGAGGTGAAAAACATGCACATTACATTTTTATTGAAGAACTTAATATTAACGTGAGTTGACTCTTCTTTATCCAAGAAAATTGTTGTGGAATAATGTTGCGAGTGACTTCAGGGTAATGTTGCGCATGAAAGCAATTTCATCAATCATATTGAAGCATCTTTTGACGCTGGTAATATTCCCACAACCATAGAATAGAATCATGCCTGGCATTTCAACTAAACGTACGAGATTGGGAACAGAAGTTTTGGTTTTTCACATCAAGGTTGAGTTTGGAGTGATGCTTAATCGATCAAATCATAGTACAAAACTTAATGATCACCGTAGCCAGCCCAACCCAGCCAAAAAGGGATAGGGATACCAACACTTATCCATTGTTTCTTGGAAGAAATGCTTAATGCTCAATGCACTGTAAACATTTCATGGACCTATAGAGCAACCAAAGTGAAATAGACTCTCTGTACACGCTCTTCACTTATGTCCAGAAGTTTCACTTCTCTTGGCTTCCAAAGTTGTGCCTTCTTTAAGTGCTACTTGAGCTTCAGTCTCCATACCAAGTCCAGAGAGGGCAAGAAATTGAAGGTACGATGCTATGTGCCATACAGGGGATACGACTTGTGCCTGCATTGCATCGTTCAGTGCTTCCTGAGGCATGTCACCAAACAGATAACATAAACTTCGCCGTGCATAGACGGTTGGAGAAACCACTATTCCGCCATCAATGAACTGCTTATAAAACAGTGGACTTGTTAATAAATAGATAGTAAAAACTAGCGTATAATAAAGTTTATCACACGAGTTTGGCTGTTCTTGCTCTGATGTCATATGGTTCAAAAGTTGACATTATGCCATCCAAGAGATCTGCCCTATTAGTGCAGCCCTATTCTGTATTCATTTTGAAACAAGTTTCTGCAAAACAGATTGGGGAAGAATTTGAAGATGGGGTACAAATTTGGAGCATAAAGAGCTCAATTATGAAGTGGAGATTTGGAAATGTTAGATTTGAATCTCATTTGATACATAAAAAGGAATAGAATGAAACAAACTAATAATAATAATTTTTAGGATGAGAAATGGCCTTCATATCCCTACAGTAAAAGCTTGTTTTTAGGAAAGAAAAAGCATCGAGTTAATGATTACAAAGGCATAATAGACCTTACACAAATGATTAGGCAAGAATTTAAGTGTAAAACTTGGTTAGGAAGAGTGGGCTTGACATTAGGGATTTTGAGATGGAATTTGGATTGATTCAACAAAAATGAAGCACAAAATAGCATTGTGCTGACAAGCAAACATCGTGGTAATTAGAATGTCAACTTTCGAACCACATAGTGACAAAGTATGAATGACCCAAATTACCAGTCATGACCCAAACTGCAAGTTACTGAACTATATTTTACCCCAAAAATATATTCGAATCAAGAATAAAATGCTTTTTTGTTGATCATGAATATATTTGATCGCATCATTCACAGGCATGAAAATCATATAACTGCTTGCAACATGTCATATAACTCATTAGAAGTCCAACTCTACCTGTGTGTAGCACCCTATTGCAACTCTAAAATCCTTCTGCTGGAAAGCAACGTCCCCCTTTTTCTTACTGTTAAGTGTTTCCTGCATTTCATCAGTCCAAACCTGGAACGATAGCTGCAATTTAGGAAGAAAGAATGCACAAGTCAGAATCTCCAAACCGAAGAAAAAAATCACAAGACTAGTTTACGTGTGAGTATAACATATTAATAAACAATCTAATTTTGGGAAAATTAGAGCTATCAATTAGGAATTATCCATCTCCAAAGGGGCTGGCCTTTGAAGGGCCAAAACCTAAACAAGCTAGTCCTGATAAACCCAATTATACCTCAGGCTTCATTTTGCAAGTCCTAATCTTAGCCCTCAAGGATGAAAGGCCAGCACTGCAGGCCTTAGCCTTAATTTTTTTTTTCTTTTTTCAATTTTAAAATCTGAAAAAACATTTATAATCCTAAAAAGAATATTACACATAAGATTAAGTTTAGGAAAATTAAATCAATCCACAGCACAACAAATTTATAAAACTTAAACATTAAAGTCTAATATCAAAATTAACACCAATAAAAATTAGACTTTGCTAGCATCACCAACTAAATCTTGATGGATGAATGAGGGAGGGGGGGAATGAGTCTAAGGTTTTCATTTCTTTTAGTTATATACTCAATCTTTTGTTTTTCGTTTTCAGATTGAAATTAAAAAAAAAAAAGGAAAACAATAAAAGGGCTTAAAAGCTTAAAAGGGCAGGCCCCTTAAGCCGAATTATTATTTTCTATCTTAAAGTAGCAGCCCGGCCCTGACTATTTTCAATCTTAAAAGAACCGGTGATGATGGGTTTGGCTTTAATTGACAGCTTTAGGGAAAACATTAATCCTGCTCAGCAATTCATCAATATAAAAGTATAAAAATAAAGGGAACCTCATTTGTCACTCCTTCATCATCTTTATAGCCAATATTTTCCAGAACTTCATGTATGGCAGTCAAATCCTTTCTCGAGCATGCTTCACCAAGTGGGGACAACGAAGCAAAGGTAGCATCACCATGTGGGATTCCCATCAAGACATGTGAAGAAACCTAGAAAGGAATAAATGTGCGAAGACAACCATCAAGAACTAGTTGAATCTCCAAATTAGTTAACCACATCAAATATCTTTTACTCGTTATTTGTATGTGGAAAATATAATTTTCAAGTGCTAAGAAATCTATTTTTAAAATGTCTGGGCACAAGCATATCAAAAAAATTAATATTCCTATGATATTTAAGATACAGCACATAAATTTCTTTCTTTCTTTTTTTTTTTTGGCACACTTCTTGTACTGAAATACTTTATATAGATTTCCAAGTACTTGGAAAATTAAATTCTCATGTACCAAACATCACCAAGGAATTTTAAAACTAAGTTATCCCAGTCCAAGCAAAAGCCTCCCTTTTCTAATTTCAATTCACACAATGTACTAAACCAATATCAGACTAGGCTGAAACCTTTCTCCACCTTTTAGCTAAATATCAGACAAGGCTAAACAAAAGGTAATTAATTACACAGATACCTAATGACAAAAATATCAATCTAATTAGAAGTAATCAACTTCATTTTGTTTCTGCCTTTACTGAAAAGAGAGCCCTGAGCAGTCAAGTTGTAAATAATATTCATCACCAAGTTAAGCATATTGGTAATTTGCCACTCGAAAGTGACTCCTATCTGCTACATGATAAAAATAACAGACCAACCTCTGTTTCTTTCTGAAGAGGAGCCAAGGCAGCCACCAATGATCTAGGATTAGGCCTTTCTCTAGGTTCATACTGTAAGCAACGAGATGCCAAGCGTACCAACTCAGTTCCATCATCATCCGAAAATTGTCCTTCCAAACAAGAATCTGTAAGCATTTGAAGATTTCTGTCTCGAATTAAATCAAGGGCCTGCTCCAAAATTTCAATAATTAGATGTGCAACTTTAGGGATGACTAATAATTAAAGGAAGCTATGCAACCTTTCACTTTAATTAAATATTAAAAGTACTTATTTTCATGTACAATTAACCATTCTTCAAAAAAATTTGCAATTTTCAACTTATTTCTCCTTTACTTCTTTCCTTCTATTATTTATAAGGGGCCATGGACGAGGAATAATTATGCTTCAATAAGAATCACAAAATTTGCTTCAGCAAGAATAACTTACATGGCTTGGGGGGATATGCTTCCCACTTAGAAGGTCAAGCAAAAGAGTGCCGAAACTATATATTACACTTTCTGCTGTTACTCTCCCTACATAACAGGCAAGAGCTATAAGAAGTCCTGAATCAATTGATCTTTACAAAATATTGAATGTAAAAACTTGTAACTTTCAATGCAACCATTCTCTTTCAAATATCAAGCAGAGCAGAAAATATGCTATAAAAGGACCAAACAAAAAAACTGTGATGAATTGATATCTTTCAAATATGATCATGAACAGAGCACTTTACTACATTAGGTATAAAGACAATCTCAATTTCTCAATAATCTTTAAAGCCAATTTGTGCAACATCAAGCTACTTTTGCCCAGGGTATGCTCCAAGGAGGGAAAACGGAGAGTGGGAGAAAAGAAAGCATCATCAAATGCAAGAATTTGAGGGCCAAGTGGCATACAAAGAAAACATAAGCCTCTAGCAGTAGTTCAGTTTCTTATAAGAACATAATAACTTGTTCCGCTGAAGTCATTGACAATGTAACCGGATACACATCAATATTAGCATTTGAAATTTTCTGGAAGATCAAAAAAATGCAAACGTATTGTGTTCATGCAAAGACTCCTGTAAACATTTTTTTTTTTTTACATAAACAGATCATAACTTTCTGATTATGAAACCAAAAGCATAAAGAAATATGTCCAACCAGTTCTCAGATATTCTGGAGGGGTAAAAGCCAAATTTGTGCTATAACTCTTCCCATCCCTACTATTCTTCATAAGGCCAAAAGTAGAAAGCCTAGGATTGCCATCCTGCAAAATTTTTAACATAGTTTACTTGAATCTAATCTTGCAAGATATTCAAAAAAATATGGTGGAGCAGAAAATCTTACCTCATCAAATAAAACTCTGTATGCATTAAGGTCATGATAGAGGGCACGCCCTTTTCCTGTGCAATATTCTAGAGCTTGTGCAAGATGGAAAACAACTCTTAATCGCATTGCCCATTGCATAGGCTGTGTTTCCCCTGATTTAGAGACATGAACATATTATTTCACGCCATACCAACTCAAAGCATCGCCTTAAAATATAAGGTTCACCAGATAAAAGCAATAAAGTACCTTACAGGTGACGGACAGCATATGCTGTGAAATTTTATATCTATTTACAAATACTTATGACAGATTTGTCTCACACAAACCACTTCAGTAGGGCTAGAATCTGACACCTATTGAGGTGTTTGTTCAAACTCTTAGAAGGTGGAAATAACTCTTGCTCACTATTTAAGAGGATAGATTTGAACAATATATACAATAAAAAAGAGCCTCAATTTTAATCATCACAAAACAGTTGCATGATTGTAGTCTCTATATGCTGTACTGGCACCCTGTCTAAAGTCATTTGGATATGTCCATGTCCAGATAATACCTCCCAAACAATTAACTGCAACTGTTAGATCTCATTACACTGCCAACAGGAAAACGAATGAACTCTTGGGGCTTATTAAAATTAGTTCCATATATTGCCCCATCTTAGCCCCAATGCTAACTTATCATGAAGCAGAGAATAAATATAAACCATGAATTTCATGACACATTGATCAGATGTTCACTAATAAAAAAAATTAAAGATAGAAGGAATGTTTCGGTGAAGCATGAAAGGAGCTCTTACAATGGAAAAGGTGTTTTGCCAGTGTTTCATTTGGCATAAATTCTGCCACAAGCAACCTCTCATCACCTTCACAACAACAACCAATCAAATTTGCTAGTCGCTGGTTGCGGAGTTCACCAACAGATCTCGCTTCCTCCTACAGTCATGAAAATTTTCTGGGTAATTGGAAGCCCTTAGAAGTCATAAAGAATTTCAAAAGTCTTGAGGTTAGGCAAAGTTGTGTCCTATTAAGTGGTATTAAGAATTCGGGAAAGTTTTGCAGGTTGAAAGAAGTAGTTTCTTGAAGTGGAAGCACTGAACATTATACTTAGTATGGATTAAGATCACCACCATTGAGAGGGCTTGTATTTAGTTTCAATGTTATGAAGCAATTACACATAGCATGTTCCCATAAATGTACATTGACTTGATAATATGTGTCAGCACGTAGAGATTCATTTAACCTTTAAGAAATTCATTTAAAATGTAAAGCAAAAGTCAAGCACAGTAGGTGAAAAGCCAAAAGGAAAAAAAGAAATCATCAAGCATGGTCTTCCAAAAATATAGGTCCATACAACCTTCAAGGTCATCCTTTCCCCAAAGCTAACCCCCACCCAAAAAAAAAAAAAAAAAAAACAACAACAACAAACCACACGCAGAAAAATAAAGGGGAAAAAAAAAAAGAAACAAGGGGAGATGAAAGGAGCATGGATAAGGATCAAACCCATGACATCAAGCTTAACTCAATCTTAAAGACTGAGGTTGGTGCTACATGAGAATCCTTGTCCATATGCCTTTGCTTGTGTCTCTTTAAGGTTATAACAGTTTATTCATTACCAATGATTGACTCAGGGTAATCTAAATTTATACCATTCGTTTGGTGGTGATAGGTCATCAACATCACGATTGAAAATTAGAAACGTAATTGAAATTTCATTTAGAAAAAGAGAACATTTACCAAAAACTGCCGGCCATCAGGCCAAGCATTTCTATTAAAGCGCTTAACAGCAATCCTCATTTGATTCTCCAGCTTTCCTTTATAAACAACATTTGGTGCCTTCTCTCCATGTTCAGATACAATATTCTCAACAGCAAAACCAGATGTTGCATTCTTTAGATGCTCTAATGAAAATTCACGGAATGCAGGCCAGTTATTAGCCTCACTTCTTTCCTCCTTTTCTGTAACATATATAAACATAAATCAGTCATTATTTCTTTTCATCACCCAGAACAACAAGAGGCACAGTATCGTCACATTTACCCACCAGTATCTGGAGCTTCAAGAATGGAAGCCTTTACTTGTGAATTCACACAACATGGAATGAGTCTGGAGCACTGAATCCCCATTATGATATGCTAATCAAATCAGAAGCTATGAAAATTCTGGTTTCAAGTTTCAACTATGTGCCTTTTTGAGTATATCCAAAAGTGGCACATGCAGTCCACTCAGATCCACCCGAACTATATCAACCTTACGCACCGATACAAGACAACTTGGTAAAGTGGTTTTAATGATTGGTCAGCTCATCCAACTGTCAGTGTCCTTGCATATGTCGGAGCCAGGAAAGCCTGTGGATCACTTGAGAGTTCTTTTTAAGTGAAGGCAAAGGGGTAAACACAAAATCTCAAATAATTCCATCTTAACACACATTATGGATACAAAAGTACCGCATTTGTTCTCTCCTAAACGAAAAATCATCTACACACAGTTTTTAAGCAGCAATTACCATCGGGAACTGCTTGCGATTTTGTCAGATTGAGAAACAGATAAGGATGAACAATCAACAAAATGACTGCAGAAGTAAAGCTACATCATTTAACAAGGGAAAATGATAATTTTTAGAAGTGATGACCTCAAATTATTACAACCATAACTAACGATAGAGCCAGAACCCACTCCTGATGCTCTTGGACATGGTATTCAAAAGACGGTTATCTTTGTATTTAGAGCCAGACAACATCAAAGATTAAGATTTAACTGCATTTTGCCTAGAAGAAGAATCGGAAAGACACAGATGAAGGGTAGCCATCTGAGTGTTTTCTCAAGTCAAGAGCCAACTCAATGACTTCAACCACCACACGAATGTTACTAAAACTTTAGATTTAGGCTAAATAGTAAAAATGTTCAGTAAAGCCCGACTTTTCCAGCTAAACCAAAAAGCAACTTCACCTTTAAGCCTCTTCTCCGCCAACGGAAAAAGGGAAGAAACTGATTGACCTAGAGCTGAGAGAATGTCTCCCCTTTGCTTTTCTTTATGAAATCAGTAGCTTCACGAGGTCCACATTTTCTGCCCAGAGATCGTTTATGCGCAGAGAAATCAAGATTTCCCAAACCCAACAGTTCTTCAATCTCCCCACTCCCGATTGCAAGTCCAAGAGACGAAACAAGATATTGAAAACAAAAGGTAAAATATAGTAATAATAAAGATATATATGATGGCTGGAAAACTCAAAGCTAGAGGGAAGATCTCTGAGAGACGCAGAAGAAAACGAAGATGGTGCTGGGGATGGAGCTAGGCAGAGCTTTGAAACTTTCAAGTCTAGCCTGCTGGCATAATTGCTTGTGGAATTTTTATTTTATTTTCATTCCCATGGTTCAGTACAATCGTTACTATTTCGATTTTTATAATTCCACCGCCAATTATTTTGAGGGGATCAGGATGGCGAGGAAGATGAGTGAGCGTGAGGTGTACGGGTCATCTGAATCTATATGTATAAAATCTAAATGAAAAGACGCACAGGTTGGAAGTGGGAAGAGAGAGAGAGAGAGAGAGAGTAATTGCAAATTATAATTATAATTATAGTGTCGAATTAGAAAAAGAAAAGAGCGATGCCGAGGGGAAAGAGACGGCAGTGGGGTTGGGCATCTTGTGGGACCAATTAATGGAAGGGAAATTAGTTAGAGAGTTTGAGTGGCTGTTTTGTTTAGGAATCTTTGGATTTAGATGTTATTTACGATGCCGCTGCTTCTACTCGTCCAAACGGAATGATTGGGCAATGTTATAGTGATCCGTGATCCTGTCAATTCAATGCTCCTGCTGACTTTCATTTTCCTTTTATCTTATCATCACTTCTGCGTAATTGTTTTGGATTTGCGTTCTCTTTACACTAATATTTTTAATTTAAAATCATGACGAAATGATTTTTTTTTATTTCATATATTCAATAAATCTGCAAGGTAGCCCAACATCACTCCCGGAATCCATGAGACGATGACGATATCGCCCCTTCATAGAGAGCCCGGTTGGTTTTAACTTGGATTTCGGATTTCCTCCTCTGCTGCACCTCTGCTGTCCTATGGAGAAGAATTGGAAATTTGGAACTTCTTAATTTTAAATTTTAAAATTTTATTTTTATTTTATATTTATTAAAATAAAATTTGATAAAAAATTAGTAAATCTATTCTTCCCCAATTTAGAATATATTGATTTAATTTGAATGGTTTAAATTAATATTAAAAATTTTATAAATTGATCGTCCAAATATACTTTAGACCATGCATATTTAATATTAAATTTTTTATACTTTTTATTTTGGTAATACAATATTAATATAGGCTGTCCAGATTGGTAATAAAATTTATTAAATTTTTTTATAATTTTCATAAATTTTTATTTTACTAAATATAAAATAAACATAAATATTGAAATATTGAATATGGATAATCCAATTCTTCTCCACAAAGGCAATGACCAGTGGAAGGGACTTGCACAGGAGGAAGGTCGAGTTTGTTTGGTTTTTCAACATTTTACATTTAAAAAGTGCTTTTGTATTTTTAAAAAATAGGATGTTATTTGGATGTAAATTTTTTTTAAATAACCTTTAAATAGCGCGCTCAAATGAGGTTGCAAAGTGGATTTGCTCAACATGGTCCAGGGGAGCTTTTGAAATGTGCTTTTGAAACATCATCCCCTAATTTTTTGTTATAGGATCATGCTACTCCTGATTTCTATACCCAAAAAAAATCACAAGTTTTTGACAAATCAAATTAATAAATGTTTGGTTTCCTTAAAAAATTTGAAAAATAATTTGTGACTAGCAAAGGACATTTTAGGCTCAAAAATTAATCATGTTAGTTTTCAATATTGATATATGTTGAACTATTTATATAATTTTTGTCTAATATATCAACGGTGGGAAAAAAAGTTTCTATAATCTACTGAGTACTAACAAAATATTATTTTTAATAAGTTTTCAATTTTTTTTCCCACGATCAATCTCTACCATCAAAACATGTTATAAATAAAATAAAATAAAATTTGGATAGAATATAAAATATAAATCTATAACGAAATTATATTTGTTCCTATCTTATTAAAAAATATGACTTATTTGTTAAATGTTATTTTCTTCATTAAAAAATATAAAATATTTTTTTAAAAGTTGAATGTTAAAAAATGTAAAATATTTGTAGTCTTTTGAGATGTAATCATTACTTTTTTTTCAAAAGTACCCTATTAATAGTGACTTTATATATATTTTAAGGTGTTTAATAAGAATAAATATGAAATGATAAGGTTAGTTGAAAGTATATAATTACTTTATTGAACGGTGAGATTCGATTAAAAATATTTTATATTTTTAAACAGATGGAATATTAGTATATAATAGGTAGCTATGTACCTAATTAAAACGAAACACTAAAAATGAAAAGGTGAGAGATGTAAGTCAAGAGATTTAAATCCCGCAATATTTCCCTGTCCATCACTCTTAAAGACAACATAATGGAAGACACAAACAATCTATCTATCTGTAAATTATTGACACGGAAAAAAATCTCTCTGCAAAGCAGCATACCCCACTGGCTGGGCCTCCCTACCATAAAGCAAACATCATTCACATTATTATCGTTCACACGTGACTTTTCCACGATATCTTGTTGTCTAGGTGCCAATACTACAGTTTATATCTTCATTTTATTTATTTTAATAATTTATTCTTTACATACATAGTGTCAATATTAGCAAGCCTATAAATGATCCATTATCGTCCTCGATATATCACCGCTCAAGGATATTTGGATCATCTTCTATCTATCAACACACACACACGCACACACACACTCAAAAGGATTTAGATTATTTTCCATCAGCGACATGTACACGCAGGTACACTACGCGAGGGAATCTTGCCAGAATTGCATTATTTTTGTATTTTTAATTGGATTTGATAATATTTGAATCTGATCCAATCATATGATCATATAAAATTTGAATTTCTTTTATCTAAATCACCATAAGTATAAATAAAATGTGCTATTGTTTAAATTGTATGTACGTGTGTGACAAGTGCTAGATAGAATTTGAGAGTGTTTATGTAAAATTAATAAGAACTGCTTTACGATTATTGCTAAATTATAGAAATTTATGACTGAATATCGTTAAATATACACACCTTTTTCTTGCAAAAAATAATTGCGTAATTTATAAATCATAAATAATGGGATCTATTTTTTGAAATTCATAACTCATGTAATTGATACGAATAAAAAAGAAAAGAAACAGAAGATATCCAAGTGAATTGGCGTAGTTTTTGTGGGCCTTGTTTTGGACTTGTAAAAACATGGGCTCAATTCAAATGCGACTCTTGTAGAATATATCGATGATCAAGGCTAGGGTTCATGCAAGCAAACGTTTCGCTAGTTTGTCCACAGACTCGAGTCTTGGCCACTCCACCCAACCAGAGGACCCTGATTCGAAATAGACGAAATAATGTCAAAGAAGAACAACCTTGCTAAGAGGAAGAAACAGCACGTATTCGATCTCCAAAGTATGTTCACTTGCTTCTGCTTATTTGTGTGTTTGTGTGTGAATCGTTCGCTTTCAGGCACTTAAATCTCGCCGTTTGTCTTCGTCGCATGGGAATTTATGGCTCATGTTTCTGATTTTGCGGTGATTTAGGAGAGAAACTAGAGAAGGAAAAGAAGGAGAAGAAGCTGGTGGCAAAGAAAAATAAGATGAAGGCATGTTTTCGCGCTCTACTTATGAAATGTTTCCTTTGATTTTAAATTACAAATCTGAGAGGTTTTGGTTAAATTGTGCTTTTAGTTCTATGTTGTTTGAAGAATTTAATAGATTATTGTATACTGAGAGGCTCCCCCTTTTCTTTTACTAAATTCTCTCTTGGAAAATATATTTAGGTTGATGGCAGTGACAAGACAAAGAAGAGGGCTGCAAGTGGATTTCAGGTTGGGAAGAGAAAAGTGAAGACTAAATTGACGGCCGTAGCTAAAGCTAAAGCTGCCCAGGCAATGGAGCTTGACAAATGAAGTTAGAGTAGTTCATGATAACACATTTAACTCTGCAAATTTCGAAGTTGTTTTGAGGTTGAATATTGTTCCATTAAGCTATCCGATAGATTAATTGTACTATAGCTGCTTTCTTGCTCACAGTTTTTGTTCGCTCAACTGTGAATTCATACTATTTCTTTGCGCTTGATGAGTATTTAATCTGTAATACTATCTGCCTGTATGTGGCAAGCGTAGAGCCATTTTAGAAACTGGGCATGATTTCAGCGCCCATAATTTCATATCCTAATCGAAAACTATTCATACCATGTCTTCACCTTGCTCAAATGTTCTGCTTTCAAATACAGCCTTTTGATTCTATCTGTGAAATATTTGTTTTGTTGTCAACATTGTACTGTTCAAGTTCCTTGACCTCCCAGTGGAGTGAGGAATAAAAGGCTAGTGCACGAGAGTTTTCCTCTTGACATTTCCAACTCAATGAGAGAGGATAAATTTCTGAGAAAATGAGTCCATGAGGTGCATCCCTCAAAGTCTAATTTCTCTATTTTTAGACAATTAAGGGCTAGAAAGAGTGCATTCTAACTCTTCATGAGTTTTGGATTGAAAATTTCTGCTCTTTTTTGGTAGCGGGAACCAGCATAAAAGCAACTTTATTTACAGATCTCTAACTTGTGCTCCTCTCTTACTTTTCTGTTTCACTAATTACTCACCCCTCTCTTTATATGGACTGTTCTTCCTAATTTTATTAGGAAAGGACCACAAGTTGAAATTATTTGAGAAAAAGGACTAAGGTTATTCAAATGAATTAAATTTAATTGTTTTAACACTAATTTACTCAAAGTCCCAAACTAAAATTTCAGAGTGATGAATGATGGAAAGGGCTTGTTTTACAATTAGATAATTGGGCCTTTTCCCACTCTCTCGTCTTGTAATCACAATGACAAGTTTGAACATGCGAATGGATCCTATAGGTAAGGAACTGTTCGAGGTTTATAGTATATGATTTGAACTATTTAAATAAGATTTGTACCGTTCAAATTTTACAAAACTTTTTGTACTAAAATAATTGAACCATATATGATATGATCATATGAATGATTTAGATGTGTGTTTTTTTGGTTAAAGGAGATCCTGGTTGCTTGAACATTCCACAAGAACAGTAGGAAGGATGAAAGAAATATGGGTGAGAAGAGAGAAAGTATTTTTTCTATATATTTGGTGAATGTTCAAAAGAAACAGGGGAATCCTTCTCTCTGATAATTTGGGCGAAGGCTTGAACTCGAAATCTTTGATTCCCAGCTCTTTTGCCAGTTAAATTAAACATAAAGTGGTTCTTTCTTTTTTTGACTGCAGGAAAATCCATTTGATTGTTTCAAAAGGGACAACATTCTTTGAATAAGTTGAATAGGAAATGGATGACAGGAAATAGTGAACTGTCAAAATGGCTTCACTTTCACAAAAAAGGTTTGGTGTAAAAGGCTAAAAAGCAGGCATTATTAGCAACGTCAAACCATTTGTTGAATTCTCTCAGAATTGGAGGCCCACCACGCTCGCACCACATTTTAGACAGATCATAACGAGTGGACTCATGTGGATTTTAATTAAAATAAATCAACGTGAGTTGACGATTGAGTATGTCATTTGTGTGTAGCAACAATTTTTTTTATTTTTTCAGATGCCCATAAATGAACTGTCCTTTGTGTCATGAAGCAACTCTAACAAGTAACAGCTAACAATATATTAGCTTGGTGCAGGTTTTGCCTATAAAATGTTTCTAGTCCTGCATTTGCTTGATGCTTGATAGGTTAGAACGGTGTCATTAATATGGTGTTTTGAATAAATTGGGTGTTTATTTTAATCCCAAATTTTATTATCAAGATCCCGTGGTTCAACTATTCAAATTATCATCTGCATGACTTTTTTTTTTTTTTTGGAAGTCCTCAATCTTTTCTATTTTTTTTTCCTTCCCTATCTTTCGTTTGGATAACAAAAATGGATGAAAATATCCCCTTCTCTCCCACCTCCTTCAAAAGAAAACAAAGTTATAATGGGAGAGATTTAGATGAAAGAAAAAAGGCATAACCTATTAATATAATGAGTAAAATATTTTTTTGTAATTACAAGATTATTGTTTAATATTCCCGGTTATTTTAAATTATATTATTTTCCCCTATATTTTGTAATTGAAAGAATCTCATGACGTAATTTTAATGTCTACATTCCCATCTCCCCTCCCCTCTAGAAAAAAGAATATTAAAATTCCTCCCACTATAGATGGAACAATGGGAAAAAATTACATATTTAAATTTATGTAGTTAAACTACTTCCTTCCAATCAAATTAGTGCGCATGGATTTAATTTTTTTTAAATTAAAAATACGAATATGAAAAGTTAACTAGAGTTCATCATTAATTAAAAAAATAAATATTAATTTAATTAAAAATAAGCATTACAAGTATATACTTTTATTTATGATAAATGCATATGTATTGATATGCGTCATGTCGATACTTTTATTTTTAAAAACACAAGATATGATATAATTACAATACGTACATATATATTTATAAAAAATATTAAAAATATAATTTTATTTAAAAAATATCTAAACTAGCGTACAAAAATATTGTATAGTAATATTAAGAAAAATATAAAAATTAATTGTATTTTTATTTTATTAAAATCTAGTTGCCAACTACCTAATTCATAAATTATCCAATGACTAACTTTTGTTATTATTACTTTTATTTTTTAAAAGAATCCATATATATCAATTAATTTGATGGGAGGTGATTAATTTAAATACATAAAAAATAAGTATATATTCTCTTTATTAAAAAAATATAAAATATTTTTAATTAAATCTCGTCTTTGATAAAGTAATTAATTATCTTTAAATTAATATCATCTTTTTATATTTATCCTTATTTAATATGATGCTTTATTTTAAAATAAATATAAAGTAATTTATTTATTATAAGCACTTAAAAAAATACATTAATTATATCTTAAAATACTAAAAATAACTTATATTTTTAAAAATCAAACCTTTCAAAAAATATTTTACATTTTTAAATTTTTAATATTTTACATTTTTGAATTTTTGAATTGAGAGAGTAATATTTCCTGTAAAAAAAAAAATCCCACATTTCTTCTTTGTTTTGTTGAACCGAACAGGCAAATAGACTGTTATTATGCAAAGGAGCACGATACAGGAAACGATACCTACTAAATTTGGTAGTTTACTCATGAAGGCATTATTTTCTCTCAGCTTATGGACACGATTTAAAGGGAAAAGCACATGAAAATTGAAAACCCATAATAAGAAAATTGGCGACCGAAGAAAAATCAGAAATTATATCCTAAAGAACTATAAATACGGAGAAGTTTATTAAAAAAAAATATTGGATACTCTCTTTATTTAAAAATATAAAATATTTTTTAAAAAATTAAATGTTAAAAAATATAAGGCATTTTTAATTTTTTAATATGTAATTATTATTTTTTAAAATTATTCTATTAATAATAATTTTATATTTATTGTAGAATATTTAATAAGAATAAATATAAAAAGATATAATTAGTTTATAAGAATGTAATTATTTTATTGAGAGGTAAAATTTAATTAAAAATATTTTATATTTTTTAAAAAGGGAACATTAAATTAAAATATATCAAAGATTTGACGAGAGGGCACATATGGTCAAATGCAATATTAAAACATTAAAGTTGACTTCCAAAGTTATTGGATATTATTTTACAATGAAGGCCCTAGATCCAAGTACCTCCTCCATCCTCGGAATATAATCGACGATCCTAGGTGGGCCTAATCATGAAAATTATGTTTATTATATTATATCTTCCCCAGCCGGAGCAGTGCGTCTTAATTTTGTTAATATTTTTAATTTTAAATCAATGCAAAAGACGATGAGTCTGAGAAACGGGGGTGGCTTTAGAATATTTCTCATTTCTTTGGTACCTACTTGAACGATGACTTTGTTTTTCCAGTTTATAATTATTTTTACCTCGTTAAGCATACTTTGACCCTCCTTAAAATCCAATTTTTATGCCAAAAAAAGAATAATAGATTGATATTAATTACATAAAAATTATTCGCACAAAACTCCTACCTCTGAAAATCCAAACATATGTCTGTTCGAATCCTCTGCGAAGGGTTTTAATTGAAGTGATAGCATAAACCGAGGTGGCAGCGTGGCGATACAACAATAACAATAACAGAGGCTGGATTTGAAGAAGTTGCTTGTTCCTTACCAACTGGCGCTTGTTTTAATAGTGAGGGACTTAAACAATTTAATTTAGAATCTTGACTTTGAGTCTCAAAATATATACTAGCATAACTGAGCACCCACAAAATTTTTCAAATAGGACCCCATTTAAATGAAAATTTGAATTAGTTTGGAGTAAGTTGGGCAAATAATGAACTCAACATACTCAAATATTGTCAAGATATCAGGTGTGAAAGCAAAACAAAAAAACCAAAAAAAATTGTTTGTTTGTTTTTTTTTTGTTCAACTAGGAGGCCTATTATGGGATGCATAAAATTTAAAAATCCAATTCATTTTATTTATAGTTTATATAAATTATATTTTGTATCGAGCATTAGAATGAATTAAATTGCATCAATATAGCAATATTAGCTTTCATATTATTTTATTTCAAAGAATATGTAATACATTATACTCCTTTTGTTTAAAAATATAAAGTATTTTTTGAGAAGTTGTTTGTTAAAAAATGTAAAGAATTTTTAATTTTTTGATGTGTTATTATTGTCTTTTTTTTAAATGCCTGATAATGATTTTATATTTATTGTAAGATATTTAATAAAAATAAATATAAAAATATATAATTAATTTAAAAGTAAATAATTATTTTATTTAAATAAAATTTAATTAAAAATATTTTATATGTTTTTAATAAAGGAAGTACATCGCATGAATTAAAATCATTTTTTAACCCTGCTTACTAAACGGGAGTACAAGTGTGCAATTGTTTTTTTGTTTTTTTTGTTTTTTTTTTTTTTTTTTGGTTGATGAAAACGGAGTGGGTGGGTGAGGTTATGGCTAGTTGGAGAAAAGATATTTTGGGGAAGGAACGGGACCAGACAGAAAAGCAGAGGTGACTCAGTCACATGCTTCCAAAGTTTGCCCACTTTCTTTTACCATCTCTCTCACCGGCCCCACCCCCCTCACGCGACTTCCCCAGCGCGTGCTCCAGTCTTCCCTTTTCAAGAACTTGCTTTCAATGCGCCTTGTCATCAACACTTGCTCCTTTGGTTAACAAATATGGAGATTTTTTTTTTTTGAGGTCAGATATTTAAAATACAAGGTATTTTTTGTTTTTAATATATAATTAAAATTTTTTTCTAAAAACATTCTTAATAAATAAATAAATCATTCAACCCTTCTTCTTAGTGAGATACTATATTAAATAAAGATAAATATAAAAAGAAGATATTAATTTAAAAACAATTAATTGACTTTTAAGATATAATTTGATTAATAATATCTTATATTTTTTAAGAGGGAGTACATACAATGAAATTTACTTCATTTGTCCCTATATATAAGATATCTTCTAAAAGCTTATTTTGTTTCTAAATATAAGGGATGTCAATGATATTTTTTAATAATTAAATAATTTTTTCCTTGTTTTAAAAATCAAAATAGATCATTAATTGTGTGTTTTTCCTTCCACCACCATAATATTAATTGTGACATTATTAGGGCAAAATTAAAAGATCATTATGATTTTATGTGATTTCAACTAAATAATAAATTTTTATTGGTATACAAGATTCAATTAAAAATATTTTATATATAGAAATAGAGGGAGTAGTATTTAGGTGTTACTAATTTTATTACCATAGTATATAACATTCACTACAATCTATCACTACAAGCAAAAAAAAAAAAAAACTTTCAGTGATGACTCTAAAAAGTCATTGCTGAAAATGAATAATCTACTAAGATAAAAAATGTCATCGCTAAAAGGTTAACTATCCACGACGACAATATTGATTATTAGACTTTTAACAACGACAATGGTATATTTTTACCGAAGCTCTAAGTTTCATGGGAGACATAGAAGTCACCACTGAAAGTTAACAATTAGTAATAACTTTATAGTGTCGTTACTGAAAGTCAACATATTTTAAAATGTATTATAATTTCTTAAAAAATAATGTTATAATAAACTGAAAGTTGACAATCAATAATGACTTTATAGTGTAGCCACTGAAAATGAGACTTTCAACGATTACTTTTTGAGTCACCGTTGACAGTTTGATTTTGGATTTTCAATATCATTTTTTATTTTGTTTAATCTAACATTTAACTTTTAAAGATATTAATTTTATTGTATTATTGTAATTTTATAATGACTATATAAAATAATATAATGAGTTTTCATTAAATATATTTTATCATTAAATTATAACTTTAAAATAATGAAATTGTTTTAAGATAAGGTTAAGATATTATTTAATGCTAAAGAGTCAGAGTAAATAATTAAACAAAACCATATTATTTTCGGTAACTCATGACCTATTTTTTGATGACCGGACTTGTAATATTTCATTCTATGATCACTTGATTTCAGAATTTTTAGTTGCATTGTTAGTTTTTGACAAATTATAGGTAAAATTCACAACTAAGCGAGTGTTGAGATAAAAATGTTGTCAAGGAAATGCTAGCCATTAACAACTGATCCTATTAGATTTACAGCTAATTCTCATCAATTTACATGTGAAATATGATTTTGTATTTTACAATTGAACAAGCGTAAAGTTAACGGAGTGGTTATGTGAATACTTCACGATCCTTGATTTTTATATTCATAGCTAATCCTCGTGAATTTATGGGTAGAATTTTATATTTTATAATTGAACAAGCATGAAGTTGAAGGGATTTGTCATGTGAACAATTGGTCCTTTTAGTTTTAGCACTTGCATCCTTATGAATTTATAAGTTGTATGAATACTTCATGGTCTTTCAACAATGGGTCTTCATGGAATTTCATATTTTACAACTCAACAAATGTGAAGCGAAAGAGGTTGCTATGTAAATACTTCATAATTCTTAACAACTGCTTTTCTAAGATTCACAACAACTGTCATGAATTTATAAGTGAAATATGACAATCAAGACATAAACTCTATTTTTTCATGTAAGATAATAAGGAGGGGATGTGGTTTTGCTTTTACAAAGGGTGTCTCATGAGGCGTGCAAATGTGGAGTTTCAAAAGAGTTGAAGAACCTGACTTCAATCACACTGGAGAATTCGGGCTTTCTTATTACAGTTTACTCGGATGTAAAAATGTAAAATGAAAAAAATTAATGTAGATGCATGGAAGTAGAGATGCGTAACTAAAAGAAAAGATGGCGGGTTATGCCAGCTGTATAATAAAAAATAAAAACTAAAACTTTATGATAAAAGAAAAAATAAAATAAAGTAGCAGACATGAAATATGAGATGGGTAGTTTATTGATGTTAATGATCCTTGTTGAGAAAAGGATTTTTCTATTTATAAATGATCCTGATTTAGTGTTCAAGCCCCATGATCACCAGTTTTTTAAAATTTAGGAACCACTTTCTTCATTGTGGTTATTCATTATGGGTGAATTGTGGATGGTTTTGACTTAATAGCTAAGGCTTTATAAATATTTTCTTCTAATTATTTTAAATTAAATTAAGTTGAGTTAAGCTTGGGCCCCTAAATTCATAATTTGGATGCAAATAGTTATATATTTTCAATCTCTAAGTGAGCACATTACAAAAGCTTTAAAATATTAGATAGAATTCTCATTTTAAATCTATATGTAATCTTTTATGTATATATAGTACAACTATTTTAGTAGTTTGAAGATATAGTTATCATAAGATTTATTTATTTTCAACAAGACGATATTACACATGATCTTAAATTATTGCTAAGGTCATTTGATTCTACTTTCATTGTATATTCGATGAAAAAAATTATAAAAATTATTATTAACAAACTTTGTCAAATATTGTAACAAAAAGTTATAATTGATATAAATATTTTATGATAATTGAGCATCATTACTATATTGATATATTTACATGTCATGATTGTCAATTGAAAAAAATTAAGCAATAAATTTAGTGATCAAGTAATAAAGTTTTTTTAATTGGACAAAACTTTATATACCAATGATGCATTTAAATCATTTAATGCTTACAAGAAAGATAAAATTTTTACTCATTTAATAATAATTTATATTGAGAAAAAATTATTTAAAAGTTTACCGTAGACATGGTAATTAATTGTTTTTATACTATAAAAAATATATGAGCAAAACATAAGAAATAAAAGTCTTTGTTTATATTTTTTTATATATTTATGAAATTGAATATAAATATACACACTGAAATATTTATATTATATAATGATATGTGTAAATTTAATTTTTTTATTTATTATATACGCTTTGTTATCTTGACCACTTTAATAAAAATATTTGACTTCACCTTTCATTACCTTTTTTAGATTCTACTAATATTTAAAAATCATTAATATATTTTTTTTTCAAAAATTCTTTCATAATTAGAAACATTCCTTGCATACTGAAAATTTAGGATTTGATACTTTTAAATATTATATAAAAAATATCTAATAATTATTTAATAAATTAAACAGTTATTATTGTGCCATACAAAATATTAATAGAATAGGTGAATTTAAAACACTCGCGGAATTCAAACCTAAAATTTGGTTTCATGGTTTACAATCGTCATAACAAAAATAAAGTTTAAAATAATAATAAAAAATTTAAAGAGCTAAATATATTTAATTGATTATAAAAATAATTTATTCAGATAAGTCAAATCAAATGATGTTATTAAAGGCAACGTGAAGATAATTTCGTATTTATAACTTGCGTATGCGCATGTGTCAATAAAAAAGTACTAAGATAGTATGTTATTGAAAAAGAAATCGGAGAATTCGGTAGTAATTACTTAGGTTTAGGCAATTAGGTTGGCCCAAAAAAAGAAGTACTCTAACTAATCACGTACTTTGAAATAGAAATTAGATAGATTAGATTAGATTTATAAAAAAAGAAATAGAATTAGAATATTCGGCTAACGGCGCGTGCATAGACTCCCTTGACAGTCCCCATGGACTCGAACTTCTCCTTATATTAAAATTAAAATATAAAATAATAAATAATAGCATTGTTTACTGAAAAAATAAAATATTCAGTATTATCCGAAACAGAAACGCTTTTCTCGGTTCGAGTTTGGTTGCTTCTCCTAACCTATTCCTGAAATCTCACTCAGTACACAATGCCTTCGTCATCACCATCAGCTCTTCACCTAAATTGGAGAGAGAGACAAACCGCGTTTTAGAGCGAGAAACTCAAACGGCATTTTAGAGAGAGAGATAGAGTGACCGAGTAAGTGAGAGAGAAAGAGCAAGAGAGCTCAACCCTAGAAAATTATGCAATCCCGATAAGGACTTGTGCTGAGACTAGAGCGAGCTGTGTTTTACCTTTTCTCACTCAGTAGTAATTGCTTCTTTGCACTGTTGCGTCCTTCCTTTAATTCCCAAGAGGCCTTTTCAAATTTTAGTTTCTCTCACTAGTTCGAGGTCTTCACGGGGAAAGTGGATGTTTTCAGAAATGTCAGTGTGACGCTTTTATTTTTTATCTTATTTGGGTTTTTATTTTCTCTCTCTACAACTACAGATTCATGATGCGTTATAATCCTCTTGTATTTTTGTTGTTAAAAGCTGTTCTAGATTAACCCAATTCGCATGGCTTTTCTGTGTGTTCACTGTCCAGTGCAGTGTCATTTTAAGCTGTTTTGGCTTGCTTTCGCATCTTGAGCTGGGGACTCAGAACTGGGCTGGCATTGACTTCGAGTAATTCCCTTTTCCTTTCTTTTACTTTTTAGGGTTTTCATTTCTGGGTTTTGGCATCAAAGTTTCAGTCGTATCTCTCTGGTTATCGGGTTCCGTGGGACTTGCTTGGTGTTTAAGGTTCATGATGAGTTGGTAAAGAGGGGACCTTTTCCAGTTCATCTGGTCTTTATCTTCAATTTGAAGTCGTTTTGTTTTGCTTTGTGTTTTTTTTTTTAATGGTTTGGTAAGCTGTGAAATAGCTTATGTTTTTGTCTTCTCGTTAACTCATTGCTTTTCGAAGATCGGTGCTTTGTTTTCCTTTCTTGCGTGAATGGCTTCTTAGCTTTATATCCTTTTCAATACTCTTTCGTATACTTCATGGTTGTCTTCTACATGTTTGGTGGCATTTGGGTCGGGTATCCTTTTCTCTTCCTTTTATTTACACAGTAAGACTTTCTGATCTTCTTATTTCAATATTGATACGGTGCCAAGTGCCAACGTTGAGAAATTTTATCTGCTACAGGCTCCTCTATTTGATTTGAAATGCTTATAGTGGTTTTTCTCAAGTTTGAGTCACATCGTTGACATGTTTATCCTACTGTCTAGCAATTGTATTGTTTATTACGAATTGGATTTCGTATATTTTATGTTATTCTTATTTAAGTTTATTTTATAAAATTAATAATAATTTAAGAATTTATTATTTCTTATTGTTTTCGTACCAGGTATGAGAACATATCTTGGTGATAGATTTTCACATATTGGTTGTTAAGGTGGAAGTTACTTTTAAAAGATTCTACACGAGTTCGGAGTAAATGCATGGATCGGGGGGACCAAATGGCGTTGTCTGGGTCTGCATCTTACTATATGCAGAGAGGAATAGCTGGTTCTGCAGGACAGCCTGAGCTTCATGGTTCCCCAACTATACACCAACTTTCTAATTCGAATCTACCATTTCAACCCAGCATTGGGGGTGGTACTATTGGATCCACGCTACCATTAGAATCTTCAGCCATTTCACCTCATGGTGTTAACGTGGGTGCTTCATCTGGAGTGCCATCTGGTGAACCTGTCAAAAGGAAGAGAGGAAGGCCTAGGAAATATGGTCCAGATGGAACCGTGTCACTGGCATTGACTCCACTGTCGTCTAGTCATCCCGGAACCGGTCAGTCTGGAAGTGGAACTGTGACACAGAGCCATAAGCGGGGTAGAGGGCGCCCACCAGGGACTGGCAAGAAGCAGCAGTTGGCTTCTCTTGGTAAATCTCTGATGCATCTTTTGCTTTTCTTGTGTGTTTGAGATGATTATAATTTGGGGCTAAACTGTAGCTGATGTTTTATATGCTTGTTGATTTCTTAGCCATAAATTCTCTCTCTCTTTTCTGTGAAGGTTTATTTATATATTTTTCTTAATGTCCGCATGCTTGCATGGAAACGAGTCTATGTCTTTTCTTTCACACATTCTCTTGCTAGTTTTTAGGAGCCAGTATCCGGTGGGTATTTAATTTGATTGATATGAATTAAATTTTCTTCAGTTTTGCCATTATACTTTTCTACGATTGATGTTGATTCTATTGGGGATATGCAAAGCAAACATTGCCTGATTTATCACTTGTTGCTTCATCTGACTAGTCCTTATTTGTTTTGCAAATGAAAATGCATAGTGGTATTAAGTACTATTTAGCTGATTTTATTTAGCCAGTAGTGAATTTGCTCTAAATTTCTTTGGTAGAATTAAAACTAAATTGGAAGAAGGGCGAAAGAGTCTCATCATTAGACAAACACAATCCCTATTCTGTCGACTAACAATAGTAAATATTAAGAAAAAGAAAGAATAAAGTCAAATCAAACTAATAAAAGCATAGTAAAATGTTCGATACAAAGGAGAAAATTTCGAGATCGCCAAATTCGCCCTCAAGCTAGTGCGTAGATATCATGCATATCTAACTTGTTTATTATTAGCCCTTCAAACCTTACATGAGATAAGGTCTTGGTCAATATAATAGTAACTTTTGTTTGGGATCATGTGTTAGATAGCTTAAGAATCTCAACTTCAAGCTTTGCCTTGATAGTTTCTTTCAGTCTTTATATGTTTTGCTCAATCATGGTGTATTAGTTTTTCTTTCTAATGCTTATAGTTTCCATGCTGTCGCTTGTTATTTTCATACGCTTCTACATCTGAGTACTTGGTTACTTCAAAAGTCCTTCATGCCACAAGACTATAGAAATTCCGTGCGTAAGCTGAATTTAGCCTTTGCACTGATCTAGCAAAATCTTGTTTTTCACTCCTCCAAATAATTAGATCAAGCTATGTGAAAATGTAAAATCTAGTGGCAGACATCTTGGTAATAATTGGCTTGTGGTTCACCCTAGTCAGTGGTATTTTTCTGTTTGTACCTTATCTTGAAGGTTGTGTCACTCAAGGTTATCTTCAAATGTCTTACATTTCTATAGATTGATTGCTAATGATCTGAGTTGGTTGATTCAAGAGTTGATTAGAAACACTCAGTGGGAAATGATAGGCATCCAAGTGGGGCAGGAAATTCTCCCTGAAAAACTAAATGTTGATATCTTCTATAACCTGTTTGGTATGATGGAAGACCTTTTGAGGGAAATGGAATTGGAAGAGGAATGTGGATGTTATGTAAAGAAAAGCAAATGAAATGCTTGTACGAATTTTGTTTGCTAAGAGGTTTTTTAAATATAGAAAGTAATGGAATAATAGAAAGACTATAATACCCTTACAAGTTTTGCTTGATCTCTTCCTCTAAATCTTCATCTTCTTCTTTATCCATTTCAACTTCTGCCTTCACCCACAAAAAAATCCATTCTTCCCTTCAATTTCACAACCCATAAACTGAAATCATAGTTTAAAGTTGCAAGAAACACGAACAATTGCACAATCCATTCAATTTTACAACGAAGTAGCAGAACATAAAAGCTTTCAACCTACAAAGATCTGGCTTCATAAATTTTTAACGATATATAACACAGATTTCAGAGGACAAACAAAGTAGCATGGAACAAAGCCCCTCTTCACGGGAAAGGGTGGTCACAAACGAGGTATGCTTTGTCAAGGGTTTATCATAACACAATTATAGACAGGATGCTTCGTGTAAGTCTCAGTTCCTTCCTAATGCAGTTGGTGAATGTGAATTTTTAGACCCACTATCATCAGAAGGCATATGTGGCTTTAGGTTAGATTCATGATCAGGCCTTGGGGCCACTTGCTACCTTGCCTTATTCACCGTCTTCATTTTTGAGTAAACTTGGACAATTTCCTGCTTCATAAAATCCAGTTTGGGGTTCATTGTTGTCAATGAAAGGGTGTTTTTCCACCAGAGAAGTTTGTTACTCCTATGGGGCTGTGAACTGTATTCAGAGTTGATGCTGTTTTCAGTGCAGGAATGATGCTTAAGCTTTCCCTTTGACAAACATCATGACACTTGCAGACCACTTAATATATTTAATCCTGTTGGTCTGGTGGCCTGTCATGAGAGTGGTGCTGTTTTGAGCCGACTGTAGGGAATGTGTCATTCTCTTTTGCCACCTTGGAGTGTTTACGTGTGTGACGAGTTGAATGTTACATTTTTGAAATAGGAACTGGCTTGCATGTGCAGTGCGTTCTGTCTTGAGTTAGAGGGGCAAGTAGTTGAAGTGGCTTGCCTATCGTTGGCTTTTGTAGTAAAGGCCAAACCTTGGCCAAAGTGGATGAAGACATGTTTGACATGGCTTTGTTTGACACCATGAAGGAAGTGAGGAGAAGGCCGTTTGCCTTGAACTTTATAGGAAAAGGGTACGAGAGTCCCATGCAATCACCAACAAACAAATAGCCTCTAATTTTTTAACTAGTAACGGTGAAGAATAAGAAGAGGAAAGAAATTTAAGTCAAATAAAGCTAGTAAAAGCATAATACACACACATACCTAACCCATTACGGCCCTCCCCCCATGGGGGAGGAAAAACTCGCACACCATGCAACCCACAAAGGTCTATACCCACCCAGTGGAAGAACTTAGCCATTGTTGCAGTAGGCCACTGGCAAATAAAAGCACAACAACCATGTATGATAGAAATGAGAAATTTCAGCAATCACCTACAAGCAGTGAGGATGGTTAGATTATTCAGTTAGACGGTAGGAAGCTGAAATTTTCTTGAGAATCAGCAGTCCAAAGGTGCATCAATGTGACCAAACCTTTCTGGAGTTGTATTATTCATAAGAAAATATTTCATTGTCAAAACTGTTTAACATTCTTTATGAGAACAAGTCCCAATTTTAGCTTATTCATGGAGATGTGGAGTTCCAATTCCATATAAAGTATATATTGGAATCTGATAGAGTACCAATTATGGCGAGGTAGTGGATAATTTGAGAAGTTAGATGTATATTAGAAATAAATCTTATTTTTAATTTATTTTGGATATTTTCTATTTAATAGCATTATTTAGATTTTATTTAGGCATTTAGTTATCTCAGAATTTATTTAGATATTTATCCAGATATTTAGTTATTTAAATTTTATTTAGATATTTAGTTTTTTAGATTTTATTCAGTTTTATCTAGTTAACTAGATTTTATTCATTATTTTAGATTGTATTTAGCATTATAAACATCTTTAGCATCACAGAAGTAGGCATATCATAAATAAAACAGACTTTTGAGACTTTTAGTTCTTGGAGATCCTCCTAAGTGTGATTATTGAAAGAAGTATCATCTTGACAGATTTATTCCTTTTATTTTCTCGTATCAGTTTTATGTTACTCTTATTAATATTATGAACTTAGATTCTGATCTCATGTTAATAGAGATTTATCTTCCTTTTCTTCTCTCTACCTAACTTGGATCCTATCAGAATCCCATACTTTTAATTTCAGACTTAGCTGTCATACGTTACTATGGGGTCTAACATCCTTTGCGAATGTTTCCTGGTCCTTGTTTTCACACTAATTCTTGGGATGAAGAAAATTAAATTATCTAACTTGATCAAGGGTCTTATAATTCATACTTTTGTTCTTGCCTAAGGTTGTATCTGATAAATATACATGGCAAAAGGAGTGGTAAGTTCTCTTTCTAGCATGTGCACTCTAAATTAGAGCAGCTGCAAAGAGATTTGCTAGGTTCTGTCTTTAATGGCTGATTAAATCTTGGCTCTGCCAGATTGTTTAAACGTAAATTGTGGTTTGAATATGATTATTTTCCATTTTTGATATTATAAGTGGTTTTTGCTAGGTGAATTGATGTCTGGTTCTGCTGGAATGGGTTTCACTCCTCATATCATCACCATTGCAGCTGGAGAAGTATGTAAAACATTCATATCAATATGTATCAATGTATCTGTAATCGTAGTAAAATTTACAGAAATTTATTTTGAATATGCATCCGTATATTGGTTCTCTTATTTAAAGCGATAGAAACCATATTTTAATTTATCCTGCTAGCTAAGATGTGGCGTATCTTGCTGAGAAAGGAGGCATACAATAAAATGGGTCTCTGGACGTTCATGTACATTGAAAACTATAGAACTCCCAAAATCTGTGTTCTTATGTACCATGGATGTTGAAATCTGTGGTGGTGAAGAGAAAGATAACTTTGGAAGTTGTGTAATTAAATGGAGTGCCTTGCCTGTTTACTCTTAGGATTCATTCTAAAAGTTTTGTTTTGCTCTTGCCATGTAAACTTGATTAATTTCCGCAGAACCATCCATTGCATATAATACTTCCAAAAAGATTTCACTTTGGACTGACTGATCGTATTCTATATCTTCATTAAATCTTAAATGTTATTGGTCAAAACTGCTTAAAGTCTGCATGCTCCTTTTCAAGGGGCTGTGCTACATTTTCTGTTCCTTGTGTTACGATTTGAGAATTACTGTGTGTAGACTTACTTTTCTTTCTCTATAGGATATTGTGTCAAGAATAATGGCATTCTCCCAGCAGGGGTCTACAGCCGTGTGTGTATTATCAGCCAATGGTGCTGTTTCAAATGCAACCCTCCGTCAGCCTTCAACTTTGGGTGGTTCTGTCACATATGAGGTTCAGCATTTTCTCAGTGTTACTTGCTTGTACATATGGATACTGTACATAAGTATACATGGTTGAAATGCATGTTTGCTGTGTTCATTATCAATGCTAATACCTCATGGAGGTCCTCTATATATAAAAAAAAAGTATGTAGAATTCAGAATCAAAGCTCAAGTGAAATTGTTTTATGGTTACTTGCAGCTTGTTTTATATGTGGGGCTTGTTTTGCTGGTCTTTCAAGATGCCAGGCTTCCTGAAATTGAGTTGAATGTAACCTTAATTTTGTTGGACAAGCATCATTATTTATAAACACATCATTTTTGTATGCATGGCTAAGAAGATATCCATTTATATAAATGCTGATGATGCATGAATATTTTTTTTTTAATTCTAGCATTCTACTGAATAAATTAAGATTCTTTTAATGCCACCGTTGAAACATTTTCACCTGTGAGTGAGATCTTTGCTTCTGATTGGTAGTTTCTCACGTTACTAATTATGAAGGAACAAAAAGATACTGACCCAAATTTTATAGTTATCTATCATTGATTAAAAAACAATTATCAAGAATATTGGCCTTCTGGTCACAGTCAGGGATTCGCTCTTTTGACTCAAATCTTTTTTAAAGCTCTATCTCAAGAAAGTTGTTACTTTACAGTTTTGATTAGATTTTACCTGTCATCATGTGATGATTTATTCATGGACTACGACTTCAATAGGGGCGTTATGAGATATTGTGCCTGTCAGGCTCTTACTTGCTTAATGAAAGTGGTGGCTCACGCAATCGAACTGGTGGATTGAGTGTCTCTCTTGCTAGTCCTGAGGGTAAAATCATTGGTGGAGGAGTCGGTGGAATGCTTATTGCAGCATGTCCCGTACAGGTAATTGCGAGTTTTCTTCTAGGGAAATCATATCATGATGTTCTTTCGGAAGCAACTTTAAAAACCATGTCAAATCCGAAAGTTGTCTTTAGCATGCAATGCCCCCTCCCCATCTTTTACCCCTTGTTGGATGGGTAGGTTGAAACACTGATTCATGACTATAGGTGATAGTTGGGAGCTTTTCATGGGGTGGATCGAAGACCAAGAACAAGAAAAAAGAAGTTGAAGAAGCTCCCATGGAGTTGGATCGTCAGGATCATCACGCAGTTCATAATCCAGTTGGTATGAATAACATTATGGCCAATCAGAATCTCACCCCACCATCTTCTGTTGGTACATGGCCGACATCTCGTACGATGGACATTCGTAATTCCCATGTTGACATAGATTTAATGCGTGGGTGACAATAATATACACTAGTAATGTGCATATATTTCAGATTCATGGTCACTGGTCTAATTTTCCTGTGGTAGAGTATCTAGTAGAGACAGAATGGGAAGTACTGCGATCAGAGTAGAAGTTAGCTGACTTTTGGACCCATGATTAGCAATTGGGTTGTCGTTGTTCTCAATACTTGAGTAGGAATTTCAATTTCAAATTGTTGTATCTCCGACTGGTAATGATTTATTTCCTTTCTGCAAAGAATTGTCATTGTCAGTGAACCATATAAATTGTGGTTTGAGTGTCTATTATGCCAAATCTTTCATTTAATATTTCAATAGTATTGTGGTTTTTTATTGTTTAGGTTTTTCATAGATTGAATGCGTGATCTAACTGGATCATTTCTTATGTCCTCGTTCTATCCCGAACCTTTTTGGTTCATTAGCCCCGGCAACATTTAGTCAAAAGCAAGTTTTTTTTCCCCAACAAAAAAATGCTGTGTAATGGTTGTAATTTATTATCACTCATCTTACTCTCATGATTTCATCTATATATTTTACGTTTTCTATAAATTTATAGCAAGTTGTCCGCTTGTAAACAATATTTTTTGACTTTTAACTTCATGTGGTTTTCTTGCTTCTTTCAATAAACTTTTTTACTTTTCATACAATCCATTGTTTGAGTGTTGTTTTTTTTTTTTGTTTGGAAAGTTTTCTTCCAATTTTAAAATCTGTTTCTTTCAAGCAAGTTCAATTTTTCCGCTTTTTTAAATCCCGTGCAATGTAAAAAGACATAATCTACATATAAATATGAATTAATTATAATCCACTGATTTATAATTGTTTAGTCTGTGTGTGTTTTCTTGACAATATGAATTAATCATAATCTGTTTAGTCTCTGTTTTTCCCGGGGGGGGTTTGTTTTTTCTTTCCTTGACAACAAAAAGAATTGCAGCACATCAAGAGTCTCAATTAGGAATTAATTTCGGAATTAAGATATGTATAAGCAATCAATATCACTCCAAATAGATCTGATGAAGCCTCTCGCCCATATTATTCGGAGAGAATTGCAGATAAAGCTTGAGATTGAAATAAAGAAGCAATCTCTGTGATGGATGAAAAATAAAGTCTTGCCAATTTTCCTTTGTCACTCACTGTGTTAACGTCATCAACTTTATTTTAAATAATCTAATTTTTATATGCGTGTGTATTTGTTTTTCGTAGGCTTTACAATTTTCTTTTGAAAGCAAGCATAACCATACATGTATTCCTGGAAATTAGCCTGCATAACGCATATTGAACAATACAAACTCATAACTCAAATAGTACATAATAAGTACAAGAACGTAACCGTCGATGAATAATAATATATGAACATGACCAACAACTACGGATAACATTTCTAAAACTTAAACACGCATAAATATTAGCATACAGATACGCACAACTACACAATATGATTTGGAATTAGTTAGTCTGTCCAAGTAATGTCCATGCCACCCCACTGAGGCTGATCCTTGTGCACACCCAAGGCTTTCCACACAGCTTTGGAGGCATCAACGATGTTGTAATCACATGGAGGCTGATAATCATGTTGTTCATCACATCCCATGGTGGAGTCACACTCGTCCACCACCATGGCTACCACACTTCGGTCATTACCACTTATGGTGATGTTCTTGAGGCACCTGCTTTTGTGGTTGAACCATCCAGTGGAGAGTGCAACAACAGGCTTGTCATCAGAATGATACTGATTGTCACACTCTGAAGGGCCACCTCCATCTCCACCTTTCTGGAAACTGTTAAGAGTGAGAAAGGCTTTAGTGTGAGAAGACACAGGTGGTGAGCATTCATAAACTGGATACAATTGGCCTTGTTTACAGCAGTCTGAATCATTCTCTGTGTTGCATTGTCCCGGTGGTGCCTTCTTTCCTCTCACTCTCCCACTGGGGCGACATTTTCCAGCTTCACAGTATAAGCAACTTGTTAGTATTAAAATAGCCAAAAGTAAAACTGATGGTCTTGAGGGACGAGTGATCTTCATTCTTGTGATCTGTTTCTTCTTTTTCAGTGTCTGTAGAGATGTTGAGGGTGCTTGGTGCAGAGATGGAAGTGATGGAATTTATAGAGGGTGTGAACTGTGAATGTGTTTTTTTTTTTTTTTGAAGGATATGGTTGGTTTTGAAATTGGTTTGAAAGCGATGTTGAGATTAGCAGTTGTTGGAAAATAACAGATTTGTGGCCATATTTTTGATTGTAAATGGAGGAGTTTTATGGAAGCTTGATTTTGACAGAAACTGAATACGTCTACGACAGATCTATATATATATATATATATATATATTGAGTTTAAATTCAAACGCCCTCTGCCGAAAAATGTATATCTCATTTTGGGAAGCGAACCTTGTTCTTGTCAGAAGATGACAGAAGATAGGTCAAAATACTTCTCCATCATTATGGTGGGGATTTTGATGTATGCTGTTCTGTGTTCACAAGAAAGAAAATAATTAAGATTGGACTGTAAGGTCTTTAGCTTGTCGTTTGCTTTAGCAATTTTTTTTTTTGGGGGGGAGTGGGGAGGCTGATTTAGATTCGACTTATCACTGATTTGTCATTTTGCTGTCCTTGTAAATTATTTTCCCTCTATTGTTGAATCTTCGTATGGTTTCTCTTCAAATTTATGGAAAAAAAAATGACTTTGCAAGTCTCTATACCATGGCTCAATTTTTAAATCGAGCAGCGTACTTAAAAAACCATTAAGTACATGAAGAGAGTCTCAGATCATCTCATTGTACAACTGTACTAATAATTTCCTACAACCTAAAGGAGAATCAGTGAGAGACCAAAATTTTATATTAAGACCATGTGCCGATCTAACAAAGCCTCTGTAAATATGAATGGAATAATACAAAGTCTCTAGCTAAATAACCATAATACTTCAATGAGGGCCTTCATCGATGGTGTCAAAGTCTTGTCCCTAGCGGTCGGATTGATAATTTTAGCAGAATCCATAGCCACCGCTACTTGGTTGATGAGTTTCTTCATCCGCTGTGTCTTCATTCTGAAAGCATGCATCGCGACTTATTGCTAATTCACCGTTATTTGCCACATCGTCATCAACTTAACGATGTTAATGCACTTTTGTAAGTAAATAGGTTCAACTGAAGGGGCACTTTGCTAGCGATCAAAATTATTAGACTTCGGAATTTCAAGTTGGTGATCTCGAGTATTTTGAAACCACATATCTTGAATAGAATCATGTTACAACATTCAATACATAACAGTATATACATTTGTTCATGAACAACATGACCACGCTTGGATTTTACAAGGAAACGCAAGATCATGTAATTAACTAGAGTCTGACCAAGTAATGCGTAAGCCACCCCACTGAGTAAGAGGCACGCCCAAGTCTTTCCAGACAGCCTTGGAGGCATCAACCATGTTGTAGTCACATGGAGGCTGATAATCATGTTATTCATCGCATCCCATGGTGGAGTCACCCTCGTCCACCACCATGGCCCCGACACTCCGACCATTACCACTTATGGTAATGTTCTTGTGACTCCTTGTGTTGTGGTCGAACCAACCAGAGGAGAGTGCGACAGCAGGTGTGTCATCAGAATGATACTGCTTGTCACATGCCGAAGGGCCGTCTCCATCCCCACCGTTGTCAAAACTTCTAAGAGTGAGATAAGCTTTTGTGTGAGAAGACAGAGATGGTGAACATATACATGTCGGATAAATTTTGCCGTCTATGCAGCAATCTGCATCGTTCTCTGTGTTGCATTGTGCTGAACCTGACTTTTTTCCTCTGATCCTTCCATTGGGGTGACACTTGCCAGCTTCGCAATATAAGCAGCTTGTCAGAATTAGAATGGCCAGCACCAAAATTGATGCCCTTGACACCGAAGTTGATCTCGGTTCTGCGATTCATTGCTGGTTTGCTTGGAGCAAAAGTGGAAAAAGAAGTTTATAGAGGCTGAGGAAAAAGATAATTAAAATAGCCTTGGCTGATCTCACGAGATTCTTTTTTCTTTTAATATTTTTGGCCAGTGGTATATTTTAAAATTAATTTGAGAGTTGGCATGAATTGAACTGCAAAGCAAATTGTTGGGATATGACAGATTTATGGCCACAGTTTTGTTTTGCAAGTGATGCTTTTCATACGTGCATGATTTTGGCAGCAATGCACTATATATAGTTATTTTAGTAAGATTTATTAAGAAATAATCTATATCAACAACATCAATGACAGTGGCATGAACTCAAATTGATGACCTGCAATTGGTGAAAGTTGGGTAAAAAAAATGATGACAGTATTTCTAAGAAGTCATGACGATCTATAACATAGTGACGATTGAGCTATAATCAGAATCTTTAGCATAGAACAAAAGAAAGGCCTTCTAATTTCTTGTTAACATCCAATACATTTAAATGCCCAAAACAGAATGTACCAATGTCATGAGTTTCACATTGAGAAACCTCATAAGTGACGTGAGGTTTATAAATTCAAAGGGTTCTTTCACTCATTAGGTTAGTCTTTTAGGATGGGCTCTTCTTTTAATTTTATGCTCGTCATGTTGGTGCTTTCATTGAGAGCCAGTGTCAAGAGAAGGGTTACCTATAGAAGGTTCTGACCGGCAGAAAGCCGAATGAAGTACTGTGGAATGAAGTCATTTGGATGTCGGCTCTTGATGCATCGATAGTGGTATACTAGTATTGTATCCGACACCGATGTGCGCCAATATATTTTCGATAAATATTCACAAAGCATTAAAAAATGATTTTTTAATTAAAAAAATTATCTTCTTAATTTTCAATGTATTCGATATTTGTAATGAAAAGAAAGGAATGAAACAGTGATCCTCTATTGATCACAGAAAAGCAACTTTTCAGAATCTTTTGACTTTTTTTTTTCCCTCTAGTATCAAATTCAAATAGGTAGCTAATCCATTAATTAAAAGTGAGCACACAAGTAGATAGATCACCACTGTTCAAGGTCTTTTCTTCTGAAATCTTGGTCCTTGCTCAGTTTCCATTTCTTATCCTTTGAGATTTGGTTTTTGATACTTAATTCTTGTTATGTTACAAATCATACGATAAGGATCTTTTGATCAAATGTTCTGTACACTGCCCGCGAGTCCTAAGCATCCTTTTCAAAGCATTTTTCTTTACTGGGCGTAGAAGATGCTTCATAGATAGAAACTCATGAGGATGGGTGGCTTTCACTGACTCATGAGTTATGTATTGATAAGATCTTTCAGAGTTCTATTTATAATCAAGGACCTCAGCCCATATGAAAATTAATCATTAACGTGGTATGCAATAATCTGTTAACTGCACAACTAAAATAGGAAAACAAGCACTGCCATATTAATCGCATCATTAACTAGCTAAGAAGCTGCTTTGTGCACACTCCAGCATGCATGCAAGATTTTCATAACATACAGTGCAATCATTATTTAATATATTTACATATAGGGTGCTGCATGTGACAAAGGATTTGTGCACAAGCTCAAAAACAAGAGAAAATTAAAGCCCACAAAACACATATACCAAGTAGAGATATCATAGTACGACATCAATACATGCTAGTATTAAGCTTCAGACCATGTAATATCATACCAGCCCCACTGATTCTTGGGAATTCCCAAACCTTCCCAGACAGCCTTGGAGGCATCAACAATGTTGTTATCACAGGGTGGCTGGTAATCATGGTCTGCATCACACCCTCTTGTAGAATCACATTCGTCAACCACCATGGCCACCACGCTACGCCCTTTTGCACTAATGGTGATGTTCTTGAGGCATCTACTCTTGTGGTTGAACCATCCTGTGGAGAGTGCAACAACTGGCGTGTCATCAGAATGATACTGATTGTCACATTCTGAGGGGCCACCTCCATCTCCACCTTTCTCAAAGCTATTCAGCGTGAGATGTGCCTTTGTGCGGGAAGACACCGGTGGTGAACACTTATAAACTGGATAGAATTTGCCATCTGCACAACAATCTGAATCATTCTCTTTGTTACACTGTCCAGGAGGTGCCTTTTTGCCTTTGACCGCACCACTTGGGCGACATTTTTGAGCTTCAATGTGAAGGCAATTTGTTGCCAAGAGGAAAACCAGAAGAAATAAGAATGCTCCTGTGAAAAAGCCCTTCATGCTGTTTGTCTACGTACGTGTCGTGATATCTTGGATTGGATGGGTTTGATCTGTGGCTGGTAATGTCGAGGGGTATATGTAGTTATTTCCCAGACTAGAGTTATATGTACCAAAATTTCTTTATTCTGTTTGATCTACCTTGTTTAACCAAAATGACAACTACATCTCTTGGACTTGTTTCTTGGATAATAGCATTTTAAGCCCTCCAAATATTTAAAGGACAAAAAACAGAGAGGATCGTTAGATGCAGCCTGGTCTCAATTGAACATGAAAGGTACCAGATTATATTCAGAGGTTTGGAATTGAAAATTGGTCTCTTCGTATCAATTCGACCTTGTTCAACCAAAATGATAATAACTACATCATTCTAGGACTTCTTGCTTGGCCACTAGCACTTTGACCCCTTGAAACAATTGAATTTCAAATTACAAAAAAAAAAAAAAAAAAAAAAGACACAGAAGATTAATTCTTCGAGGTTTCAATTGAAAATGAAAGGTATAACACTTAGGGCAAGGAATTAGTAGTCGTCTTTGTATCAACATCAATGGGAAAGCATTCAGATATTGAGAGTGGAATTGCAAATACCAATCTTTCGAACTATGCATTGGTCGAACACAAAAATGTGAATGCTGATTAGGACAACCAATGTGTCATAATTTTATGTAACAATGTTATGGTAATACTCTGTCTCATCTTATTTATGACAAGTCACTTTTAACATGTTCATCAAAATTAAAAAAATCTCAAAATTCATTAAGTTTGCCTAAAAATTCAATAAATTTTTAACTTTATTTTTATTAAAATTTGTGATAAAAATTTAATGATATAACTTATATTCCTCTTATCATATTTATGAGAGAGAGAGAGAGAGAGAGACAAAGAGAGAGCTTGTTTGTTTTGGTTCTACTTACAAAAAACCTTAATGATTATTATATTCATCTTTATTCTTTTACCCTTATCAAATGTTGATAATGTTATTAAATGATAGAGTATATATTTAATAGGAAAAAAGTTAAAATTTTGTTAAATTTTTAAACAAAATTAATGAAATTTCAAGTTTTTTTTATTTTGATGAAAATGCTGAAAGTGACTTATAAATATACTACAAAAAATCTTCTCTTTTTATTTTATAAATAGGATTAGAAAGAGTATAAGGCACTTGGATGAGAGGTTTTATAGTTTTTATATAGGCCGTGATATTAATTTCTTATTATAATTTTTTCTTTTACCCTATTTAATTGTTATAGGAAAGTAAGAAAAATTAATGATATATTTAAAATCAGAAAAATAGGAAATACTTAAATTTTTAGATAAAGATAATAAGTTTTAAGATTTTTTTTAATTTAATTGAAATATAGTAGGAGTGACTTTTGTTAAACATTTTATTATTAAAATCTTATATTCTTTTTCACTAACCTTGTTTAATTTCATTTCATGCATACGCCTCTTCAGTTTCAAAAATGCCTTTTTTGAATTGTAATAACCATTTTTTTAGCAATCTGGAATCTAGTTTGCCGGCATTAATTGAGTTTTAATTGGAGAGAATTTCGTTCCATTAAAATGCCTTGAATCTACATTATAGTTTTTTAATTCTTTTGTAGGAACAAAACAGAGTAAGCACCAAGCAGTAGCACCCATCAATATTCTAACCGTAATAGTTTAGTTTTCTTGACCCTTTTTTACATTATTGATGTTGATAATATTACTTCTTGTTGTTGCCAATATCTAGTTCTTACCAAAATATAAGTATTTTTTAACTTGATAACAATAAAAATTTTATTCTCATGAAAAAATATATTTTGTTATCCTTAGTTCTAATTTATGATAAGTGAGAAGAAGGTTATAAATTCATGTACACAAAAATCGATGTTAATATAAATACAAGGAGTAAAATGAAAGTTTTTGTTACAAATATTAAGTTGTTTATATTTTGAACAAGATTAATTAGAAGAAAATACTTGTATTTTGAACCAAAAAGAGTATCTCTTTAAAATGACATATTTACTTTGTACCTAAATACACATAAAAAATACTTCTTTCAGATTATTATATAAGTCATAGTTAACTAATTTACATTTACGAACAATATTAGTTGAAAGTTTAAGTTTTTAAAAATATCCATATCTTTTCATTAACACTCTCATTAAATATCCTATATAAAAATATTGATAATAATAATTAAAATTTTAATGCATATTTTTTTTTTGAAAAAAAGAGTAATAAATGCAGTAGAGATATAGTTAGAAAAACAAATATAAAAGTTATTCAACACCTTATATTTTGAATTAGATAAAATTTTTAAAAAATGTCTTATATTATGGTGGCGAGGGAGTACTAACTTTTTTCAATACCAAGAAAAATTTTAGTTTTGCGTCTTAAATGCTTTAAACATGCTATATAATTTGTTTTTATTTCCAGAAATGCCCAAGTAGATTATCACGCATTAAATAATTCATGATCACTAAATGAAGGGCAAAATAAAATAGGAGCGCATTAATTACACTACTAACTTTCTCCAACTTTAGCTCTTATAATTTGGAAAATCAAGAGTCCAGCAACTATTTATGAATGGGGATGGAGGGAGTAATAAATGACCGGAGCTTGGAGATTATTTCAGATTACAGATAGTTATTTTCTTGTAAAACTCATCAATTTAAAACTGATTCCAAAAGCTTGTCATTTTCCAGCACAAATAATGGAGGACCAACACTACACAACACAACGCTTTATACAATTGTACGCATGGTATTAGGAGTTCAGCTGCTGGACCATTTAGCAAAATGTATAACGGACACACAGAACTGGTTAAAAAGTTACTGTATATGAGGATTACATATCAGACAATGCAATGGCTATGCAGTACTCACACTCACGCACAGTTACATGAGAATATACATGACAAAGGATTTAAAACATGAAAACAAGAAAAAATTAAAGCTTGCAAGACACAGACAGTACAGTACTGTGTAAATATCTGACAGTTAGGCTTCAGACCATGTGATATCATACCAGCCCCACTGATTTTTGGGAATTCCCAATCCTTCCCAGACAGACTTGGAGGCATCAACAATGTTGTTATCACAGGGAGGCTGGTAATCATGGTCTGCATCACACCCTCTTGTGGAATCACACTCATCAACGACCATGGCCACCACAGTACGTCCATTGGCACTTATGGTGATGTTCTTGAGGCATCTACTCTTGTGGTTGAACCATCCTGTGGAGAGTGCAACAACAGGCGTGTCATCAGAATGATACTGATTGTCACATTCTGAGACGCCACCTCCATCCCCACCTTTCTGGAAACTATTCAGTGTGAGATGTGCCTTTGTGCGGGAAGACACCGGTGGTGAACACTTGTAAACTGGATAGAATTTGCCGTCTGCACAACAATCTGAATCATTCTCTTTGTTACACTGTCCAGGAGGTGCCTTTTTGCCTTTGACCACACCACTTGCGCGGCATTTTTGAGCTTCAATGTACACACAATTTGTTGCCAGCAGGAAAACCAGTAGAAGCAATAAGCTGGATGCGTTCCTGCACAACATTCTCATTCTGATTTTGTATCTTCTTCTCTCTTCTTCCTCAACTTGCAAGAAGGTTTTTTGATTTATGTATGACTGTGTTTGTGTGTGTGTATAGGTTGATCTGTAAAGGTTTCATCTTTTGGTCAGCCAATGAGTTATGTGTCACCTGTCTTAGCCATAACGATAGCTGCATCTTTTGCAAGGCTTTTGCTTTATTGGCCATTATCATTCAAATCCCATAAAACAATAAATTTAAAAAATAATGCAGAATCTTATGTACGATGCTAGGTTTCCACTGCAAGACAAGATTAGAGCATCCGAGCGTGCATCACTCATAATTTCCCGGTGATGACCAGAGGAACCCAACAAAAGCATGCTCAACATACAAGCAGCTGACATGGAATCATTTATTTTTTTTTAATTTCTAACCTTGCAATAATATACTAGCAGCTGCCTTTTGTATAGGGGGTTCAATATTATTTAGTTCTATGGAGATAAAGGAGTGATGAGACATTAATATAAAAACTTGAAAGCATAAAAAAGAGAATTCGAGAGTGAAGTTGGACACAAACATTTGTAGTATTCATTATCTAGCTCTTTTTGCGCGCGCGTAAAAAACATAGAGCACTTATACTTTAACTAGAGACTCTGCTCTAAATCTAGAAAAACAAGTATTGGAATGTAGTTGATTTTTTTTGACAGCAGGTAAGTTTGAAAAGCAAAGATCATGGATATCTTATTGACTTATAGTATTGGGTTCAATATTATCAAGGCTATGTGAAGGAGTTTTAATATATAAGGCAAAATGCTTTAAGGGGCCCAATCAGAGCCGTGTGATGAAGTTTCGAGGCTAAAGGCAAAATTAGTATTAAATTCTAGCATGAGTAATTGTCAGCCCCTTTAAAAAAAAATATATATACATATATATATATTTACATACACTCATCATTTTTTACAAAATCATATATTAAAATTTTATAATATAATAATTCTAATAAAATACTCAATTAATTTAATAGAGAGATGAAAATTGGTGTTGATAAAATGCTCCTACTCCATCTTATATATTGAGATAAAATATAAATATTAATACTAATATGGGGTGGCAATATATTTTTAATAAAAGGATATAAGTAAGACTGATGATGCCAATGATTAATGTGAAAACTAGTAATAATTATATGAATTATAAATAAAATTTTAATAAGGCTTAAAGGTTTTCCTTGATTATCTAAAACTAGGCATAGTTTTGATACTAATATTTGTCAATATTTTAGGCTTTGGAATAAGAAAAGAAGAAAACAAAAAATGAGACTATTAAAGGAACTTAGAGCAAGCTAATGTGATGTAAATTAGTATATTATGGATTTCACTTCTTTTTTATGTAGATAATTGGGTTAGCTTAATAATTAATGTTATATTGAAAATGATTGAAGCTTTTCAATAAAAAGAATGATCAATATTTTTTATTCCCTTTGATTTGTAATTAAATACATAATAGTACAAATATCAATTACACATATGTATAATAGGGATGTTAAGAAATTTTTTTGGAAATCTAAGGCAATTGCCTCATTTGCTTTATGGCTTGCATGGGCCCTGGGCTTGATGTGTTACTCCCTTTTGTTTTTATTATAAGATGTATTTTAAAGAGATTCTTTGGTCTTTAATATAAGATAATTTAAAACTTAAAAAATGTGTCAACTCACACCATGTGGATTGGAAAAAATATGGGTTGGGTTGAGTTTAACTCATTATTGGTTGAAAAAATTACAACTTAGCCCAATCCTTGAGGGTTAACAGATTAAATGAGATAACTTGTTAACTCATTTATTTTATTTTATTTTATTTATTTCATGATTTTTTTTAAAATACATATCTAAGCGATGAATTTCATGAGTCATTTTAGATATACCAAAATATTAATTCATAATATTTATTTAAGATATATGAATTGAGCTATCTCACAAAGTCATACCCCATATGGTTTATATAGTCTAGGCAAGAAAAAACTTTTATTTGTGTCAAACTTTTTAACTCGATCCAACCCTTATGATTAGTTATTCAAGCCAACCCATATAATTTGACTCATATTTTTAACTCTATAAGACATAATGAAGGTCATTTATCACCATTTTTCAATTTTACCCCTATTTTAAATTTAATTTTATGGCTCATCTTATAATATGTATCCCTCTCTTCCTATTTTTAATAGAAGTAAAGTGGGAATTTTTTTTTCATTTTAAGACATGTTAAATAAATTAACTATCATTTTTTAATTCTAGTAAAGTAGTTGAAAGCACCTTATATTAAAGACTGAAGGGAGTATTATTTATCTATCTTTATATCGCTTTTCCTAATGAATAGTTATCTAAGATATAAGCAAGTAATAATTTCTAAATGAAAATATACAATTAACATTAATACCTAATGAGAAAAATGACAATCGATTATATAGAGTATAAGTGAACATTTTTTTAGGCTTAAGATGACAGCCTTAATTGTCTAGTGTCACACATGGCCATGGATATTATGTAGTGTGAAAGACGTGAATGGAAACTAAAGATTGATAATTTCTTAAAATAACAAAACTTTTAATCTCTCAAACTCTTCTAACGTGAATCATGGAATATAGATGGCAACCATGTAAATTAATAAAAAGAAGTGTAATTATTCAAATAAAAAAACAGAATAAATTTTTTTAAAAAAACGAAAAGCAGAATGAGAAACTAGATTGATAAAAAAAATTAAAATGACTTGAGGGCTATTTGTTCTTATTAAATTATATATACATGTCAAGTTATCAATATATTTTACATATTAGATTAATTTAAAAATTAAGTTGTATTTTATAACTCAAAGGACTGATATAATAATGTAAGAAAATATAAATGATGAAATTGACAAAAAAGATAAATTCAAGGAACTAAATTAATAATTTAGGTAAACTTAAGGATTGAAAGTTTTAAATTTTGGTAAAACTTGAAGTATATTCACCCCATGCCGGAAGAATATTATTAAGCCAACCATTCAAAATGCGACATTATTTTGAGGCTTTTCTTTTTCCAGATTTTAAGGTTCAATATATTCAAGTGATCAACTCTGAAGAATAATATATACTGAACTAACTCAACGAGTGTGTGTGTGTGTGTGTGTAAACACTTATGGGCCCTTGTAATAAATGTTCGGCCCCGTTTAGGGAGAAATATTCACAAAACCAAAAACCGAAAACCGAAAAGTGGTAAAGGGACTTGGGCCATTATAATAATTCTTTGGTCCATTCAGGTTTATGTCTCGTGTTTAATCCATACATTGTTAAAAAAAAAAAAATAATGGAGAGGAGGAGGAGAAGAAACTTCCATCTATTACAATTAAAATGTTTAAAAGGTCACAAAGAAGGAGTACAAATGAATGAGGATGCAAATGAAAACTTTAACGTCACTAATACATAATTATGAATTTTTAAGTCATTTAAAGTAATAATCAAATTGAAATGATGGATACTGTCAAAATAATTTAACTAATTTAAAATATTCAACTTGACATTAATGGCGTAGATTTTTTTTTTCACAAAACACACACACACGTGTGTGTGTAAAATTTTTCAAATTCCCACTAAAATACATTTTAAAAATATTGTACAATAAAAATAAAGTTGTGGATAAAATTGAATACAGAAAAGTTTTAGTTATAGATTTTATAATGATAGTGATATGTTACATCCCATATTGAAAGAACTTAGGGAAGGTCTTGAGCTTGACTTTAATACTATTTTATCACTAGGTCATTAATTTTTTAAAAAAAGTTAGTTCAATGGGATGTTCAACGCACCGGCTTATATGCTTAAGATCTTTCTCAAATTTCTTTAATGTGGGATGTAACAACTCCTCCAACCAAGTTATGAAGCCCTCATCATGGGTGGCCTATTGAGAAACTCTAAAATGCTCCCAAATGGTGTCCAAGTCAAACTCTTGAGTTTCTCTTTCTATTTTTAAGCTTTTGGCTAGCATTTAGCATACGTAATTTTGACCACATTTCATGACACATGCTACACAAACTACAGCATGTGATATAGAGAGTAATCATCATACATATGTGATTTCGGTGTCGTGGCGTGTGGTACAGAAATAACCCTCTATATTCTCTTCCTCTTTTAAGGCCTAATTTTGCTTCGGACTCAATGTTTAAGCTACAACCATAACCCAATAAATTCATTAGTGCTCTTTAAGCATTCAATTACTTTCAATTAGTTTAATTAAGCATTGAGTTAAATTTTAAAATGTTACAAGAATGATGCTCTTAGTAGGCATCTTGTCCTACTGACAATATCAAGCATGTAATAGTATTTCTTGAAATTGGCAGGAAAGTATTGTGATGTCATGTATTGCCTTCCTGTCTTGCTTAGATCTTCTACTATGCTTTTGTTTTTTTTCATAAGAAAGATTATCATTAGAATTAGAAGTCCATTCCAAACCAAGTTCATCTATGAAATTTTCTCTGCCTTTGCAATCCAAACTCAGGAAACTTGCTTAACATTAGACAGTTTGTCACATATTAAGTGAGTGAATTAGTTACAAATTCAATCATTTTATGTAATATGTGAGTCTTGAGAAGAATTAAAATTAGGTAAATAAACGTTGAAGATTACTTGTTTTTGAGTCAACCATTGAGTTGAGACTAGAGATAAATGGAACGCTTATTGAATGATAGTACTTCAAAGTTATATACTGAAGGAAAAATAAAAAAGAAAATAAAGGAGGTATAAGATAATAAAATAGAAGAAAACCAACAGGATCTTCATATTTTGCAGTTGAATTATCTTTATGGAACAGAATGGTCAATGGATGCATTTCTTGCTTGAGATTTAAATGAAAACAGTTTTTTGTTTTTCAACATAAAAACAAAAATAAAAAAAATCTGTTTGATAACTTATTTTTAAAAAACATTTTAAAAAACAAAAAAAAATAAAAGCATCTTTTAAATGTTTTGAAATTATTGTTCTAAGGGGTAAGGGAGAATAAAAAAATAATTATTTTTATTATTTTTGAAATATATTTTACAAAACATAAATTTTTATAATAATAAAATGAAAACAATCTCAAATAGACCTTTAATCTTGAAATTGTCCCATCATAGTCCAACGCGAGAGATATAAAATTTAAAGACAGAGAGAAAGAAGAAGAAATGTAAACGAGAAAGCAACCAAGAAAAGAGAATGGTAGCCTAGAGACAATCAACAAAAGCAACGCGTAGAAGCAAACTAAAGAGAATACAAAGAACTTGAAGTCAGCGAAAACGGAGGAAGAAGTGACCGACCAGCATCTCTGCAGAACAGAAACGGACGATTTGCTCTTCCCTCTCTAACCGAAATCAAATAGCACTACAAATGATGACAGAAATGGAGGAGGAGAGTAACTGTATAAGGGTTTTTCTTTTACCAGATTCTAAGGTTCAATATATTCAACTGATCAACTCAAAATAATGATGGATATTATCAAAATAACTTAACTAATTTAAAGCATCCAAATTGACATTAATCGTGTAGAATTTTGTTACAAAAAAAGATATATGTAAAATTTTCAATTTTCAAAATCATACTAAAATATGTCTTCTTTTTTTTCACCAGAAAAATATATGCTAAAAATATTGTAAAACAAAGTATTGGATGAAATTAGATATAGAAAAGTTTCAGTTATAGATTTTATAATAATTTTATCATGATTGCGATGGCTTTGTTGATCATAAATAAGGATTTCCACCACGCAATGCCTCTATCATATGTAGCCGGAGAGTCCTAGACTGCGGGGCACAATCATGTGACACCTCATCATGAGAAAAGATTTTAAGCCTAACGTATCTAATGCACCAACAGTTTATTTTCCACATATCAATTCATATAAAGTTGTCATTGTTCAATAATTTAATCAAACGCGCGCGCGTGTGTACACACTACAGTCTAATTTATTATGAGGATAAGGCTTTCCCATACACGTCTAAGTTTCGTGCGGTGTGACAAATGAGACTGATGACTCCGTTTGACTTTTCCAAACCATAGATCTAATGGCACCATTTAATTCCTAAATTCATGTTTGACTTTTTGGTGGCACAATTATATTTATTTTTTAATTAAAATTTAGGAAACATTATTCACAATGATCAAATTCAGAAGCTAATCATGTCTAAATATCAATTAACAGTTTAGATTACAAAAATTTACAGTTTTAATAGTTACACTCGAGGTTTTTAGGAATTAATAGTTTTTAAATTTGATCATTGTGACAAAAAATTGTACTCGAATGGATTTACCACATCGTGCGAGGAAAAAGAGGGGGAAATCTATTATTACATTGTGTTTGAACCCAAAATTGAGCCATTTTTGAGCCAAAACATTGCGGTTTTGCACAGGATGTATACATTATCCGTATCAACTTCCATGAACTCCATAAACATCATCCAAGGGTTTTTACAAGCACTGCCACACAAAGCCTATAATTACATCATCGTATCTGTCAAAGCCGGCAAGCGGCGGAAGAAATTCACCGGGGCCGACGGCATCTTGTGCCGGAGCTTGGGGTGCCTCATGAAGTAAAATCCAGCAAAGAGAACCATGATCTGAAATGGAATCACATACAAAACAAACGCAACCACAAGACAAAGTATCATGAATATGGCCGTGGCACGAGGATCCCTCCAGCTCAGAAGCGCATGGATCCTTTCTCCTTGTGTAGCTATGTCTCCCACAACGCTCTGAATCCTCCCGGCCACGCTCCTTAACCGATCATACCTATAACGCACGATGTCTGAGCTTTTTGTGGTCGGAAAAGTGTCAAATTCCTCATCAAGTTCATCCGGCATCACAACATCTGCTTGAGAGATTCTAATGTTCATGTGAGGAGGGTTTCTTGGTCTGAACCTCCATTTCCACATCCCAATCACGAACATGTAGAGAAAGATTGTTGGAAGAATGAGTTCTGGGAAACACACGAGCATCATAAACAGAATGTGTACTAGCACTGTCATTACAGGATTCTTCCACCTTGAAACTTCCCACATCCATCTTCCTACTGAGAGTAATCCATGGAAAACTTGCATCAAACGGTAGAAATTCGCCTTGCTACGTCTCATACTCCATTTATGAGAGTCTGTATCAGACATGTACTCAACCACCTCCTTCCTAAGAGGCGGCTCGGCTCGGCTGAGCCGAGCTGCCACAATGTTGACGGCTTGGTGACGAAGCTTTTCTTGCTCCATGATATTGAGTGGCTTCACATAGTGCATCTTAGGCAGATGGGGTTTGAAATACAAATGCATCATGTTCATCATTGATGTACAGGAAAATCTTATTGCCAAGTGAAGCTCCCCCGTCTTCTTCACCCCAGAAGGTTGCAACATTAGCAGAGGGTAAGTGTGTGTGTAAACTCGACCCGTTTCAAGGGTGGAGATCCGAACCCGAACCTTGCCGATTTTGGAGTCTTTGTTACCACCATTTGAGGAATTAATTTGAGCGTTATCAAATACTCCGACGGTGAGAACTGTTGCTGGATCATACACTTCCCATGTGTATTGCTCATTGTACCTTGGATTGAGGCTATCAATAATGGTCCTAGTTCGGACCCATTTTTGTCCGTACTTTGCCACACAATAAGTATCAGAGGTCCCCTTCCCATCCCTTGTTTTTGTAGGTTGAAGTGCATCAATGTTTAGAATCCCAAGCTCTAAGATCCCAATTGACTTCTTCCAGAGCTGTTTCGCAGTGGGACGAAGATCACTGCTATAATAAGTTGATTCATCAAGCACATGGTAGCCACCATCGAGATAGACATTGAGGTGAAGTCTGCTGAAGAACTTATCTTTTTCCTTCTTTTTTCCCTGCTCCACACCCTCCATAGCAGATGAGACAGATTTTTCAAGGTGGTGCCATTTACTTGGGACGAATCGATCATCAGCACGCCTCACCACTGTGGTCAAAGGTATAACAACAGTGCCAATGGTCTCATCCTTGTTAGAACCAACGCGATCTTCAACTGAAAGAATCAAGGGTTCTTCAAAGGGTTCTGCAGCAACAAACATTAGCTCCTGCTCCCAACGTGGGTTCATGGTCCTTGCTTGAACAGCTTTTGTCTTCAAAATTTGGTTACCTAGCTGTGCCTTGACATAGGCATCTGGAAATCGAGATTTCTCAGGCACAACTAAGTCTTGTGCTTCAATCACCTTTACCCGAACATACCATAATCTTGGTGAATGATAGACTTTTGACCGAATCTGAGAGTAGACAGCTGAAGATCTTCCACCAGGAGAGATTGCATCAGAATGCCAAGCATCAGCAAAGGCCTCATCAGCTTGTGTGCCATACCATACTGCAAGCATCAATTCACCATTCTTCCTTTCCCCATTTTTGTTCTCAATTCGATACCATTCTGGAGCCAGTGGACTGTCAGGTGGAACGCGTGTAGGAACCTCATGGAGATCTATCCTTATAGTTCCAACAAGATCATCAAGAACCATGTCCTTGTCTTTAACCACAACCTCAAGAACAGATGACTGCAGATTGTCCCCTGCAAAGGCAAACACCTCATTCCACTCAGGGTTTTTGTTTTTCTCAAAGTGCTTGGTGGTCCCTTTGTAGTTTCCAACCTTCACCTCCACATATGGATCAAGGCTGCCGGTGACATCCTTCATTGGAAGGTCTCGAGCTTTCACAACCCGCACAAAAAGGTAACGCATCTGTTCAACAAGATCATAGGTGCTGGCTGGCCTATTCCCGCGAATAACTCTCCCACCAACAACTCGTCCTCCTCCAAGAAATGGACTAGTCTCTTTGAGTGCAAAATCAACCGGAGATGATGCGCTAGCAAATGCTTGAACAACTTTTGTAGCAGGCTGCGTAGATTTCATCTCATTCATAGCATAGTTTACACTTGATTGCAAACCTGGTGAGGAAGCAGGATCTTGTTTTGAGTTAGGAAGCTTATGAAATGTGCGCTTTGGCTCAGTTTTCTTCTGAGGAATGGTGTTCTTGATTGCATCTGTTAGTGATACTGGAGTTTGAATTTGATCCTCAGTTGAGTGGCCTGTATTGAAAAGGGGTTCCATAGGAGGAAGAGGGTTTGAGGATCGCACAGAAGGATCATCAACGACGTAGACTTTCAAACCGAGCTCTCCTTTTATGCGTCCAATGAAGCCTTTCTTTTCCAGAGGATAGTGCAAATCCACAGCATCGGAATAGGGAACAAATGATGTTCCAGTAAGACGAACCTTACCAAGGAAGTGTTTGGAAGCTGAGCTTTTGTTGTAGTGATAGATAATGGCTTCAAGAGTGAGGCTTGGTAGTTTACTTGGATCAGAGATGTTGAAATAAAACTTTTCATTCCAATATGGATTCACATCTTTTTCTTTGATTGTGGTTCGAAATTTCTGATCATCAAAGACAAGTTCCACATAAGCACTACATGAACCTTGCCCATCTTTGGGCAAAAGGTCATGAGCACCCACAACTTCCACACCAAGCTTGAGACTTGCCATTTAATTTGCTTCCAAGAAATTATGCAGAGAGAAAGTTGATTATATCTGAAACAGAAAGAAGCAAAAACAGTCAAGATTAATGAGACAGTAGATATTCCTTAGCCTCTAGCACTTTGTTCATGCTTTCCTAATCCTATTGTGTTCACAGAAGCATTCTAAAAGCAGTTCTAAGTGAATTGGAATACTTATGCTAAAGTTTCTGAGGTCTGAAGCTATCTATGCTACAAATTTCAATTATTTTGGCAGAAGAACTCTTCCTTTTTTGTTATAATAAATTTGAAGGTAACACATCAAGCTGGAGACGCAGCTGTCCTTAACAATATTCAATGTATCCCTGGATTTGCTGAGTCTATATTATGATGTGAGCATGAATATTTGAAAATTCCCAGGACACTGATTATTAAGCACAGATATTCAGTGTTTCAATCATCAGGAAAAGGAAAGAGCATCCGAATTTTTTTGTTTTAGAGTCTTGTGACTCCAATCAATCAAGGAGAACAACGCTGAAACAGAACTAAAAGCGATACATAAAGAAAAACAGAGCTGAATATAATTTTTTTTTGGTCCAATAAAAGTTGAAAAAAGAAGGAGAAAAGGGACGGTCTGCCAAAAAGCAAGTAATCCTTTGGGCTCAAGCAAAAGAGGAAGAGTTGAAAAGTATCAACCACCGGATCCAGCAACTGTCTTTTCCATTGCCAAAAAGTAAGACAGAAGCAAACGAACATACTTTCTAGGACAGAGAGAATCAAAGTACTCCCGAGGTTTTGAGAAATATGTAGTCTAGAAGAGGGGCAGAAGGTAAGGCCTCCATGTGACAGGGGGGATCAAGGAACGAATCATAAGCCTCTGGTTAAGAACAAAATGAAACGAAAGAAAATCAAGGCTTCATGAAAGCTCCCACTTTTGAAATATACTCACGGAACCATATGTCAAACATCAATAGAACCCGTAAAAGTTCCCCCCAAAACAAGAAACCATATCTAGCCAAAAACCAGCATAAGCCTCAACATACCCCAGAAGAAAGACAGAGAAAAACAGTGAACGCACCTCAGGTTTGACCTTCTGGACGACCACTCGAAGAGCCTAGGAGAAGGAAAGAAGAGGAGCTTCAACAAGGAAGCATAATAATGAGAGAGAAGAAGGAACAAAGACTTGGAGAACGAGGGAAGGGACGCAGGATAGAAGTTATACAGAACCCAGGAATGGTACAAGCCTACAAGGGAAATTAGGAGGAAAGAGAAACAAGGGTCGTTGAATTCAAAAACGAGTAAAACGGCAGGGGCGAGTAGTACAAAAAGTCGTTATCAGAGGATGTACCGTTTCGTGCAGTTTCAGAGTTACAAAGCAATGGCATGGCTCGCGCCAATGAATGAAGTTCTGAAATGCTAACGCCAAGAGACCATCTTCGTGTAGAGTTTCTGAGTGGGGTCAGCTGGCCACGCGCTCTGATACGTCCCAACAGATGAAATAACCATGTTTAATTAATTGCCGTTTATTTTATACCTAAGTTACTTTTTTTTTTTTTGGTAATCTTTATACCAAGTTATCTTTGAGGATGCCTCGGTTTTTAACTTCCTATCTGGTGTTTTTGGATGCGTGCGCTTTTTTAATTTTTAAAGCATGTTTGTCTATTTTTATATGTTAAATATCCATCATATGGATTTTGGTACTATGTTTTGTCTTATTTTAAGTACTACTGGATGAAAATTTTCTAACATTCACTCTCTACAATTTCCAAAAGCTGAGAACATCTAGGCCTCAATATTAGAAAATATAAGCGTGTAATTTTACACACGAAACACTCGACATTTGACATAAAATATTATATTATTGAAACCACTTAATTAAAATCACATGGTTTTGTTTATTATGTGGCAAAATCATGAATATTCATTTAATCAAATACTTTAAAGTTCAGGAAATTTTAGAAAATGAACTTTAGAGGATTTTTATCCTTAAATGCTAATAATTATTTTTACCATGATGAAGAAAGCATGTAAAAATTTAGTAAAACTATACATGTTTTTACACGTATTCTATCTGTTATTACATAGAATTTTGAGAAATAAATGAAACACGTTATCATTTATAAATTACGTGATTTATTATAAATTTTATATTTTTATACTAAATTTACTGTATATACTATTCATATATTTTTTATCATGGGTAATTAAAACTTAAAATATTTAAAAGATAACTTATTTGGAGTGATGAAAATTTTATGTCCTTTCCTTTTCCCTTTCCCATTCCTTTCCTTTCCTTGTTTCTTTCTTTATTTCTTTCTTTTCTTTTTGTTTTGCAAGAAGAGTAAATAATGAGCAAATTCCTTTATCAGAAAACCTTATATACTTATTTTTATATATTTAAAGTATTTGTTTTTTTATTAAATAAGGATATGTATATTTTTTATAAATTATTTATTCCATAATAAATTCTTGTTACTAATATGATTAACACATTAAAATTCATATTTTTTTTATTTGATTAGATAAAAAATATTAAGTGTCTATATATAATTTAGGCATTTACAATGAAAGTAGGAAAAATAGTAATCAAATACCTCTACATGAAATTTATATCAATCAAGAATTAGTTGTTACCAAAATTTAAATAAAAAATAAGTTTGAATAGATTATTATTAATTTAGAATAAGCTGCTATTAAAATTTAAATAGATACTTATTGATAAAAAATTAATTCAAATTGATAAGTATTTATTTAAATTTTTAATAATAATTAATTTTTGATTGATACACATTTCATACAAGTTGTTTAATTGCTATTTTCTTTTGAAGGTTGGCAAGAGTACACATGAAGACTGGCTGATAAAGACATTTATAGATTGAATTATTTAAGCGAAATTGATGGTTTATCTCCTTTTCACGATTTTATTTAAAATACATCAACACATGGGCGGATCAATATAATACATTAGTCAAGACGCTTAAGTCTATGAAATTTTATTTTATTTTTTATCAATCAATGTGAGGCTGACGATCAATGTTTTTAGTCAATGCCTGCAACTTTATTTATTATTTTTTAAAGTTTTAAACGGAAATATATATGGCTAATCGAATTTTATATTGTTACACAAATTCAATGGTACAAATTTTAGGAATATATGTCACTAAGCTTTTTCCTTTGTTTTTTTTTTCCCCAATAGCCAATGAGTATTTCACATATCATTAATTAAAGGAAAAACATAATGTTTGATCCTTATAATTTCATGATGTTTTGCTTTTAACCCTTGTAGTTTGTTTTCATTGCTATCAATCCCTCTAGTTTTTGCCTTCTAAAATGTTAGTCCCTCTGAACATTAATGATATTAAATTGCAAGTATTTCATTTAAGGATAAGAGAATCAACATATCTTCAAGTGGCTCCCAAAAAATTTTAAAATATCAGTTTAGTCTTATGAGACTAAATTAAAAATAAGTTAAAAGTAAAAAAGATTAAAATATCCTCAGTTTAAATATTTAAAAAAAACCCACTAGCCACTGTTGTCGATGACTGCAGCCACTGGACCTCTGTTGTCAGAGCTCCAACCATTGACTGAACTACCGTTGGCAGTGGCTGGAGAATTAATTTCTCCAAAGGTGACCAAGGTGGGTGTAAAACCCAATACCCTTTGGTTCACCAAAAGGTTTTAAACTAAAAAGCTACTTAATCCATTCAATTATATAATACATAAAATTATATATATAATAAACCTTATTTTCAAACCACTTGATTATTATATTACTTATTAATTACATAACTTTACTTGTTAATATTTTAACAGAACTTGTTAATTAATTAACTTTTCCTTTTAACTCCACGACTACTGCAATAGAAATAAATTACTTGTTAATCATATAATTGTACTTGTTAATCCCTTAACAGAACTTGTCACTTACTTAATTCTCCTTGTTAAGTCCATGACTTTCATAACAAAGTTACATTACTTGTTAATCACGTAATTATCATTGTTAATACCTTAATAGGACTTGTTAATATAATAAAAAATTAAGTAATATCTTACTTAATAACTTATAATAAGAGCCATCTATTCCTTTTAAAAATGACTTATAATAAACATAAGAAGAAGTATGTTCGTACATTTTTATTCTTAATTTATTTTCTATAATTTAGATTTTCAATTAACTTGGATAACATATACCACAATGTCTTAGTATATAAGTAAACAAAGACTTCAAGGTCTTTTGAAAATTCTTGCTAACCTCTTCTTGCTAATACATGCCACAATGTATATGTACTCTTCTTTTTGTAATAAGAATTTATGGTCTCATTAAAAAAATCTATTATATTCAAGTATACTCTTGTATATTTCTTTATGTGCTTTTAAAAAAAGATAACAAAATAAATTAAATTCTAAAAGTCTATGAGCATTTAGGATCTTAAATTTATTTTTTATATAAAATTTTCTTTTAACTTTTTAAAATTGTGTAATTTAGCTTTTACCATTAACAAAAGATAGTTTTGACTCTTAATTGACAATAAAATGTAGAAAATGACATCAAAAATTATAAAAAAATGATGAAAAATTACAATCCTAAAAATTTTATTGGTCCCTTTTTTATAATTTTTGAGGTATTTCTTTGCTCAAATAATGGCCAATGTAAACTTTTGTTAATAGTAGAGATTGAATTGTACAATTTTTAAAAAATTGAAAGAGAATCTTGCACAAAAATTAAACTTACGGTCTTAAATATTTTTATACTTATAATTTATAAGTCAATTTATTCTTTTTACCATTTAAAAAATGCACTATATTCATGAACTGCTCTTTTTACCATTTAAAAAATGCACTATTTTCATGAACTGCGTGTATAAAAAAAAGTTATCTTAGAAGAGTCTTTTCCCATTTAAGATTCAATCCTGCTTGAATACAGAATATTGAAACAATTGGTAATATCATGTACCAAATAACAAGTAGTTTGTCTGCAAAATTTTTCTCAAAAAATTGTAACCTCTCATGGTATGAAATGCTAAGAAGATGAGGGGTTTAAATTCTCTCAATTTTTGGATAAGCCAATGTTTCTTGCTTGGTAGCAATTTGTACTGTAATTGTAATGATAAGAATGAAATTCTTGGTTGGGTCTATAAGGGGCTCACTCCCAACTTTTAGTACGATTTTATTTGTAAAAAGTACTATATAATTAATTATAGTAGTCCCCCAAATTTTACTGGGGTTTGAATTTTGGCTGCTACATCCCTCACTTGGCTGAGTTAAAAGTTTACTTTGTTGTCGATCGTGAGAAAGCTTATCCCCACAATTAGATACATAGATATTGTCTTTCGTTGACAAATATATCCAATCACCTGACATTACACGACTAGGACTCGTTAAAATTGCGTTTCTATTCCTAATATATTTTTTTCGTTTAAGTAGTCCGAGTTTCCAAAAGCAAGTCAAGATTCCAGGCCCAGGCTTATCCATCAACGACGTGGTGCTATAGATTTGACCATTTCATTCCATGGGAGACAATCCGCAATCGTGCTTTCTTTGTTCTTTTTCAGTTTTCTTCCACTGCCCAAACTCTGCTACGCTTGTGAACATTCCTATAATCTTTTACCAAAGATAATAAAATAAAATCACAATCTCTAGACGGCTCCCAATGTCAATCATTTTTAGTGATACTATTCTAAAGCCATCAGGTTTGTTTGTTTCAACCTTTTTTCCCATAAAAATTTACTTTTTGTAAAAAAATTTATTTTCAAAGATTTTATAATGTTTGTTTAAATTTTAAAAAATAATCACAATAAAAAAAATAAATTTTTAATTATTTTGAAAAGCTACTTACGTTAGCTTTTGAAAAATAATTTGACCAACATGAGAGCATGAAAATACAGAGATATATGTAGGGGTATTTATGAGATGTGATAAAATTGAGATACTTCTGTCCTGTGTCCTGTCTCCAAAAATGACTAAAATTAAATTTTTGTTTTATATTTCATCCCATCTCAAAAATCATTAAGTCTCGTTAAGGATCGGGACAAGATTGGATAGAACTGTGTGAAGAAATTTTGAGGCTTAAGGCAAAATTATTGGTAAAGTCTAGTATGTGCACTTGGCTCTTTTTTTTAAATAAAATAAAATAAAATCCACTCATCATTTCTTACAAATTTGTATATTAAAATTTTACATTATAGTAATTCTAATAAAATTCTAAATTAATTTAATAGAGAGATGGAAATTAGTGACAAAGTGCTCCTAGTCCATCAT